TTGGCAAAAAAGCCGGCGCGTTCGAGCAGCAATTATCAGGCGCAGAAGCGTTATCTGATACCGAATACGCTCAATGGCGCAAAAAAGGACCAGTTGGCAAGTTACATAACATCGTAGTTGATGTGCGTATTAGCCATCGGCTAATTTACTTATTCAAGGAGGTCCAGAGGGTAAGCGGTTTTCACTAAATCTTGTTCGTCTCATACTAATTTGGTATATCTAACAGGACGAAATTGATCGCGCCACCACCCTCAAACTCCGATCGAAGAAACCACTCAAGCTAATTGTCGATAACGACACGCGTTGGCTGTCACAACTCTACATGATCCGCAGGGCTCTACGGCTAAAAACCTCTATCGAACTCCTACTGATCAAGTACAAGGCGCAATGGGAGGACGAAAATCGGTCTAAAAAGACTGGCCGAGTGACACAAGCCAAATTGGCGAAAAAACCACGCATCCTCCGAGACGAGAATCAGCTAACGGATAAAGACTGGGAGGTTCTTTACCATTTAGAGGCTATTCTGACTGTTTTTGAGACCGTGGTAAAGACGCTTGAGGGTGATGGACACATCCGCAGGCGTAAGCAAGGCTGGACCGGCTCCTATGGCAATATCTGGGACGTGGTGCTTGGCTATGAGTTGCTGCTTAACACACTGGAAGAATATAAGCAGCTTGCTGCTAACTTTCCTGACCCGAGCACTTCCGCATCGGAATCAACCTTGCTTGGGATAAGCTGGATGAATATTATCGGCGGCTAGACGAAACGCCCATCTACTATACGGCAATAGCGCTCCATCCAGCTTATCGTTGGGACTGGTTTGATGAAACCTGGGCTCATAAGCCTAGTTGGGTTGAAAAGGCAAAAGAGATGGTTGCCGACGTCTGGCTGTCTGATTACGCTCATTTCGAGGTTAGATCCAGCAGCAGCAGAGGCGATGACGAGCCACCAGCAAAAAGACCTCGGCTTTTCAACCCCTTCGAGAAGAACAGCCGTCTGCCAAGCTCAACACCAACCTCCGCAGCAGCTATTGTTGGTGATGAGTACCAAGCGTGGCAGACGGATCGTGAGGCCAGCGACGGCGACGTTCGTGATCCAATTGGTTACTGGATCACTAAGCAAAGTAGATATCCTCGGTTATCCAGGATGGCCTTGGACTTCCTGACAATCCAACCGATGTCAGCCGAGTGTGAGAGGTTATTTTCAGCTGCTGGCAAGATGGTCTCGGGGTTGCGAACTGACCTAGATGCTGAGATTATCGCCATTTGTCAGGTTTTACGCTCTTGGTACCGTGCTGGCCTTATCAAGGACCTGGATCCATTGCTTAAGTCACACGTTGAAAGTAAGCTGGATGCCGGTTGTGCGACTCTAAGCGACGACGAGCTGGCGCTTGCTGAGTCAAAATGGCTATTGGAGGGCGAGGACAGCGCCAGCGAGGTTGACGATTTATCACAGCAGCAACAGGCTGAAGAGTTAGTGTCAACCTCTGAAAGTGAGGCTGAATAGGCACCGACGAGGTTGTGAATAGCCTCAAAAATCCATTTATAAATCCACTTATAAATCCACGTGTGTACGTCCATTCCACTCCGGCCAAATATGTATTACATCCACTAGGTAATTGCCTAAAAAATCGTACATCCACTCTACTTGGTCCAAATGTGAGTGGGTGTAGTGGTTCCGAGCCTTGGCTGTTATCTTCGTCCGGGATGGTATCGAGATGGCGACATACTAAAAGGAAGGCAATTTCCTGCCGCTCGTTCAGGGTGAACCTCCTTGCAATCTCCCGACCGGCATGGAGGAATGTTGTCGACGGTCCAAAGGCGACTCGGGCACTAGGTCTTTGGGTGTTCCCGGTGTCTGTTTCTGACATTTCTATAATATCTTCTCCCGCGCCCGCGAAGGTATGGTTCACTGATGCTTCTGCGCCGGCAGCTGTGATCTGCGTAATCTGAGCTCCGTCAGTGCCTTGGATTCTTTTCACAATTTCCTTGTCAGCTTGATCCTGCTTGCTCTTGATCCTTCTAAGCTGACGTTGCGTTGGGAGCTCGCTCCTGGCTACCATGGTTGGCTGGCACTGCTCTGGGTTCTCTGCGGGAGCGACAGTCTCGACATCATCCGCAAAGTCGGTGATATCTGCTTGAGCTTCGCGGAGCTGATCTAGCATCTGCAAAAGATGCTCCGAACCAGCGGTCACCTGGTTAGGGGCTGTAGCACCTCGTACTGTCTCAATCAATCGGCCAAGCTGGCCAACCTGGTCGGGGCGATATGCTTTTACTGGGCCTGTGGGATCTTGGAGATCATACCCCATAGCGTCGATATCATCCAAAACGGCGTCGTCCCCCGCAGCCGCCCACTGCTTTGCATCTCGCCGCGCAACTTCCGCTGATCGTTTCAAGAACTGGATGTTGCCTGCGATAGTCTGGAGTCTTTTGGGCAGTCGCCGTCTCCAATGTTCCCAGATTTCATTAATATCGCCTGATGATGCTGTAGTGAACTTCTCCCATGGCACAAAGAGTGCGAGGTGCTGTACTGCAGCTCTGGAGCCAATATTAGTGTATGCTCCTCGTTTATCCATCCCACCTGTTCTATGGCTTGTGCTTACCTGCGGTATCTGTCTGCGTTTGTGTCAATATCAAAGTCCATATCGAGAAAGCCGTTGATGCATGGCACTGCATACTTCCCCGGGGGTCTTAGAACCTGCACCCAGTCCCTTCCCGGCTTCCAGTTCCTTTCAAATTCGATCTTCACCAACTCCTTGGAAGATGAATCTATCCTCTTTTGTAATTTAACCAGCGACACGTAGTCATAGAAGCATAATGTCTGCAGCACCTCTCCACGGTGGTGGTAGGCTTCAATGTATGGTAGCTTCTTGCCATCGCTTCCCACCAAGACCTCTCAGCGCCGGCTTCCGCGCCGTTGCCGTTGCCATTGCCACCTATGTTCTCGATAGGTCGATCATCGTCGTCGCCTAAAGTGCTACTGCATTGCTGGAGATATTGCCAGCGTCGGAGTATTGCCCAGTATATCGTTGTCATATTCACATATGACCATTGTTTGGTACTCGAGAACTCAGTTGGGTAATCCAAGAAGTGCGCAATCACCTCCACCTGCGATAATGGCCGCTCAGTGAATATTCGGTTTGCGATTCTCATCAGATACTGGCGGTTTATATTTGCCTTGGCTTCGTAGTTGGCAGTTGTTGCACCTAGCCCGACGGCGCTGGTTGTGCTGATACTCGGAAAGAGCTCTGCTGCTATGGCCACTCTCTTCCACATCGGATCTTCGATTTTTGTGGCGTAGTTTGTCAAGTAGTATATCAGCGCCATTGTCTTGCTTTGGGTCCCGATGAAGGAGATGTCGTGATTGTGCCGCAGCCCAACCGCCATTGGCTTGTTCCATCGGTTGATCATGGGATGTGAGCGTTGGAGCCGAAGTATACCATCCGCGCTAGTGATGTTGTACTTTTCGTACAACACGGTTGTACATACATACGTACAAAAAGAAAAAGTACGTACACGTACTACGTACATACAATGAGGGTCCATGATATTCCTAATAAGGGAATTTGTGGGTCACATCGTACAAATACGGGGCTGTACAAAAACTCTGCTCGCTTCGCAGCTCAACGCACTCTGCCATTCTCGCCCAATTGAAGGTATCGCCAAAAAGATGGCGCCCACCAATGCTAACGCTGCCTTCGTTTGGCGACAGTTTATCGACCTCGGCCGCTCTAACTCCAAAAAAAGCAAACGATACAGGTGCCGTCACTGCCAGAAGGATTTTGCAGCGACCTCTATTGGGAGGCCGAAAGAGCATCTCGCTGCGTGTGAGAAATGGCAAGCCAAGCAGCGACAAGAGCGTCAAGCTCAAGATAACGCTGGCTATCTTCCCTCATATTCTGAAGCTATACAAAAGAAGATAACCGAGGTCGGAATTCAGCATATCTCGCAAGATGAGAGTCACAGTTTCGCCTATGATGCTGCCGCTGCCGTAATCGCCGGCGGCCGCCCCTTCAGCCTCTTCGAGAGCCGCCGTTGGCGTTATTTCTTCACTCGCATTAAGCCTGGCTGGAAGCCCCCTAACCGCGCCGTTATCACGAGAATCCTTCCCGACTTCTATCAGGAACTCTATGACGAGGTTTTCAAACGCATTATTAGCTCAGAATGGTTCAATATCATATTTGACGCTTCCGATAATGTCTCGGGCCACAGAATCGTTAATATCTCGGTACAACTACCAGACGGCCCAGCCTTCTACTGGAAAACGTTTGACACGGGAGACGAACAGCACACAGCGGAGAATTGGGTGAAGTTGATATGGGAAGAAATGCAGCAACTGTGCGGCAGTGATCTCTCCAGAATCAATTCTATCTGTACAGATACCGAAAATACGATGCGCTCTGTACACGACTTACTAGGGAGATTCCCAGAGCTCTCACATATCAACTTCTCTCTATGCGATTCTCACGGCCTTCAGCTTCTAATCAAAGATATCCTTCTTCTTCCATTCTTTGAGGATCTCTTTAACAACGTCAGCACCCTTCTCACGTTCTTCTCACGGTCTAAATTACAATTGCAAAGATTGAGAATGTGCCAGCGCACGAGGTGGAACGGAGTAACTCGCGCGCTGATCAGAAGGTACCGGTAAATCGCCAGCTGTGACTGAGAAATCACTGTACTAATTCGCTCGTTCCGAATAGTGTAATTACACGCTGGGGTTCTCAGTACAATTCTTTCTTCTCCCTCCTCCGTTCCCGAGACCCTGCCAGAGACTGGTCTATTCGAAAAGATGTACGAGATGAGCTGCAATCTCAAGATTGCCTCGTTCTCCTACCCGAAGTGGTTCGAATCATCAAAGACAACAGCTTCTGGCTAAAACTCGAGGCTGCGATCGCTGTGCTAAAGCCCGTGAACCAATTTCAACACGCTTCCGAGGCTGATGGGGCGGGAATCGCACACGTTGTAAATCGCTGGCTGCAAATCAAAAGCAAATGGGCTGAGATGAGAGAGGCTGATCAGTTTCCTGATATTCCGTGGGACGATATTGACGCTATATTCAAAACCCGGCTTGATAAGCAAACGTACGATATACATTGGATCGCCGATGCCCTCCGGCCTGATACAACAGGCCCAAATTCGAAACTGCCACCTAGCGTCTTTGCGCGCGTACAAGAGTATTTGCGGAAACAGCTGAAAAACGACAACGAATATCACCGTGCCATTTCCGAATTCACACACTTCCGAATGCGTACAGGTGGCCCAGACGGCTTATTTAATAAGCACAGCGCTGTATACGACGATGGCTTCAAGCCAGCAATGGCGTGGCAGTGCCTCCTCAACCAGGGCTCGATGCTGGCTAGAGTAGCTGTGAAGGTAATGAACACGCTTGCGAACTCTGTACCCTCAGAACGAAGTTTCTCTGCTATTAGTTTCATACATACGAAAGCTCGGAATCGGCTTACGCCCATGCACGCTGATATGCAGGCCTTCATTTTTATGAACGACCGCGTATTAGATCGCCTTAAGGATCAGAAGTACGCCCATAAAAAGCGCTGGGCGGATCTTGAGGAGAAGGACTGGCTAGAACTCGAAGATTCATATCTCGAGTTATTTGTGAATGCGCAGGGCAAGAAGGTCTGGATGGATGACGTAATGGCCTCTACCAATGGAGATTTTGAGTGGGAGGGTGTATTACAGTCGACGGGTGATATATTGAGGGTTGGCACTGAGGTGGAATCTGAGGTGGAATCAGAGGTTTGAGGCTAGAATGGCAGAAGAACAGGACCGTGAGAACCCTACTACCAGTATTGCCTAAAATGGAAGGGGGAAATTTGTATGGTACGTATTTGTATGTACAACCCCATTGTACGTACGTACTATGGCTAAAATACAGTACGTACGTACATACGTGTACAATAAATTGCATCACTAATCCGCGCCAAATTCGCTTTTCGTAAAGAGCTTCCAAGGCGCATGGAATCGACACGTGGGCTTCTTTCCTCCCTCCTTGTTATGAGAGTATTTGACACAAGGTGCAGTGTGGACGTGCATCTGGACCCTGCCCGCGCAAAAGTGGGCTTCATCGTCAAACTGTTCAGAGAAGCGCCCCGTATCGATCATCAAGTGGGATATGTTGTCGTAAACTACCCTACTCTCGCTCTCCTCACTAAAGGCAGCGGATTCGTCCAGATCCTAGATAATAGTTTAGCTTCCGACCTACGTTGGCCTTTGGTTATATGGATATATGGATCACATACCTCGGTAAAGACAGAATCGACATATTTCAGGATTCCTTCCCGTTCCATCGCCGCACTCTCATCATCCTCCCCGTTTCCATAAGCACCGATGAAGTTTCCGAGCTCCAAGTTCCCTTCGAGCCATAGCAAACCATGGACATGAAGAGCACCGCGTTCGTTGGTCTCGACAGCGCCAAAATACTGTCCAATCCGACCAAACACAGATTCCTCCCCAACCTTGACGTAATGCTCAAAGAACATCTCTACTTCGCGGTGGAAGAAGATGGCAGAGCTTATGGGGTCAGTTATCGCCAGCTTCACTCTCTCATACCTATCCTGAAGGGCCCGAAGCAGGGTTTCTTCCGCGGCAGCCTTGTCCTCCTTTCGGTATGCCGCCAGGCGTAGTTTTACCGGGTTCGTAATGTCATTAGGGTCAGAAACCTATAAAGCAGATAACGGGAAGCCCATCATCAGCTGCTCTATCACGTGCTCCTTATCCGCCGTCTGTGTATGGCCACAGATTAGAACTCGATGCTTCTGTTCTGTTTGTAGCTTGTGCGTGGCGTCATCAGTGAGCAAGCGTGTTCTACATGATCAATAATTATGTTCACAGGAGACGCAAACCGCAGGCGGTCTGCCCAGAAGAGCCTTGAGGAACGAAGTTAGAGATGAAAATCGGTTGACATACCTTGAGCAAATTTTATTATTTTGAGCTGACATGAATTTGAAGCAAGATCGGCAGCTCGGCTATTGTGGCGTCGTTGCAGGCTCGACTGTAGGTGGGGTGTGATTGGCATGTCGAGATCATGAAACATATCTCCGGCTCTCTGTAAAACCTCATGGAAACCTTAATAGCAATCCGGGCGGAGTCATGTCACCGGCACTCACTCTCCCAAAAGCTCACGATTAGAAGCATTGTAGTCAATTCATTTGATTGCAAGGAAGATACAGCATCTATAGTCCTCTCCCTCATCGTGAACATGGCGACGTGCCCGGTTCGGTTCCAATTTTCCTGCGATAATATCTCCGAAGGTCTGAATTTTACTCACGAGATTTCAAAGAGTCTCGTCAGGCCCCTATCCCATGCCCAGCAAGATGATTCATACGCCTCTCGTTTTCAACGTGCAGTGCTGCCTTTTTTGAAAGAACACGAACCGGCTTGTCGCGCAGCGTCCAATCCGTTTTGCGGAATTTGCGGATCACCCATCGCGACCGTTCTGCAGACGCCAATGTCCTTTCTTCACAAAGAGGGCGATCCCTACGTTGGGGTTCTTGTCAGCGGCGTGTGTGGGAAAGGCGAATGCGAAAGCCAGACGCGAGAAGCCATCCAGGAGGAGATGTTCGAAGTTGGGGCAGGGGCCGAGGCTCGGGTAGGAGCCATAGTTTGCGTGGTGTGCGGGAAGATGGAAGGGATCAGGAAGTGTGGGCGGTGCAAGGCTGTGGCATACTGCGGCAAAGACCACCAGAAGGCAGACTGGAAGACACACAAGCTCCCTTGTGTATCTCGGGATGAAAAAAGTGACTGAGCAAGGGAGTCACCTTGTAAGAGTCGCCTTGCAAGATCGAGAGTCATGGCTTGGTACAGGACAGTAGGGTGAAGGGGAGAAATAAATTCAAATATAGAGGCGCCCGATACTGTGGCAGTGACCATTGTCTACTCTTCATCGGCATATTTCTTGGGGGGGTGCCGGCTGCGATGCGGCCGTGTTCCACCATCAAGACTGGGGGAAAGGGCTAATGTGATGGAGGATTCGTCAGCATCAGCTATAGTCAACGGAGATGGGGGATTGGGTGAGGCTTTTGCGCTGTCCGCTATGTGCGGCAGATGGAGGCGGCCTCTTGACGCTTCTTGCGAAGTTGGATTCCCATAGGATGGCTCCGCAACGTCGCTGGCGCCCTCGGAGACGCGCTGTCTCTTTGAAGGGGTGGATGGAGTGGCCCGGCCCTCCCAGCGAGCGGACCGCTTTGAAGGCGGAGTAGCGGTCGGAGTCGGCGTGGGCGGGGGGGCTTGGGCAGACCTCGGCATGTAGGCCAAGTCAAGGACACGGAGGGCCAGTTGATTGGTGTCAGTGGTGCGGCCAGCTACCTTGGCGGTGATGCTCAGGAGAGCTCCAGGTGATGGTGTTCTGACTTTTTGCCACCGCTTTGTATTTTCAAAGAAGCAAGTTACGGAGAACGGGACTGGAGATGCCTTTGAGGCGTCGTATACGGATGTTTCAATAGTGAAGCGGCGAGGTTCAGAAGGGTCGCTGGTGTTGTCGCTGGGCGATGGCACGGATCCGATAACGGTCACCATCGGGCACCACTGCCGTGGTAAGTAGCGGCGATACTCTTCGAAGTCGGAGACGTCACCAGGGTGCCTAGGAAGGTCAGCCCGTGTGAGGCCGAGTGTGAGTCGTGACGTACCTCGACAAACTGAGGGCCTGGACGCTGATCTCCAGGGTGCCGTCCGTGGACAAGGCGGCGGAGAAGCGGCCGTCGGCATAGAAGAAGGCGTTCGGCATGTAGAGATCCCGCTCTTCCCGTGTGAGATAGGCATGAATGCGGGTACGGATAGGCTCGACGTCGACGCCAGAACTATAGAAGCCATCCTCCTCGAAGATATTGACCTCGGTCTGGATCTCGACGTAGTTGGGGGTGTTTTCCCGACTCGGGTCGTCGGTGATGTTGTCCACAAAGTCTCGCAAGTGGATAGTATTCGAGAATGTCGATTGCCGAGACATGTCTAACAGAGTTGGAAGGAATGATTGGAAAGGTGCCGGAAGTTGCGGGCGGTGCAGACGGCTTGTATAGGGGAGTAATTCCAAATGTTTGGTGAAGCGGCCTTGGTCGAGGAGTCAGGGTTTGCAACGGATGTCGTGTCGGAGGCATGAACCTTAGTATCCTTGCGAAGTGATTGGTGAGGACGGCAGATGGTCGATGTCGAAGGCGTAAGAAGAGGTTACTATTGTTTCAAAGTAAGAGGGTGCCGTGTTTGTATGTCGGAGTGGAAAGGTTCCGAGCCCTCTTTGGGCAGGGGATCAGGGGCTATCAAAGTTCAAGGCCAAATGAACGGACTCTCGGCCTAGGCCAGAGCCAAGGGCGAGAGCCAGGCGTCGGGGAGTGGGCAGTGAGGAGAGGTAAATGCGCGGGTAGCAGCACTATGCCTCCGGGGCCAAGTACCGCGTGTTCTTTGCAGCAACGCAGATCTACTCAGATAGGAGAACTTGTAACAGTGAGTGGTTATGGAGAGGGAGAGTCTACCCGACCTGTTCCGTCGCCTGGATGCGCGCAATCGCGAGAACGTGACGCTTGCTGGTCTGGGAATCCGCACGTCAGCAGACATCTTCGAGGCCGCACAGAGGCAGGACGAGGAAGCTAGGGTTGAGAGAAACGCGGCATGGCGAGGGACGGTCGACGCTTCAGCGCTAGCAGGTCTGGGCATGCGGACGTCGGCCGACATTTTCGAGGCGTCGCACAGGGAGTACGATCAGGAGAGGCGCGATGTGAGCTCTCGCCGGCGTTACCGTCGTCGTCGGAAGCCGGGGGCCGTGTCGTCGGGCCAAGTCGTCGGCGGTGCCGAGGATACGGTAGAGAACGGGCCTCCGGTGGGGCCGAGGCATCAGGATGAACTGAAGAGGTCCGGCCCTCGCAGCAACGACGGCCAGCCGCCACGCAAACGGACCAGAACTGTGGGGCGTCGGGAGAGGAGCGAGGCCGAGCAGGCGCAAGATCTCGCCAACGTCCTGCGTGCGTTGGAGGAAGAGTTCGCAGAAAAGGAGCGGCTGTCTCACGGGCAGACATGGTGCACGCCTGTGCCCCAGGAGAGGAAGGCGAAGGCGGTCCGGGGCTTCTACAAAGCGTTCCATGACGCGAGAACGCTGCCGATTCTCACTTGCATGTTCTGCTATCGCAAGTATGGCATGGCTGAGCTGGAGGACGTCGATTGGGATTGGTGGATGGGAAGCCCCATCGAGAAGCGCGACAACTCACCCTTCAAGTGCCTCCGGTGCTTCCCGGTGGGGGAGAAAATTCGTGGGTGTGCAGACTGTGTGAGGCATCTGGGTAGAGGCGCATTGTCTCCGGCAGCGCAGCTACATACCCGGCTAGGATGCGAGCACATGTTTCCAGAAGAGTTGAAGGGTCTCACGCCGGTCGAGGAGAAGTTGATTGCCTTGAACTCGTGTTATGGCTTCATCACCAAATACAGCATGCCAGATGGACACAGGCAGAGCGCAAGGTATCCGAAACATATCAAGGGACACATCACAGTATTTCCGAACAACGTGCAGGAGCTCGCGACAAATGTCCTACCTCATCCGCTGCTGAAAGTTTTGGATGAGATACACGTGTCCTGGCAGGGGGCAACAAAACCAGCGCCGAGTGATTTGTCGGCGTTACTATCGGTGCGGCGCAGCGCCGTTGAGAAGGCGCTGGTATGGCTGAAGAGGCACAATCCCTTGTATGCCGACATCGACATTGACACGGCCGAATTGGATAGCTGGGATTCGCTGTCGCACGGCGTGCCTTCTCAAGTCTATGAGCGATTGGAGCGGAACGAGCCGTCGGCGCGGGAGAAGGCACGAACAGGGCAGCTTGTGCCACCCACAGAGCGTGGCCTGGAAGACGAGGGAAGCGTGGATATTCGAGAAGTCCTGGCAACGCTCGGCCAAGGGCACGATTTGGAGGTCAGCGGCGACGTGGCGATGGAGCCAGGTGACGCAGATGGCGAGGATGGGGACGGTGACGGCGACGGGGACCTCGACGGTGCCGCCGCCCCGGTTCACGAGATCAGCTCTTCTGGGATGTTCGCCCTGGATGGGCGACCGGACGTCGCGGACGCGGAGAAGTTGCGATACGTCCGTGACGCTTTGGGCCGACATGATTCCTGCGACGAAACGGGAGGCAGTACTTTGGCGGGATCGGCCGAGGTGCGGCGTGGATATGCGTCCGAACCTTACATTCTCGTATCGAGGGGTGAAGACTTTGCCGATTCCTTCGAACCACGGTTCTTCGCAAAGACATTTCCGACGCTGTTCCCGGTCGGTAGCGGGGGGCCAAGGCAGGCGGAGGAGAGCATCGACGACGCGGCCGTGGAGGTGGACGGAGGCGACGAAGCGGAGGCCCCGGCGCGGAGTCTCGTGTCGTCGCGGAACATGACCCTAGAGACGTGGGCCAAAGTGGTGCTCCAGCGTCACGGCGGCCGGTTCGCGACACATCACATCTTCGCCTTTCTCGTCTTCAACATAGGAGTGAGGTCGAGAAATCGTCGAGTTAGTATGCTGAGCGTGACGAGGAAGAACTTTCCAGAGGTGGAGCGCATCGTACGGTCGCTGAGCGCGGAGAGGTTGGAGGCCGCCAAGGTCGAGTTGGAGGCGACCGGGAAGACGGGTGACGAGGGCGTCAAGCAGCTCCTGAAGAGCCTGTCATTGTACGGCTTCCGCCAGCCGATGTCGAGGGAGAGTCGTTTGAGCATGCGGCGAAAGATCAAGTCCGAGATCATTCGGGATGGCATCCCGGCCATCTGGTTCACACTGAACCCGAACGACATCACAAACCCGGTCAAGCTGAGGCTCGCTGCATATCAGACGCGGGATCCAGAAGAGGCTGAGGCCTTCCTGACGAGCCTCGACCTGGCGTACAAGCGGACAAGGCTGGCGATATCGGATCCCCTCAGCTCAGCAATCTTCTTCCACCGGGAAGTATCTATGTTTTTCGAACACTATGTGAAGACAGGAGAGGGGTCGGTGTTTGGGCGCATCAGCAGGTACTTTGGGGCCGTGGAGACCAACGAGCGCGGGGCGCTCCACGTCCACGGACTCCTCTGGCTTCAGGGAAACATGCACCTGAGTTCAATCCTGGGAGATGTCGAGGGGGAGGATCAGGGGGCATATCGGGAGAGGGTCATCCAGTACGTGGACAGTGTCTTCACGGAGGTTTGTTCGCCGCATAGCCGCCATGCAAGACAAGATTAACTAACGCGAGGCCAACGATCCAGGATCTCGATCAAGAGGCATTCTCAACAGTTCAGGCGGAGAGGTCTGTGACGTCTGACATATCGTCACTGCTGGAGAACAGCCAGCAATTCGCGGCCGCATTCGACGAGGAAGCCAACTTCTGCGCCGGTGCCACCCAGATCCACACCCACAGCCCTACATGCGTGAAATACTCCATTCGGGGACAGGGGAAGCATCGGGATCCGTGCCGGTTCAAGGCCCCGTGGAGATTGGCGGAGAGGACGGCGTTTACGGATGAAGGAGTGTTGCAGATCAAGCGGACTCACAGTATGGTAAACCGGTGGAACAAGGCCATGGCTGTAGGACTGCGACACAACCACGACATCTCGTTCATCGCAACGCAGTGCAAGACCATGGCCATCGTGTTTTACGTAACGAATTACGCCACGAAGGTCGAGGATCCGGTGTGGAAACGGGTGGCCGCGGCGGCAGAACTGTTCCCCGCCGTGGACGAGTCGGTCACCGAGAGCCAGGCAAGCGAGGCGGACAGAGGGCAAAACAAAACGCGGCAATTCTTGATGAGGGTTGCGAATCGGATCTTCACGGAGCGGGCGTTGTCGCAGGTCGAAGTCGTCGCCCACCTGCTGGGCTACCCTACGGAGTTTGCAAGCAATGACGCCTGGACGTTCCTAAACGTATCTTCCCTCTACTGGCATATCTTCCGACGATGGCGCCACCTGCAACGCGAGAGTGGCATGGAGACTATAGACGAGCCGGTCGAGGAGACAGTGCTCCTAGAAGAGGTCGGAGAAAGAATCTCTTTCGCGCAGGCATACCCACACCGTGGTAGGCTCCTGCAGGGCCTGTCGCTCTACGACTACATGTCGATAGTCAAGTTGAAGCGAAAGGGCAAAGGAGCAGGAACTTGGGGGGAGGTACAATTCGACAGGTCCTGGCCCCTCTCGCAGACGTGGGTGCAGGCGCTGCGAAAGCCCGGCGAGCATGCCGTCGTCTGTTTCGACGGTTACCTGAGCACGGACTTGGGCGAGGAAGCCGAGGGCTACTATAAGAGGTACGTGTGGCGATCACGGGAGCGGTCTCTGCGCAGGCCCGGACCAAGCTGTGCAGGAAGGCTGACTTGGCCAATGCAGGGCGGCCGTCCAGCATCTGGCCCTATTCGTCCCGTGGGAGTCGTTCTTGTCCGAGAGGTCGGGGGATATCAACGCCATCTGGGAAAGACAGAAGCAGGCTTTGCCTCGGAGGATGTCATTCGTCGCAGACAACATCCAACTACTCCACCGGTCGGCCCAAGACGCGAAGCGGGACGCCAGACAGTGGGCCGCTCAATCCGGAGACGGGGATCCTGGCGTTGACACAATCGGGTCGGAGTGGGACACGGGAGGCGGCGACGACGGACCTCAGACAGCATACCGCTCGGACAGTGTCGGTACCGCAACACGGCTGCTAGACGTATTGAGGCAGGCGATAGCGAGAAAAGAGATCACGGCCGGCTCTAAGGAGATCTCGACAATCGTACAGCAGCTGAGCCGGTTCCAGCAGTCGGCACTGCGTTCGATAGACGAACTGCGCGGCACGATAGTTCCCGAGAGAGGACCGAGGACACTGAGCAGATCAGAAGGGTCGTCTCCGGGGGCGGACGTGCCATGGCAGGAGCAGGTTAGGTCCATCAAGTCGCAGCAAACGAGCGCCTCTAGAGAAAAAGAGAAGATGATCCAGGGAATACAGAGCCAACTCGACAGCAACACAACTGACCACAAGTCAGCTGTGTACAACGTGCTGAATGGTTTCGTCGAGCACGAAGTCCATCTCACGGCTGCCGATTCGGAGGCCCCGGGCTGGTGCGTGGGCCCATCGACGAGCATCCAGTTTGGTCCGTCAACGTCGTTCTCCGAGGCGGGGAGGCAGCTGGCCGAGTCGTTCACGCTCAACCGAAAACAGAGCATCGCCCTCCGGCTGATATGTCGCCAACTGGACCGTGTGCACCGCGACGAGAGCGGAACCCCTCAGCTCTGCCAGTTTATCGGAGGCGAAGGCGGCACTGGGAAGTCGCGCATCATCGCGACCATCGCCGAGCTGTTCGCAAGCAAGGGAATATCGCACCGTCTGCTGGTAACGGCGACCTCGGGAACGGCAGCCGCAAACATCAACGGGATGACCATCCATTCTGCCTGTGGATTCTCCAAAGATACGGCCCCGCGAGGAGGTCGGGGCGCGGACGTCGATGGGTTTGCGGCGCCCAGCTCGGCGGGTCTCCGTGTCGACGGACGAAGCACGGCACAGTGGCAGGAGAAGTGGCTGCTGATTATCGACGAGGTCAGCATGCTCGGCGCGCGGACCCTGTATATCGTGAACGAACAGCTCCGCAAGCTTCGGGGGCGCGCGCAGGACTTCGGCGGTATCCCCATCGTCCTCTTCTGCGGGGATTTCCACCAATTCCGCCCTGTACAGGAGAGGTCGATCCTCCTCCCAAGTATGGCCATTCCGTGGGATGAAGAAAAATCGTTTAAAGCGGAGCAGAGGTACCAGCACGACAGGGCGCACGCCCTGTGGAACAAGTTCACCACGGTGGTCATGCTGAACAAGCAGGTTCGCGCCGCCGGCGATCCACAGCTGCAGCGGCTGCTAACGCGGGTGCGCCAGGGGGTGCAGGACCGGTCGGACCTGGACTTGTTGAATAGCACCTGCTACAGAGAGAACAGGCGGATCCCGTGGGAGTCGGGGATTACCGTGGTGACGCCGCTGAATAGGAACCGGTGGAACCTGAACGTCGAGGCATCGCTGTGTTTCCAGAAGGAGCGGCAAGGTCAGCTGCGTATTTTCATATCCGAGCACAGATGGAAGGACGGCCAGCCCACAGAGGAGGAAGCCCTCATGATGCTGAACCATGGGGACGACAGTGCAATACCGGTGCCTGCAGTCTTCATGTTCGTTCCGGGCATGCGCGTCGTCGTAAACAAGAACACCCATCAAGGCCTGAAGCTGGTCAACGGTGCCAGCTACGCGGCCCTGGATGTCATCCTAGACAAGGCGCACCCGGGTCACCGGATCAACACAGAGACCGTACTGCACTTCGGCCCGCCGGCGGGGATCGTGCTGGCGTCGGAGACGACTAGAGACCTCCACTTCGTCGGCATGCCGGCCGGTACCATCCTCCTAACGCCAATCAGCACCATGATAGAGTGCCAGAGGAAGCGCCCATGGCAAAAGAAAAATGTCAGCCGGCGGGGACTACCATGCGCAGCGGCTTTCGCCTGCACGGATTACAAGGTGCAAAGCAAGACATTAGACCGAGTGGCCCTCGAACTTCGGGGAACGAGGACAACGAACATCGACGGCGAGGCGGTTCCCACGCAATGCGACCCCTACAGCTTGTACGTGCAACTATCGCGGTGCAGATCGATGGAAGGCATCACGCTCCTGTCCAAGGTGCGAGAGAGAGACTTTGTGGGCAACAGGGTGCCAGACAACATGGTCGCAGCCGAGGAGAGGCTAGAGCAGCTGAGCGAGGAGACGATTAGGGATGCGGAGTGTTGGGACTGGTCGGAACAGAACTAAAGGGAAGGGGAAGAGTAAGAAGAAAGGATAAAAGAAGCTAGGCCGTGATAAAAGAAGGAAGCAGGAAGCTCGGCAATCTGTGACGTTGGGTTGTTTCAGAATCCGATGCAGGACGCACGCGATTTAGATTTAGTTTGAGACACGAAGTCGACGCGGCACCACGCTTCAAATCACGTGATTTAGAGGTCCATGGGAAAGCGGGGTGGGGCATAAGACCTTTCGTCTCTTCGTTCCTCAAGGCATACGAACATATAAGATTTCAGCAGTGACATTTCCATGTGTGTTCTAATACATATAAAGGAAAGTCGATTATATAGTTCACTAATGTGATCTAATCCTGATGAAGCAAGGTCCAACTATATAGAGTTGGGTGAAAAAGAGCGGGGTCCCCCCCCCTCCCCCCCCCCAATCCAACTCTTCTCCCTCCATAACTTTGTGATAAATATTTGCAGAGAACAAAATGCCAACCGCCTATCACGTCTGTACCAGGTGTGGAGAGCCTTGGACTTCAGGCCTATCTGGAACATATCGAACGTGCCCACGATGTCGAAAGGCAGATGCAGTTCGCAGAGAACGAAGAAAACGCGTACGCCGGGGTGATGGGATCCATCGCTGTACCAGTTGTCTTAGGCCCTGAACTCAACACTCTTCCGTACTTGCAATATCTGCCGTGAGAATACTGCCAAGGCGAAAATTATTTCGTGTATCAGCAGCACGTACCAATGGTAGTTCTGTCTGTTCAAACTGTCAAAGACCCTGGCACTCGGATCTATATATTATCTGTGATGAATGTCGTCACAACATCGCCTTGCGCCGTGCTGGTCAGAGAGTGACATCTGTTGATGAGAACGTCACCTGTTGTCCTGAACTTTGCATTGGCTCAGTTCGGCCTGTTGATACGAGACTGATGCCAAAAACCACAACTGGTTTAGTCAAAAGCTACATATTGCTAATAGGCTTACAAAGACAGTCAGCAGCCCAGCCTTTCAAAGATCAGTCCAATAGCTAGGCCTGGTCGATATCTCAGACTGGCTAGAGCAAAGGAAGCTAAAGGAACTGAAGGAAGAAGATATTAAGATATAAAGACAGCCGCTTCAGCCGACCTGGTTTCAGCTGGGGGGTGTTGGAAGATAACCCTGTGTTAGGAGATGACCCTGTATTACAAACCTCTGATAGATTGATATCATGACCTTAGTCAGATGAGGTGTCAGAAACCCCTCTTTGGCCGGCCCGGCTGATCCGGGCCAAGATAATTATCAACACCATTATCATTATCTTGGGCGCACTGACTGGCAGAATATTAAAGTCTTAGCCAACTTCGTAAATCTTATGCAGAGTTAATAGTATAATGAATACTACATTCAAATACCTGTGCTTTCCACTGGTGGTAGTTTATCATACTTGTGGTCGGAGCATTCCCCCATCATACCGTACCCACTTGCCATGGATATACTGCCGTATATCCTTCCCCCAAAACACCAGAGGCACTGCAACGCCTCCAACCGCAGCTATGAGACATCCGATTTGGAGATTTGCGCCAAGGTATCCTTGGGCTTGCACCCAGGGGTCGATGGCATAGCTCACCCCGAAACTCAGAAGATAGCCAAATCCGCCCACAACGATCAACGCAGAGGCAGCCCAACAAGGGAACGCCTCAGTAACCCAGAGCGTTGCTGCGGCGCCAAGACCTACCGAAGAAAACGCGTTGAGCACATATGAGAAGAAAATCCAGCCAGAATTCCATCCGAAATGCACCGCAACACCATAGAGGATGACACTGGCACTTCCAGATACAGTCGGCAGCAGGAAAGCCACGAGATAGTGTTCGGCGTCTCGGACCCCTCCATTCTTGCGTGTCAAGCGACATGCTACACGAGAGACTGTCATACAAGTTACTGGGATGGCCAAGATGGCCCCAATTGCAGCAACTGGATTCACGAGCGCAATGGTGCTTTGGGGCAGATTGTAAGGTGAAGATGCCATAACGATAGGATATGTCATGCCGATGGAGAGCATCCCGCCGAAGTTGATTGCATTGAGGATCGCGACCCAGAATGCCAAGGGGTTGCAAAGCCAGAGCAGAACCTGCATGTAGGATGGGCCCATCTGCTTCCAGCCCCCGCCTGCTTTGCGGATTGTGAGCCTCTGGGCTAAGAGTTGCCAGGTCGGCGGATCGCTCTCGGGTATCCTAGGGAGAGGCTTTCCACCAGGAACCTCGTCCCAGTCTTGGTAAATTTTGACATTTTCTGAGCCATCTTGCACCAAGATGCGACCGTCAAAGGCGATGGCAGGTCGGACAAAATATGTCTCGGGGACAAGAAAGAGTGCAAGGATGGTGCAAGTCAGGGACATAATGAACGAGAACCAGTAGTAGTTCCGCCAGTGAGTCCCTCCCAGGACTGGGACGAGCCGTAATGCCATAAGTGTAATTGCAGCACCCACACCCCAGTAATTGGCGATGGCCATCAGTCGTTCGTGGATAAAGGTCAAGTCAATAACCATAAGCAGCCCCTTTAAGTGTTAGATGGCACCGTCTTGGGGGCACCAGTTGGGGCAACTTACAGTACTGAAGGCAAATCCAGCCGCAAAACCCTGGATGCAGGTGGCAACCAGAAGCAGGTAGAACTTGTTTGCAATCGCCGCGACCAAGCTTCCGAGCATCAAGAATAAACAGGCCAACAGGAAGACTGGCCGTCGCCCCAGTGCCAAGGAGAGTGGAACCCAGAAGAGTGCTCCGAGGCCAAGGAACAGGGTGCTTGGTGCCGACACGAGAAGATTTAGAGGAACGCCTTTACTGATCTTAGGGAGCTTGATTAGCATTAGATCTATATCAATAGCCTGTAGCCCTTCCTCTTGTGTAATACCTCATCATCGAATTCCTTAGATAGCGGTCCGTAAATCAGGCTAGCTGCCTGAACGTTTAACAGGGCCACAATAGAGAAAAACACCAGGACACCGATGGTTGTGAACCGCGTTGCAGGGCTCCAACTCAAGGGATCCCTGGGCGAGTTGCTCGGCATTGGCAGCTGGAGAATCCGTCCATCTCCAGCGATAAGGAAGACACTTCCAGGCAGATTCGAGGAGTCTCTTCGAGAAGAATCAGAGCGTTGTTGCATGGTTGAACAGGTTGGCTTGAGGACTAATTAATTAATTAATTTCGCCATTTGCGGAATAATGTGGGCATGTTCGCCATTTGGGTGAGAGTCTGTATTATAGAATAATCTTGTCATCATCTACTTCATAGGCCGCTATGACTATGATTCAGCCACAGAATTAACTTTTCTCGTCTGTTCCAGATTGTCTGTAGTCGTTGTAGTGCCAGGGGATCGAATCCTTGTTTGGCGCTAAGTTATCCAATCTCAAGCACGAGCAGGTCGGGAACCCTTGTCTAGATCTAATCTGCTACCAATACTACGTAGAGGTGGGTGTTTCACTAATTATCCAGTTCTCTACTCTAGCAGCAGATGTCTCTGGGATTTCAAATCAACCTGACAAGCCACACCGCGATGCCCTGCAACAACTTTCCTTTTTAGCATTTGGCTGGATAGTGTACGGCACAATTCCAGTTTCATCCCAGTATCTCATGGTTACATTCAGCAAAGTAAAAGATGAGGGAATAAAATGTGCGGGATGACTGAGAATCAGCCCTCTCAATTCAGGGCGCTGATAACACCACCTCTATCCGGAAGCGACGGATGCCCAGACTGACGTCGCCGAGGTAGATGGACGCATTCAACAATAGGCACCAAATCCTAGAGCTGCCATAATCTCGGGAAGGTAGGTGGCCAAGTGTACCATCCTTCCATACACCCGCCTGGGTAGCCGCCTAGGCTCTGAGCCGCGAGTCTGTAAACATGCTGGAGCCATTTGTCACCGGGTGATTGCGTGCGGGGAACTCGCCCCTGCCATTGGTCAACATGCAAAACACCCTTCAGTCTCATTGCCTTGCACGAGGTGTCCCTAGCGTATTTAAACACTTGGAACGCCATCGGCCGAGCGTCAAGCCATTGATCATTGGTCACCGCCATTTAGAGTGTGAGAGGGGGAGGGGGGGCTATCGTTGGCATTTCCAGAAGCCTTTTAACGGTCTCGTTGGACACACGATGGGGGGCGATTTAGTCTCGGACAACATAAACGTCACCGATCTCATGCGTCTGTTAGTCTACTACTTTGCAAGAGGTATGCCGATTGCAATAGCTTCCAATCTTTCGCTTCGCAACTGGCTATGATTACATATTGATTATTGACGGGAGCTCATGAAGATGCCTCCCCATGCTCCCCTCTCGCGGCCTTTTGTCCTCTCCGCTCCCACCCGCACTTTCCTAACCCCCCATAGCCAAGCACCACTTTAACTCCTAGAATGCACGCACATGTAAGGAGGATGTGAAGATGTCTAATAGAGAGGATAGCGATTGAATTTAGTCGATGTAAAGCGTTGTAATTATTTTTACAGTATAAATATATGTGTGAGTGCTGTGAGGCGTTCCACTCGTTATACTTGTACGTTATATTGAATTTATTATTATTTTGAGCCTAAAATGTCTATTAACTCTATCCTCTGTATTTATTAGTGTACTTTTTAAATTGGTGGCACTTTCTATGAGCTCTCCTAGGGGCTTGTCGCCGCAGGCACTGCTGCAGTGACCACTCACTCCTTACGATCGATAAGCAAGCCGGATAGTTTTAGAAAAAGTACCTGTTGGTAGGTGTGACCATTCTGCGCACCGTGGATAGTGCTAAAGCTATTTATAGGGCCATGAGGGCTGTGGAATGATCGTGGAAATTGGCGTAGAGGTTACGGAGTTAAAGCTTCGAGTGTAACTAATAAATAAGGGATTTCCCGGTGATCTGCCGGATCTGGTGATTCGCCGGACTTACACCTACTTGCATTCCAGACATCAATCTATAATAGCTCCACAGCCGCAGTCCCAAATCTTCCAAAATTAAACACATAATGAAAATGCAACTATAAGATATGTCTCAGTCTATTTCGCAGTCATCAAGCCATCGTGGTCGCTTGCTATTCCGCTGCGGCCGCCCGGTACCCCGAAATGCGACTACCATCTCCCGATCACTCTCAACAGCTAGACAGGGTCTTTTCGGACGAGCGGTACGGATTGGAGTGGTCGCTGCCTTCCCTTTTCGGTTGTCTTTTGGTAGATCTAGGGCCTGTGATGCTACCGGCGGCTCTGGTATGAGTGGAAGAGCGACGATTATCTCGTCTCGAACGTCCGGACTCTTCTCGCGGCCTTCAGAAGCCACCCGTCGTTCATGTTGCATTTCATGTGCCATTTCCAGATTGCGACGCTTAAGTTCTTGTCGAATCTGTCGATTGGTCTCCTTCTCTTGCTGCCTGGCCTCCCTTACCTGCCGTTTTCTCTCTATTTCCGCCTCTCGTTGCCTCCTCTTCTCCAGAGCGAGAGCTTTTTGCTCCGCCGCCTTCTGCTGTCGCTGAGCCTTTTGCGATTCCTTCTGCAGAACCTCCTCTTTCTTTTGGGCGTCCATCGCCGCTTTCTTTAGGCGGGCTTGAGCGACTTTTGCTGGGCTAAACACCTGAGCTGAATTTGGATCTGTACGATCAAAGAGCAGATCTTTCAGAGCTTTACCGCGCTGTCTGCGCTTCTTTTCTTGGCTAATTGTCTCGCGGAGTCCTTGATTCTCATATCGAAGCAGTTCAACCTCAGATTGCAGGCTTTCGAGGGTGTTCTTCAGCTTTCGGCTGTTGCGGTCAGCATCGATAGAGGATTTGTCGACTACTTTGTCAATAAGTCGGCGTAAATCTCGGGCCGTAGGTTGCTGAAGGGCTAGTGATTCTGCCGAGTCGCTACCCGTATTCGAATCATCATCTTTTTTCTCAGTGATCTGCGATAGGACCACTTCTGGGTCAAAAGGCAGGAGACCAGTCCGTTTCCACCCACTCGCAATGTTCTCGGAAGAGAAGGAAGTCTCAAATGCGTTCCAAAATAAAGTCCAGAACTCACGTTTCGATAGGCCAATAAGGCCTTGTGTTTTTGCTGTCCACTGGATAAGCTGATTTGAGTATGCGGTCGAAAGGGGGCTGAATAGCGACACGTCCAAGGGTTGCAGCCGATGCGTGGAATGGGGGGGAAACACCGCAACGATAATCCGGTGCTGGTCACACCACTCCAGAAAGTCCATATTAACATGGCTAGAGTGGCCGTCGGTAATGAGAAGGCGATAATCACGACCGTTTCGAGCTTTTGCCTTAGTAAAGCGATCGAAAACACCGACGAGCCACTCTTTTCCAAGCTCGTGATTTGTCCACCCCGTTTCTGAGGTGGTAAAGAAGGCTGATTGATGTTCTGGGTCAAATTCATTGAGCCAAGAGTCCTGGACTTGTCCTGGTTTGCCTTGATAGATGAGGAATGGGGGCAGCGATGTCATGTCCTGGCTGATGCACGCCAGGAACGTAATCCAAGATCGATTACCATCTTGCGACGCACCGAGCAATTTGCCTTGCTTTTTGACGTTAATGGAAAATACTCTCTTCGTTCGATTGATCACACCCAAGAGAAATCCTTTCTCATCCGCGTTATACGTGTTGCAGGGTAGGATGTTGTATTTCTCGATTTTTGTGCGGATCTTCCACTGTCAGTTGTGAAAGGGAAGCTTCGTGCATTGGCTTACAAGCTCAAAATAAGCCCTATACCTAGAGGCATTATCGGCTCTCTTTCGCGCGATGTCCAACCCGTCGAACCATGTACAACCTAACTCATCACGATTGCGTCGAACGAAGCTGTACGGCCAGTCCTTTCCGACCTCGATTTTGGCGATATCCTGGGCGAAGTTCTTTATCATAGGTAAGGTAGGGGGAATGCCACGCGATGAAAGCTTATGAATATAAGCGATAAGATCCCGTTCTTGTTGTTTTGACAGACGTGACTTATACAAACTGTCGGCATCTCGTCTTGACCGCTGTTTGCCTTGATGTCGGCGTCGCAAGGTCGTCTCGTCGCAATTGAAACGCCGTGCAGTCTCAGCATAATTAACTGATTCCGACGATTTCAGGAAATCAAGGGCCTCATCAATCGGCGCCATGGTTGTTGAGTAATTGTCGATTGATGTTGAGTGTGCGAAGTGGCGGTGATCCGGCGGATCACCAGATCCGGCAGATCACCGGGAAATCCCTTAATTACCAGGGTTGGAAATCGATCCAAGGTGTTGCTGCGAGCAAGTCACAACGCCACGTGACGGATGTCACGATACAAGACATCGCATTGGTGACAAGCCGGCCCAGGAACCGACTGACAAAAGGAATGAGGTTGCCCGGAGGAACGTTGGGAATGTACACACCGTGTTTAAAGGCAGACACTCTCTTGCTTCCTCTAGCTGTTCTTTACGCTGTTTAAATACCTTGTACCGGACCCTGCCCTTGTCCCCGTCAGTGACATGTTACAGTGGGCGTGCAAAAGTTCCGACAATTATCCGATTTTCCCCGCCTTTGCGATCGCGATCGCGGACATCACATCTGGCCTCATCAACTTCGCTCAGCTACAGCTCAATCATTATGCCTCGGGTCAGGGCCAAATCTCATCACAGTCCTCATAAGAGGACTAAGATTGTATATAAATATAATTCTGGCGTTCCAGCCACTCAGATCGCTGCAGACGAAGGTATATCTAAACATGCAATATTTGGCATCGTCCGGCGGTACAAGGAGCAAAAAAGCGCAAAGAGCAATCCGCGCTCTGGGCGTCCGACTATCATATCAACCCGCGATAAAAATCATATCTTCAGAATCATCGATCAAGAGCCTTTCGTCACATTTACAGAACTTCTTGAGCAGACCGGTATGCGTTGCCACAGGTCGACTCTAACGCGGTGGCTGCGCAAACAAGGCGTCCAACACTACCGTGCACTTCGACGGCCATTTCTAGGCCCAGGCGTGGCCCAAAAACGCCTGGCTTTTGCACAGCAGTATATCAATGAAGAAGAAAGCTTTTGGCATCCTTGGATTTTCTCTGACGAGGTCTCGATCGCCCGTGGGGAGGGCGAAAGGCAGAAGTGGGTGTTCTGTAAATATGTAAGTCAGACGCTCTGTCTTACGATCACTTTCCTGACCGCACCTAGGGCGAGAGACTTAGAAAAAAGAACGTACAGAGCAAGCGGAAGCCGACGAGGCATTCCAAGATGTTTTTTGGCGCCTTCTGCCTTAAAAGGGCTACATCTTTAGTCCCTCTAGATGGCGACCCTTTGGCCGATCGCGGCGGCGTCTCAAGTCGTATTATCCTGGAATGCCTCAAGCAGCATCTTCCAGAAATTATCGAGGATGGAATGACATTCCAGCACGATAACGGACCAACTTATAAAGCTCGTCTCGTCCAAGAGTGGTTGCGTAGATACGCAAGAAGGGAGGGACTTTTCCTGCCAACTTGGCCGCCTTACTCACCCGATCTTAATCCTATTGAAAATCTATGGGCTATCCTAAAAGAGAGGATTTGCGAGCGGTATCCACATCTTGGAGACCTTCCGAAGAATATGGCTTCTTTGGATCTTTTAATTGATGCTGCAGTAGAGATTTGGGCTGAGATTGATAATGAGGTGTTCGAAAACCTAATAAATTCGATGCCTGCGCGGATACAGGCGGTTGTAGATGCAAATGGATGGTACACAAAATATTGATATAAGTCTTAGTAAACCTCAGCTTCTAGGCTTTAAATTAATCTAGTCTGTGACTTTTTATGACTTTAATTGATGCCAATACAGCTGGTCAAAGATTGTGGTGTCATCGCGGAAATTCGGGTGGATCCGGGCGTTGTCGGAACTTTTGCACCTAACTGTAGCAAAGTGGCTTCGCAACACAAGCTGTCAATTGATCGATTAGAAACCCTGCTTAATTGATTTGATCGCCGATCGGGTGGACCCCATATAAATCAGAGAGGTGCAGGGTGTGTTAGTGCGGTCCTGGGTGTCAGACCCATGTTCAAGCAGCGTCTCGATTTACGCTTGTAATGTAAGGCAACAAGCGACATCAGTGAATCCGCTTCTGGCACAATCTTCGCCGCCCTTAGCTAGTTAGTCAAGCAATACACACGAAACAGTATTACACGCGAAGTTCAACAGTGACTATGCAGAAAGTGGCCCACTCACTTGCCTGGCCCACTCACTATACATGGACATTATGGACTAGGTTTACTACTTGGGAACCTAACCGTTATACAGGTTATCTAAGATGTCTGTAGATTGTCAATCTTTGTTCTTAAAATCCGCCTCCCTGCCTTTTTCTTCTCCCTCATCCCAGTCACCCATTCCTCCACGAGGCCTCGTACGGTCTAGGACCTCGATATCCTAGCAGCTATATTATGGTGTGTTAGGTGCTAGCTGGAAGTATAACCAGTGAAGTTAATCGAGCGGTGTTCACTTTCCAAGCATATATACCATTTTGAATGGAATCAAACGTCTCATAACTCGTAACCTTAGTACCACTCTCAGAGTCCCTTCTTCCGCAAATCCGCTGCTGCTGCTGCGGCAGTCTTTTTCCCAGTAGGATCACCTTCCCTCATCTCCTTAACTGCACTGATCAAAGCTTTGCGTTTCACCCAGTCTGGTAGAGCTTCCCACAATGCAAGCTGTACGGCATGTGGCCAGTATGGGAGAACTGTGGGCCGCCCACAACCCACTCTCGCGAATGCAGCCCGGACCCAAGTTGCAGCATCAGGCACCAGGAAACTGGGCGGCAGCACCATTGTCCCGGTTCCTGTCACCTGCATAATTCGCAGTCCTACGACATCTACATCTCTTCCCTCCAGCACGGATTCTAGCCCCAACTCGATGGAGCTATTCATAAGGAAAGCCTTGGAGGGTCCGTATGACGGGAAGAGTGGCATGCCAACATCGGCCAAGGAGCCAACGTTGAGGACCAAGCTTGGTTGATTCGCTACCAGAAGCGGCATAAGCACTCCAGTGAGGAGCAACGGGAAGGTTGCATTGATTGAAATGTTGGCGGATAGCTCTTCTGTAGTGAATGAATCCACTGGCCCAAATTGGTGTCGCGGCATCATCGCACCAGCGTTGTTGATCAGAATTTTGAGTGGAATGTCGGACAGACTTGCCGCAATGCCTGGAAAGGACACATTGGACAGATCCGAAGCGTCCGCGATGATGATGCGGAATTGGCGCGCTGGGTACTGTGACGCCAGTTCCGATTTCACTGCGGTGAGCTTTTCCGCGTTTCGCCCGTGCAGCACGACGTTGAAGCCCCGGCGGGCTAGTTCCGAGCTGAAAGCATGCCCGATGCCATCGCTAGATCCTGTCACCAAGGCCCAAGCAGTCGCCCCCGCGGCGGTGCGCTCGTATCGCGAGAGACCCAACGGGGGCGAAATGTAGAGCGCCAAAAACGAAATGAACTTATAGGCAATACTTAGCAGCGTTGTAACGCCCACGATTTCGACGCAACGATGCACTAGCGATTCCATCAGAGCGAAGAAATACCTCAAGGAGGAAAGTAGAAGCAGGAGGTATAGTTGAAATTGCCGAGGATTGATGGAGGGGTGGAGGGAGACGAGGATATGAGACAATCATGACGTTGCTCTTCGGTAAAGTTCCGGCGGTATCTAGGGTTAGGTTCTGGTTTGCTATCTTCAGCTGTCTTGCTCAGAAGCTTTACTTAAAATCTATCTGGTATTTAATTCTATTTTTAAATGGAATACAATAGAAGATGATTTAATAGGTAAGGTAGTGGAAGAAAAAGATACAACAGTGTATAATTTCTTTTTTAAAATATCTGTTAGATTTATACTGTATGTTAAATAGCGTACGGCACATTCAAACAAGGGATGATTCGTCAATAGAGTGTGGATCCAGCATCTGTTGATTATATTCGTCTAGGATGCCTCCGGCCGCCTCTTTTCTCAGGAGGGGTTTTTTGTCATCTCACACCCCCTCTCACTAAGGTCTGGATATCGAGCTATGAGAGGTTTCGTAATACAGCGTCACAATCCAACAGAAGATTTTATGGCCTTTGCTCCCAAACTAACCTCTTTGCCAATCACATTCTCTTGCTCGTCTCCCCCCAGAGCCCCGTCCCAGTGACGTCGCTCGTGTTGCGGGATAGGGATCCATATTCCATTGAAGACTTGTCAACACCGCGTCGGCAACGTCCCCTAGAGGACGCTGACACCTTAAGACTGGGGAATCAGCATCGCCATATTCGTCCAGGGGTGCTCATTTTCGCTTCGACTCTTCTTTGAATGTTAACTCATCAGTCAGATGCCCTAGTTCAACACCGAGCTAGGGAGTCATGGTATGCCTCTGAGATATAAATACTTGTCATCCATTTCAGACGATAGTGAGAGTGAGATGGGCTAAAGTAGAAGTTGGTGGGGAGCTTTTGCGGGCAGCCTGAGGCTCAGTGGATGTCGTATAAGTCGGGAGGCAGGTGTGGCCATCTCCCTGGGTGAGATGGAGCGTTTCTGGTTGCCGCCTGCCAGAGTCGTCTGTCAGTCTGAGATCTTATCCATCACTGGACCACATACTCGCCAGCTCGCAAGATGAGAGCAACGAGATAATGTTCGATTCCTAGGTATTCAATTATACCTTCTTGAGATCATTACAGGCTTCATTTTGATAATCCTACACCCCATTTACATCCCATCGAAAAGGCTCCGAAAACCCCTGTACATCAATCATGTATGATGGCTAACACTCACTTCCGTCCCTGGGCACCTAGTTCCCATCGACAGTCAGTTGCCCGCCGATATCTTGCCCTCAATCACCTCGACAATCTTCTTCCAGCTGACCATGGAGCCTTCTTCGACGTCTCCGCAGGCCAATTCCTTCTCGATCAGCCGAAGCACCTCGATCCAGCCATTCTCGCCCCCCCACTCCTCCTCGAGCGTCTTGATCTGTTTGTCCGTGGCGGGGTGTCGCCACATGGCCGTGTCCATGCTGGGCGCCACGACGATCTTCTTCTTGACACCGTCGACGGTGCCCATTGTGTCCCACGCGCGGATGACCGACGTGAGCAGGTTGTCGCACATGCCGTTGACCATCTTGGCCATGGTGTTGGCGCTAAGCGGCGCAATCACAAGCACGTCGGCCCACTTGCGCAGCGCAATGTGCAAGATGGGCGCGCCGCGCTTCCACGGTTTAGCCCACTCGGAGGCGTCGGTGTAGACGGCGTCCACGTTGGGGAGGTAGGCGACGGCCGAGAGGGCCGGCTGCTCGCGCGACTGACCAGCGAGGAAGTGGACCGCGGAGCCCGTGAAGATCACGCGGATTGAGAGGTTCTTGTGCGCCGAGAGGCCCTCGATGATCTGGACCAGATTTATGGTGGCGGCGGAGCCCGAGACGGCGAGCAGGACGTGCCGCTTGCCGTCGTTGCAGGCGAGCTCGAGCGTCTTGGTGGAGATGCGGACGGAGTGCTCGTGGTGGGCATCGTGCCCGTGCGTGATCTTGTGAAGCATTGCTCTGAACCTGTGGCCGAGGACTGCGGGGTGATGACTTGTTGCGCGGTTGTCTCTTGAGTGTGAAACTCCAGATGTGATGGGTTGTTGGTGTTGAGAGCAATGAATATGGCCGTAAGGCAGGTATAAGTAGTCGATGTAGCTCTGCTCAACTTAACTTAAGCTGTCTTATGTTCTCTAGCTGCGATTGAACCAAAAGGGATGGAATTGAGCACGACTTTGGAGGAATGAAAGCAGGTAGGATATGTAGTTACATCTGATCTGATGGGTGGATCTTAGAGTTCCTGCTCGGGCTGATGCACATCGGAATGCATGCTGCCGCATTTTAACCCCGCCGTCGTTCCCCACGTCACCCGATGAATCCGTGACTGAGCATGACGAGCATTGACGAGCGTGGCTGATTGTTGTAGTCACCATCCGCATCCGTCGTTGCAATGGCCTGACTGGTCCAAATGCCTCGGTCCCGCGGCTGAAGAAGGCTCGTGGCCATCGACCGGCTAAGTTCCCGGGCACCGTTGCCGGTGCCGTTTGTTGCTGAATCGATGAGTATCTTGATTGGACTTCGGGTTTATTGACGTCGTCGAGACCCGTTTCAAGTGGGCAACGAATGCCTGGCCAAAGGAGAAAAAGCTTAAGGAGCTCGGGTGGGCTTATAATGGACGAGATGCACCTAACAGATTGCGATGCTGTAACGGAGTAATTAGTTGCGATTCCAATGAAAGAAAAGCCGGGGGCTCACGGTGTCCTGCTTTGTGTTGGTTTGATTCTTCACGGTTTTGAGTTTTATGATCCTAATCATACCCTCGAAATCCGATTTAGACCGATTCCGCTAGATGGCGTTTCCGGGCTTATCTTAAGGATGCGGTCGCCAAAATGGTTGAGACTAGAAGAGGAAAAATACTTTGCTTGGGTACTTTGCTGAGAAAATACTTGCCAGTAACGTACTAAGTCCCCGGGTTTCTGCGAGACAATCCCATGCACCTTCATGGCATGATCCTGCAGATGTATCCTGTCATCCAGAGGCATTTTACAAGACAGCACTCTATCGCCTCGCCGTCCTGGACATTAGACAAGTGGCGTCGTTTATAGTGCTGGCTTGCGTCTCGTATAAAACCCCACCCCGAGCACCCACCTCCAATTTCCCCTCCACTACATCGCCTCTCTCGCATATTAGCTTCGGCATGGTGTCATCGCCAAAAGCAACCTTGAGCCCACCCTCACATACACGCTCTTTCCCTTTACCCCTCTTCTTTACTCCGTCATGAGTTTAAGTACAGTCCACGGAGCCCGCCGAGGTTCCCGAGCCCATCCGCATCATCGACACCAGCGACGACGATATCAACGATAATATCAACACCAACGGCCACTCTCACTCTACCAACGGAGGCATCAACGGAACACCCTCGTACATCGACAGCATGGCCCATCTCTCTGTCGTCCACTCCGCCGGCTCCCACGCCTCCCGGAGACCTCAGATGCAGCTCTCCAACTACGAGGATGAGTTCGCCACCAGCGTCTACAGCTCGCGCTTCGCTGGCATGGACCTGCCGCACCATCACATGCCTGAGTGTGAGATGCCTCGCGACATTGCCTATCGCATGATCAAGGACGATCTCAGCCTCGATAATAACCCTATGCTCAAGTATGTTCCCCTCTGATGATAATGATGACGATAACGATAATAATACTGACCTTTCAAAGCCTGGCCTCATTCGTCACCACATACATGGTAAATTGCACCTCCTACTGACTTCTATGTTCCCAGTATCCCCTTCTCTCCCTTAGTACTCAAGCCAATATGTATGCCCGTTCTCTAGCGTCTTGGCTCTGGGGAAATGGGGATAACCCACTCTCCACCTATACCAACCTGAAACATCCAACATCCATCAGACAAATCTCCAACCACAAGACACATTGACTAACAAGGGGGTGATCCCCCAAATCTACAGGAAGATGAAGCCGAGAAGCTGATGGCAGAGGCCTTCTCCAAAAACTTCATCGACTACGAGGAGTATCCCCAGTCCGCTGACATCCAGAACCGCTGCGTCAATATGATCGGCGACCTCTTCCACGCACCCACCAGCACCTCGGTCGGCACCTCTACCATTGGTTCCTCCGAGGCCATCATGCTTGCTGTCCTCGCCATGAAGAAGCGCTGGAAGAACCGACAGCTCGCCGCTGGCAAGAGCACCGAGCACCCCAACATCGTCATGTCCTCGGCCGTCCAAGTCTGCTGGGAGAAAGCCGCCCGCTATTTTGAGATCGAGGAGAAGCTTGTTTACTGTACTTCTGACCGCTATATCCTCGATCCAGATGAGGCTGTCAACCTATGCGATGAAAATACCATCGGCATCTGTGCTATCCTTGGCACTACCTATACCGGCGAGTATGAGGATATTAAGGCTATTAACGACCTTCTTGTCGAGCGGAATATTGATGTCTCTATTCACGTCGATGCTGCAAGTGGTGGCTTCGTTGCCCCATTTATCGTCCCCGACCTTGAGTGGGACTTCCGATGTGAAAAGGTCATTTCTATTAATGTCTCCGGCCACAAGGTACTACCTCTGCTCTCTTGAGTGACTCGTTATAGATACTAACCTATAAGCAGTATGGTCTTGTCTACCCAGGTGTCGGCTGGGTTATCTGGCGAGCCCCTGAGTACCTTCCTCAGGAGCTCGTCTTTAATATTAATTACCTTGGCGCTGACCAATCCTCCTTTACCCTTAACTTCTCCAAGAGCGCATCTCAGGTCATCGGCCAGTACTACCAGCTAATCCGCCTCGGCAAGCATGGCTACCGTGCTATTATGAGCAACCTGACTCGCACCGCCGACTATCTGACGGAGACGCTCGAGAAGCAAGGCTTTGTTATTATGTCGGAGCGGTCCGGCGCCGGCCTGCCCCTTGTAGCCTTCCGTTTCCCTACCCCACAGGAGGGCGGCAACGGCCACTATGACGAGTTCGCGCTGGCGCACCACCTGCGCTCCCGCGGCTGGGTCGTCCCTGCCTACACCATGGCGCCCAACTCTAACATCAAGATGCTACGCGTGGTCGTGAAGGAAGACTTCACCCGCGCGCGCTGCGACTCGCTCATCAACGACATCACGCTCTGCCGTGGTCTCCTCGAGGAGACGGACCGGGAAAACAACAAGGAGAGGGAGGAGTACATCAAGAAGCACCTCACATCGCTGGGCAAGAGCAAGCACGTCGTCCCCGTCTATACGGTTAGTCTCCCTTTTCCCGTTTATGGTCCCTCGACCGGTGTCGCTGTGAAGCACTGCTGATATACGACAGAATCAGAAACATTCTCTCCAGGGCAAGACGGGCAAGACCCACGCTATCTGCTAGAGGAATACAGGGACCGATCCAAGGGAATATGCAAATGTACATAGACCCTTCCAATTTACTCTCTCATGTGCTCTACGCTCCTTCGCTATCAACCCACAATCTTGGTTACATCTCTTCGAGATCATCACGAAAGCCCAATCTATCTGCCAACCTAAACCTACGCGACTGGTTTATCCCTTGGAAACCCCAGCCTGTTCTAATGATAAGAGCGCAGCGACTATCCCTTTAACGCTAATAAAGGTCTGCGTCTGACGGCCAAGAATATTGAGCACTAAGCTGCCTGTTGGATTGTAACCCTTATTGGATAGTGTACGGCACATCCGATCAAAGGATAAGTGTTCAATCGGGTGTGGAGGCCAAAAATGATTGTTGTTGGAAGATGACCCTGAATTACGAAACCTCTGATAGACTGATATCATACCTTGGTCAGAGGGGGTGTCAGAAAACCCCTCTCTGACCGGCCCGGTCCATCCGGGCCCAAGCAATTATCAACATCATCATCACTTTGAACCCTATTGCCCTGATCAAATTGACCGTAACGGATCCACCATAAGGTATAAACGGACTTGCACTTCCGCGTCTCGCCAATCCCCTGCATACATGGGCACTTTCGTTCGTTCGTTCGTTCGTTCGTTCCGTTTAAAACGTTTATACATGTTAAATCGTTTAACCGTTTAAGGGCATCCTAAAACCGTTTGAACGGTTAAACGATTTTCCAGCCCTGGCACTCGAAAAATCTTTCAAAATGTCAAGTTCCGGAGACCTTCGCTTAGGTCAAGGGCAAGGATCACGACCATCGTGAATAGCTTCACGGCCAGCGTGAACGCTACACCATACCTAGCGTCAGGTAACAGCCTGCTCCCTATTAGATCGACAGACTGAACACAGGTATAAGAGACCGACTCTCGTCGCTCCTTAGATAGAAGAGATGGTCCTCAATCTACACTGATCTTTTGTTCAATGTCTGCATTCGTGTATCGGTGCTAGGTTGACACAAAACCCATTGATATCGGGTCTCAATCCATGATACCAAATTCAAAATCTCGCCTTATAACTACCAATATGTCATCTGACACATCGTCTATTATTGGTGCTACAGAAAACCCCCCAGATGTCAATGGATTGCCGTCAAACTTCCTCTCAATTATGGACATCACGAAGGACCGTTCAAATACACGCGGACGCAAGACTGGAGGTAAAACCATCTATACTTGCACTGTGTGTGGAGATAAACGATACGACCATAAGGCAAATGCTGCCAATCACGTCAGAAACAACCATCCCGTCGCATCCAGATCCACCAGGTCTGTCTCGGGCACCCAGCGCTCAATCTCCGCACATTTTCGCCCTGTAGCAAGCGAGGACGCACTTCGAAATGCCTTCAACCCGCAAGCATATCAGGAAGCATTGATCAGCATACTCACGCGTCGGAGAGTGCCCTTTTCGGCTATTGAATGGGACGAGTTTCAACAACTAGCTCTCGCGTGTAACCCATACATCAAAGACTCCCTCATTACCTCACGGCGTACGATGGTCCGATATATTGCAGCAAACTATGATTTTTACAGCAGCGAGATCAAGGACAGTCTCACCACCGCGTCAAGTCCGATTCATATCTCAACAGACCTCTGGACATCACCGCATAGACATTCTCTACTTGCTGTGTGTGCACAATGGGTAGATAAAGACTACAAGCTTCGTAAGGCACTACTATCTCTACCAGAATGTGCAGAGAGTCATTCTGGAGAAGCTCAAGCGCAGGCTGTTATCGATACTTCAGAGAAGTACGGGATACAGTCAAAACTTGGTTGGCACACGGGTGACAACGCGACATCAAACGACACATGTCTTGAGTCTATACAACACAAGCTAATGAGTAGACACAAGGTTAGTTAACTACGCAGTTTAGGCTATAGGCTGACATTGAGTAGATTAAATTCAACGCAAAAGGACGTCGTATACGCTGTATCGCGCATATCATTAATCTTTCCCTTCAAGCCTTCCTTCTCGCATCTTCTAAAGAGGCTCTAGTCGCAGCACTCGAGTCAGCATCCGGTGTCACTGGAGAGGAGCTTCTCTCCCAGTTTTCCGAGGTCCTAGCCTCTCATCGAAAGAAGGCTGCCGCCGAACGAAATACAGCAAAGAGAAAGAACGGAGAGCCGGCCAGAAAGCACAAGCGCAAGGGCAGCACGGCTAGCAATACGTCCGTGATATCGGCTGACGACTTTAGCGGCGTTGAGAATGTCCCTGCATTACGCAAGCTTCATGGCTTAGCTGTGTGGCTAACATCATCAAGCCTCCACCAGAACAGGGATGGACATCTTACGAATCTATCGAATCGAACGCCAAGCCTTGGCGTTCGAATCGAATGTGACCCCGTAGATTCGAATCGAATCGGACGCATCTCCCACAGATTCGTATCGAATCGAACGTGCCACAATTCTTGTCCTGTAGATTCGACTCGAATCGAACACATCTCCCGCAGATTCGTATCGAATCGAACGCGCCACAATTCTTGTGCCGTAGATTCGACTCGAATCGAACATGTCTTCCGTAGATTCGATATCTATCGAATGCCAAGATTCGATCGAATTCGATTCGAACTCGATCGAACGTAGAACTAATCCCGGCGGAGACCGAAACACCAATAGGACCTAGAACCAAATGGACCGTCGTCATCATCACCAGGCCGTCATGCCGTCATACCCCGACAGAAGAGTGGTGAGAGGTGCAGAGCGGGTTTAGAAGGTATCACGGCTTCAGATAAGACATCGCAGAACATCGTCAATTGTGCAAAGGCAGGTACTAGGCAGATTAAATGTCACTCGTCCCCCTCAGCGACGCAAGTGCGTCAACCCATTGATCATCACTGAGGCTAACCAGCGGCAGTGAAGGCGTGTAGATCCCAGCTTTACTCCATGATCGAATGCACTGAGCCATCGCCACTATCTCCCTCCTCAGCCGACTTCTCAACGGTGCCGTCATACGTCCTGCACTGCTAAATGTCCTCTCGCTCTCCGCAGACGACGATGGGATGGTGAGCATATCAACCGCCATCAGAGACAGTCGCGGGTACCGATTCCTGTTGATTTTCCACCAGTCAATCGGCCTGCTTCTGTAGTGGTGACTGTTGACAACATCCTCAGCACAGTACCGAGCATATTCGTCATCAGCAGTCGCTCCTGCTGTCGTGTGTTTCGTCTTTCGGGTGCTCTTGCGGGCACTGGACACTGCCAAGGACGAACCCTGGGCGCATGGCGACCCAGCTACACTCCTGGCAAGTCTCCGCTCAATGTAATCCATTGAGGCCTCGTCAGATGTAGCGAAGACTTCGTAGTCAACTTCGCGTTCCCTGTAACTCTCCCAGATCTCCAAGAGCTGGGATTCGTACTCTAATCGCCAACCCTTGGCCTTACGAGAAGGCACTCGAGACCACAGTTGATCGAGAAGGCGCCACTTCTTCGCCGGGTTGAAGACAACAGCGCCGACATAAGCTGCGCTAGTCAGACAGTTGTAGTACTTGTGCAGCTTCTTCCATCCGAGCTTGATAAAGACCTTGAGCAATCTACGGGTTCTGCTATCGAGCCCGTCGTAGATGGCGACTTCGACGTCCTTCTTCTCCTTGCTCACTGGATCCTCAACTTCTTCAAAGATTGTGCCTTCGATAGCTCCTTCGAGGTGGTCAAGTAGGATCTCGAAGACAGGGAAGTATTCATCGAAACTACCGCAAGTCGACCTCGCGTCGGGAATACCGTCGCCCTGAAGTTGCTTGGTGGCGATTTCAAAAGGCTTCAGAAGCTTGACAAGCACCTCGATAACCTTCCAGTCGTACGCACTTAAGCGGTATTGCAGAACTGCCGGTTTCGGTTTGTCACAAAGACCCTCAGTTTCCCAACGGTTCTGAACGTCATTGAAGAACGTATTGAGAGCCGGGCGGAGACGAAGGGCCCTCTCCATCATCCGCATATCCGAGTTCCATCTGGTGGCATTGTTGAAGACCCAGTGAAGTGTTGATTCATGGCCGGATTCCTTGCGCTGAGACTGAAGAAACTGCTCGTACAGCTGTGTAGTCGCTCGCAGCTGAATCCCGATGTTGTGAAGCATTCCTGGGGCGCCGTTCTGGCTGTACTCCCTGAAAGTGGCTCCATTGATCTCCTCCGGGGCTGGGTGGGATGATAGGAAGTCCTCTTCTGGGATACCAACGGCAGTGTTCGCTTCAAAGTCTTCATCCGTGCCGTCTTCCATTTCTACATCCAGGGCCTCGTCGATAGCTTGATCAACTAGCTCCTCATCGTCATCTTGATCGTCACCATCGGCAGCGATGATTGCCGCGAAGTTCTCTCGCTTCGAACCGTATAGCATTGCCCGCACGCAAAGGTTGAAGATATGCGCAGCGCAGCGGATCCGTCGCTCTTCAGCTGAGAAGCCGTGTTCAAAGGCAAGATCGTCCATGCAGGTGTCATTGTTGGCAGCATTGTCCAGCGTGAAGTAGCCAACCTTGTCCGGGTCGTTGATTTGCCAGAATGCGAGCGTATCAGCGACCTCATCGGCAAGTGAAGCACCGTTGTGTCTGCCCGAGAGAGGTCGAAGCCCAAGGAGGATTCGGTGTTGGACAAAGTGGTTATCAATGAATTGAGCGTTGATCCCAAGAAACGAAGTGTACGACTTGGATGTCCAACCGTCGAAGGAGAAATGAATCTGGGATCGAGCGCTGCGCAATACTTCGGTTACCGGCCCAACGGCACCCCTATACTCGGATTCGAGCATGCGAAGCAGCGTCTTCGCAGAGGGAATGTGGGTCACATCAAGGAGGGGATTGCCGTAGAGAAGGATCCGCTGGAACCGCTCGGTATTGACAATGTTGAACGGCAGGTTATGGTAGGTAATCCAGTCGAGGAGGAGTACTCGGAGGCCTTTGCTGCTGAATCTTCCACGCAGCTTGCTGAGAAGAAACTGGTCGTGGGGATTATTGAAGTCGGCATCGATGAAGTCGGTGATGGTCCTGTCATTTAGAAATGAGCCCCCCACGGGGCTGGCAACTTTGTTCGGGGCCTGCCAAATCAGCACGTTATCAAACCGTAGATGAGAGGCACACACTTACAAGAATCCCGTGGGCTTTGAGTAGGTGTTTCCTGATGGCGACTCCTGTCGAGCAGACGAAACAGAAGTCCGACTTCTTCTTGAAACCTCGGGCAAAGCAGTCGGCGCAGATCCACTTCAGCTTATTTCCCTGCCGCGAGGTGGAACGGTCCTTAACGCGATACCCATATTGTTGCCACCATGCCCTCGTGTCTTGGCCGCCAGTATAACGCTCGAATCCGGGCCATTTGGCCCACTCTTGGCGGCCCCAGAGTGTCCAATCGACCTGAATAAAATCGGCGGCAGTCCCGCGAGGACGGAGCGATGGCGTCGTTGGTAACGAGGTTCCTGGAGACGGGGCGGCTGGCGAAGAAGAGAATTCATCGCGCTCCATCACACCTGGTTGATTCCAGGACGAAGGGCTCAAAGAGAATGGTTCGGAGGACATCATGATGCAGTTAGTTTAGCTAGTCGGACAGATGGGTCGCGTGGGTCGAGGTTGTTGGAAGCCATTGAGACTGCACTGAGGCTCAACTTAAATCCATCCATCCATCACTGACTGGACAGGCATTGAGGCCAATAACACGCGTATATCACGCCCATTTTGTCGTCAACGCGAAATTCGCGACATCTCCACTGCCGCTAAACATGCAAAGTCTTGTGCGATTAATGATGCATTCGCGAGCAGCGCGAACGACGACCTGGCGCGCCCAAGGCGAGAGAGTCGCGCGTGAAGCCGCCATTGTATGTAAGAAGCCAAACTTTGTTCCGACCATTGGTGTACGGAGATTCTCCCAAGTGCCGCTCCACCAAGCTCTCAGTACTTGGCAACCAGCCAAATCGGGGTCTCGTTGATTAGGTCCACAGACGGCGGGGTAAGATTCCATATATTCCCTGTTCCACTTGCGTCAGAGGCTCCTATTGGCTCATGCCACAAGCACAGACGCATCACTACGGGCCAACCTTGAAAAAAAGCCATCCCGTTCCTCAGCCGAGTCCCCATACCGGCTTTGCATTTGTGCTCATTCCAATCTGGCGTCAACTCAGAATGGATTCTTGAGATTTTCGTAAACCGTTCACGTGAGGGGGCGGAACGGTGGGGACTTGAAGTTGAGGCTCTAAGTGGATGCACCTGTGAAGTCGCTGGTACATCGGTTCACAGGCAAAGCTGGCTTTAGGCGCAGGTCCCCGAGACAACCAAAAAGTTAAAGAGGGGGGCAGGAAGATCATGAATCCCATACTCGCCAATGCGTGAAAACTTCGAGCCGGACATATTCATCTGATCATGCCAAAGCTGGCATCAGTAAAAACTTTTTAGTAGAGAGAAATACGGAGACAGTTTTTTTTTGGTTTCCTTTTCTTTTCTTTTTGCTTCCTTCCTATTATTCTGCAGAAAAAGCGGCGTGTTTTTGGTGATCCCCCTCTCTGTATAGCGGCCTGTTACTGGGACAAACATACCCTATACTCCTGCGTTAAAAACTACTGTAAGCCCCACCTACTTTATATGACGACCTTGGTACCTCCTAACTTGGGAGGTTGTATTTTACAGCAACAATAACTCATACTTCAACCCCCCACGCGACAAATATATATTCCTCATAGAAACCGACTCAGTGTTTTATTACAAGATTAAATTGGGTTGTCCGTTACATTCCTGTAAAGCACCTGCTGGTGGGTTGTTTGTCGGGATTGTGACCATGGGAGTCATTCCCAACTGGTAAACCTGTTGGCAATTCGCGGTGGCCGGCGCGTTAATCCGTTCCGGGCTGGGGGGCGGTTAGACAGGGTCGTGACAGGGATGATTGCTGTAGTTGCAGGGTACCTAGTATGCTATGGGCTTTTAGGGTCATGTTATGTACTTGCTAACACATCTTAGCATTAAGATGAATTGTTGTCAGTGTTGATCGCGTTGCACTTCTCGCGTCGAGGAGAGTGCCAGGGGCCTCTTAACGCGTCTGCGAATCGCGCTGAATCCACCCCTTGGTCATGATTCGCACATCGCGTCTCTCTGTTCGACCGAATCGATCGATTTTCGATCGAACGGGTGGGGGCGATCGATTCGATGTCGAATCATATGGTGACCTGTACGGTTCGAATGTCGAATAGGATGCCCCACATTCGAATCGATGTATTCGAACATCGAACAGGACATGTCACATTCGATTCGATGCGAATCGAATGGGCACGCCGCAGATTCGACATCGAATCGAATGCCAAGAAATTCGATTCGACATTCGTAAGACTTGGCATCGAATGAATCTATCGATTCGATTCCCGTTCGTTCGATGTCCATCCCTGATCATAGGGATGAAAGCTCTTGATTTTCTACCTAAGGGACGGGCCTAGGGCCCGTCTTTTATACATGATGAAGACGGCTGCTGCCGGAGGCGGCAGTCCGCCGCCGCACAGGGGCCGGGGCCCTGTGGGCCTCAGGGACCGGCATCGTGGTCACAGGGCCGGCGATGTGGTCTGAGATAAGAGGGGAAGAAAGGAAAGTCACGTTGTCTAGGATATGACCCCAAAATGTGACAAATTCAGTGTCAATATCAACCTTGGCTGGAAGAAGCTTGATAAATATTACAATACTTTGAGGGACTCGCCAGCATACTACGCCGCCGCCGCCTTACACCCTAGCCTGCGATGGGACTATTTCGACGAGGTTTGGGGTCAACAGCATCCGGGTTGGGTCGATGAAGCGAAGGATATCGTGCAACGTCTTTGGGAGACGGAATACAGGGATTTACAGATCACGGTCACGTCTCCTGAAGGTCCGGTTGTGAAGAGGCGAAAGACGACCTTGTCCTCCTTTGATCGGTATCGTAATCGATACCGTCAAAGCCAACCCTCCGCTGCTCAAGCGGATGAATATATCCGCTGGCAGGCCAGTGTGTCTGGGAGCGACAAGGACGTCGCAGACCCAGTTGAGTATTGGATTCTCAAGAGGTTTGAGTACCCGAGACTATCTCGAATGGCTCTTGACGTCATGACAGTGCCGGCCATGAGCTCGGAGTGCGAGAGACTGTTCTCTGCCACCGAGTTGATGGTCACGCCGCTCCGAAACCGCTTAGACGCTGGGACGATTGGACTAATCCAAACGCTGCGATCTTGGTTACGCGCAGGCATTATCGAAGATGTCGATAGCATACTGCTTGACGATACAGCGTTGGAGGAGGCTGTTGGACGGGCTTGTTTGGAGGAGCAGCAGGAGTGAGGCAATCGAAATTTCGGCGATAGGTTCCCGAATTGCCCGATTAGGAAATCCGAGTTAATGTGACAGGGGTCTTCCACGGGGTCAATATTATGGACATCAATCCACAGATAGCCTCGTGGACATCAATCCACGGGCACTCTGCTGAGTAAGCCGTCAATTCAATCCACAAAGTCGGATATTGACGTGGATGGATTGATTCCCTACCCTGAATGATCATATTGGCGGGACAACGAATTCTTTTCTTCAGCGGCAGTGTCTTGCAATTAACTCATAAATCATACGTGATATTCTTAGTCCGGACCCATTCCTCCATCCCTGTATTGAATCTCCCGAAGCCGCTGGACTTGGCACCTCCATGCGGCAGGGCTGATTCGTCATGAACAGTCATGCGGTTAATATGCACAGCTCCTGTCTCTATCTTCTTGGCAAGCCTCAAAGCTCTTCGCAGATCGCGAGAGAAGATGGCTGAAGAGAGGCCGTACTCAGTGTCGTTCGCAATGGTGAGAGCGTCCTCCTCAGTCTCAAACTCGATAATGGAGACTGTTGGGCCGAAAGACTCGGTCATGTAGATTTCCATGTCGGGCTTGACATTGCTAATGATGATGGGCCGCAGCCGTGTCTTGGTCGATTCGGTAGCATCCACTTCACCACACACCAGTGATGCGCCCTGGGCCAAGGCGTCCCGGGCCAGACGTTGATTCTTGGCCACCGCTCGGTCTGCGATCAGGACAGGGCTGTCGCTCTGCGAAGCAAAAAGCTTGTCCGTCCATTCCCTCAGCTTCTCTTCCAGCTCTGGGCGGATCGACTTGTGGACTAGGATACGCTCGGTGCTCATACAGATCTGTCCCGCATACATGAATGCTCCCAGCGCACATTGCTTAGCTGCGACGTCAAGGTCAGCATCTTCGCATACGATAGCCGGTGCTTTACCACCCAGTTCGAGGAGAAGGGGTTTCAGGTTTGCGCCGGCCCATTCGGCGACAATGCGACCCACGACGGTGCTGCCGGTGAAGTTGATCTTCTTGATGATTGGGTTGCTGATCAGGGTCTTGGTAACTTCTGGGGCATTCTGCGGGTTGCAGGTGATGAAATTGATAACGCCGTTGGGGAGCCCTGCTTCTTGAAGCACCGAAGCAACAGCCCAGAGCGAGCGAGGGCTCAGCTCCGAGCCCTTGAAGACCACAGTGTTACCCGCAGCAATCGCCCACACGACGGCTCTGAAGCCTAGCGCATAGGGGGCGTTCCTATTCATTCATTGTCAGCTATGCTGTTGCCATGAGGAATGTCGGCGGCTAGCTTGACTCACCAGGGGGCAATGGCCAGAACAACGCCGTAGGGCTCCTTCACAACGAGCGCGCCCGTGGTCGGGTCGCTTGGACTCGGTATCCTCCCTTCGATTGCAGTAATCCTACTTGCACAGTCAAGGAGACACTCCTTGGCGAGGTACATGTTGAACTCTGCCCATCCCTCGTCGCTGCCGGTCTCCTGCATCATGTACTCCTTCAACTCTGACGAACGCTTCTCGACAGTATTGGCGGCCGCTAGGAAGATGTTTCGACGCTGCGCAGGTGTCGTCTGGCTCCAAGACTCAAAAGCCCTTTCTCCAGCATGGGCAGCCGCTTGTGCGTGGGACACATGGGCATTCGAGCTCTTGTGTACGACAGCCCCCGTACTTGGGTTGACCACGTCGAAGGTGTCGTCGGAGAAGACTTCATTGCCGTCGATGACGAGAGGCACATCATCCCCATGGACGGGAGCCCCGCCACTCTTGGTTGTGACAGAAATAGGCATGGTAAGGCAGTGTCGAGGCTGAACGAGTTTAGTCCTTAGTCTGCAAGAGGCACAATGCTCACCGTCGGCGCGGAGAGACTCACGCCGTGAATGATAAGAAGATGTCCTTGACGGTGGCTGAGTGGGTGGTCTGTCGTGTTCCTGAAGGGGAATATTGGCGGGGTAAGAAGCGAATTCTTATGAGACGACCCGGTACGACAATCCTTGCCTATTGGGGGTATCTCCGTTCTGGTCGGAAGCCGGGTGTGTGTGTGGGGGGGGGGGACCGGAAGCTGGGGAAGCGAGCCCCACCCATGCAGCAGCCATCTAAGCTTAGCTTACTGAGCAGGACGAGCAAGCATTCCAGATCTGGGCAGACCAGGACCAGGACCAGGACCAGGATCAGGATCAGGACCAAAACTCCCTGGATTCGCTGACAAATCCCATGCTCTCATCGGAACAGAACAGGACTCGGGGCATGCTGCCTTAGTGGGGGACAAAAAAACACGGGGATGGCTCCAGTGGGCGACGATCAATATTTGGTCGGAGCCATTCCCAGGGCTTCTGCGTGGCCGGAAGACGGCCAATCAAAACAAGATCCGATCGGAACCATTGGCCCGCAATACGCCTCAAGCTCCCCCTTCCCCGCTCCCTGGGAGGAAGGAGCATTAGATATTGGCGATTGACACATGACGGCTGATCCCCGCTGGCATCATCAGGATGAGGTCCTGGGGAGGAACGTTAGGGATCAAGGTAGCGACTGACACATAACGGCCGAATGCTCTCTAGTTGCGAGGTCGTAGAAGCACCAAGGCGTTTGAATACTAGGGGCCTGGGTCATGGAAACTCGGTGCGGATTGCAGCGAGACAGAGTTAAGATCCGTCTGTTAGCATCAGATCTACGCAGCTCACTTCCGACAATTGGTGATGAGTAGGAAAGAGGATAGCATGCTCAGGCGCGTTTTCAATCAGACACGATGGTGTTCATGGGCTCAATATGTTGCGTTCAGTCCGATTTCTAACCTAGTCCTCCTACAACAGCCGCCGAGGTATTGGGAGCCAATACCCGCAAATCAAGAAAACACTGCACTGTCGGAAGCTTCTCAAGTTGTCGCGAACAGCAGGTTCCCCCCTGCAGTGTTCGTCGAATACTGCAAAGGCAGAACAGTTTGTAGTCTCGCCGTAGCCAGCTGCTTGCTGCTCGGTAGCGACGGGAATCGGAGCCAAAGTCCCGCGATCACCCAACGTGCTCAGCTTTAGAGCGGACCTTCTCCTTCTCTGCGCCTACCAGACCCAGATCCTTCTCCGCCTTGTCCAATGCCGCAGCCGCCTGTTGAGCCTGTTCACCGTCGAACAGAAGAGCGACTTGTTCAAGCGTATGTCCCTTGGTCTCAGGATAAAAGAAGTAGACAATAATATTCATTGCGATGAGAATCGCAACGAAAACAATGTAATACCTCCAGCCGATAGCCTCCAGGGCGATTGGATTGACAAAAATATTGAAAGTAAGCGAGAGCATAGAGAACCAGACAGCACTGGTCAATCCACGAGAACGAAGGGCGTAAGGCCAGATCTCGCATGGATACGAATAGAGCAGCGGCGTTCTGTTGCGTAGTAGTAATTGTCAGTAACTGAAATGGGATCCTTAGGGGCCAAGAGGGGCTCAACTTACAACGCGATATCATAACCAGCATAGTAGATGAATAAGAACGGAATCACGGCTAATCTAGTCGCGCTACTTCCAGATTGCAAAGGAGCCTGAAAGCGCTGTCACGATCACATACGCAACCAACATGACCGCTCCAGATGCCATAAATAGCTTTCTGCGCCCCAACCTGTCAACTGAAAATGCAGCGGCCGTTGCAAAGATCAGATTCCAAATCTGCAAGCAGGCCGATATCAAGGTCTGATGGGTGACAGAAGTAATCCCCACGGTCTGCAACACTATCGCAAGATAGTAGCTGACGACGCCGCTACCAGTCCATTGTGCAAAGAAGCCCAGGGTGACGGAAATCAGCAAGCGGTGACGATTGCCTTTGCCTCTGAACAGTTGGAGGTAGCTCGTCGACTTCTGGGCGGCTAGCTCCTCCTCTATAGCTATTTCGATCTCGATCGCTTCTAGATTGACAAGAGGGGAGGATAGATCGCCGCCAGCGTGGGCATTGGCAAGTACAGTTCGGGCATCGGACTGGCGATTGACGGATATAAGCCAACGGGGGCTCTCAGGGCAGAGGATGAAGCCGGGCAGTGCTATAATGGGCAGCAGAGCCTGCAAAACCGAAGGAATACGCCAGGACCAGCTGGTAGGGTCGTTGCGGGTGCCGAAGGTTACCCAAGCTGTGACGACAGCCCCAACATACCAGCCACAATTGTAGAGAGAGCTGGCAATTCCCTAGCAGCACAAAGAACACTCATTAGCTTAGGTCTCAAGCGACCTTGGGTTTCGAGCAGTAACTCACACGATGAGGAGGATATGCAACCTCCGTGATAAGAAGAGGCGTTGCAGTTGTGTACCATCCAGTATTGACTCCCAGGAAAAACCGTCCCAGGATGAACGTGGTCACGTTCTGAGCCCCCGCCTGCAGACCTACACCCAGGGATAGGAAAGCAAAACCAATCCAGATACCCTTTTTGCGCCCGTATTTGTTGGCGGGAATTGATAGGGACGCGTGACGTTTTGATAGGGACGCGTGAGTCTTAGGGACGCGTGACTTTTATGGCCTCTGATTCGCTAATTCCTAGTCTGTTAGTGCACTCGAATTCTGCCGACAGCCCCCCTGTACCTAGAGCTTAGCTCTCCACAATCCTAGACCACGATCAAGCTTCCGTATCGACAGCCTCTCGACTATTACCCGTTGGTTCATGTGTGAGGCAAGCCTCAAGGCGAACCAACTAAGCAAGCTTAGTTGGCCACAAAATTGCGAGACAGCCACAAAAATGCGAGACAATATCAGATTTGCTTGCAATTTGGTGCGTCGATGTTAACCGAAGAGGAACCGGGAATTTTTTTTGGAACTTGATCTTTGATGCGAAGGGGTACTTCCCACGCTAACGGTTTTACGCCTAGTTTACTACTAAATCTGGTGCTGTCTCGCGTTTTTGTGACTGTCTCGCAATTTTGTGGCCAACTAAGCTTGCTTAGTTGGTTCGCCATGGAGCTTGCTCCACATGAACCAACGGGTAACGACCAAGACTTTTATCGTGTCCTCACCCGACCCTCCATTTAGCTCAGTGAGCGACAGTCCTAGCAGTCAATTTCCTCCATGAAAACGACAGCGACAGAGCTACCAAGGTAGCTCAAGACCCCCTTCGGCAAGCCATAAAAGTCACGCGTCCCTAAGACTCACGCGTCCCTATCAAAACGTCACGCGTCCCTATCAATTCCCTTGTTGGCGACGAAGGGGCAGATGGGCAAGGTAACGAGAATGCCAATGATGTATATGCAGTTGATGAAGCCAAGCCATGCACCAGTTGGGTAGTTCATGAAGGAATTCCAGGTAGGAAGCGCGAGCAGGCCATTAGTCATTGAACTATCGTAACCAATGGCACTAGACAGCAGGACAAGAGACAAGACGGAGAAATTGAGCTTGAGCAGGTGCGGCTGCTTGTACCACGGTACCGGGGATGTTGTTGAGAGGAGGAGCGCCGTATGGCGGGCAGCCTCGTCGTTTGAGGGGCCGGTCATGGTAGCTGGAGCGATTCCGATTTCTGTGGCTGTCTCTGTGGTTGATGAAGGGTGGTCTGTTGCAGTTGCAGAGCAGAGGCAGGATGTCTCACTCCTTAAATCTGAGAAGCATCAGTATTGCTTCTTGTTGTTCTCGGGTGGGGCTACGAAAAATCGACGGCTCTTCCGAGTCAAAAGCTGGGGCCCGGTTGCCGTACGCTGAAGCCGCAAGCTGCTGTTATCGGCCCGTTTCCATGAGGGGAACCACGCTGCGTGGCTGCTTCCCCCACGAAGAAGTGCCCTTGTGAGCATCTGGACCAGGTTCGGGACCAAGAAACCCCCCCGCATCGCATCTGGGGTTCCGAATTTCCCCAAGAAGCAACCAGAAGTCCGAAAGTTTAAACCACGGAACCCCATGCTCCCCGCGTCTGGGGTTCCGAATATCCCCAAGGAGCAAGGCCACGAGCTTGATCGTCAACGAATAGAATCGACGGCTGCTCGGAGCAATGGTTAGGGTTATCGATTCAATCGGCTTACGCGAATCAAAGTTGTAAATCAGAATTGCGTTCGTTTCCTATGTATAAGAGGGCATAAATGGGTCGGCTCAAGCCACGAGTATCAGGCCATATACATGCCAAGATGAAGATCCAACGCCTTCTTGCCCTTCAATCCTTTTACACCATTGTCTCACTTGGTTCTCCAACTCCCCCTGCTTGCGAAACCATGGGCCATCTTGTCAAAGGGACCCACGAGCCGTCCTTTAGCGGCCTCCGCGACTTGCTGAGCAAACACATCTCTGAGGGGGATGAGGTCGGCGCCTCAATCGTCGTCAATATAGATGGCCAGAATGTAGTCGACATCTGGGGCGGCTACTTCGACGAAAGTGGCACCCGCAGCTGGGAGAGAGACACTATCGTCAACGTCTTCTCTACCACCAAGACCATCACCAGCCTTGCTGCACTCATTCTCATCGATAGAGGCATCATCAGCCCCTACGAGAAAGTGGCCACCCATTGGCCTGAGTTTGCCGCGAATGGGAAGCAAGGCATTGAGATTCGGCACATTATCTCTCACACGTCTGGTGTTCCAGGATGGGAGCAGCCAGTTACGCTGGCTGACGTCTGCAACTTCGACAAGGCAGTCTCCCTGCTCGCCGCTCAGGCGTCCTGGTGGACTCCAGGAACTGCATCTGGCTACCATTCCTTCACCCACGGGTTGTTGATCGGTCAAGTCATTCGCAAGGTCATAGGAAAGACCCTCAAAGACTTTATTCAAGATGAAATGGCCGGACTGCTGGGTGCTGATTTCCAGCTTGGGGTTAGGGACTCTGACTTGCACCGCGTTTCCGACCTCATTCCCTGGACCCCAAGCCCAAACGCCGATTCTCCTTCCGATCCCAACTCCATTTCTGCGCGAGTGAACAATAACCCCCCCTTCACACCCGACATGGCCAATACCGCCATGTGGCGAAAGGCTGAATTGGGGGCCGCAAATGGACATGGTAATGCACGGTCTATTGCAAAGATTCTCTCGGCGGTTTCTCTTGGGGGTTGGGTCGACGGGAAACACCTCCTCAAGCCGGAAACCATAGACTTGATTTTTCAGCAGATGTCGAATGGAACAGACCTGGTGACCAACATGCCAGTGCGATTTGGAATTGGATACGGAATAAGGGGCGAAGGAGTGATCCCTACTTGGCTGCCTGAGGGAAGGATATGCTTTTGGAGCGGGTTGGGAGGGTCGGTCGCCATCATGGATTTGGACAGGAAGATGACAATTGTGTATGCCATGAATAAGCTGTACCCCGTCGGACTAGGATCTAACCTGACGATTGAGTACGTGAAGGAGATTTACAGGGCGGTGGGAGTGTCCGGACTTTAGTAAAGCAAAGGCAGCACGCTTCAAACTACAAGCGAGCTGCTCTACTTGACGGCCAACTAAGGAGAATTGTGTGGCAGAAGGCCAGCGTTGTAGACTTGATAGCCATCTTCGTTGCATGGAGCCCTTGCCAAGAACACGGACCAATTTTTTCAACTCCGAATGCTCGGTATCGATGCAATCACTTAGGGTGTACGAATGAGTTTTTTTTTGATCTTGCCAGCCTCGTATCCAACGCTCCGGCTCACTTGGAGCTCAGTTAGCCTCAGTCTCCCTGTTCGTCCCGTTAGGGTACATGGCGCCGGGGGATTATAGTCGGATAGCGGTTCACTGCGAAGTCGGAAAGCGGGTGGTACGGAGGACGGTGCCCCTTTGGGCTAGTTCTGTCACTTGAGCCAGCCCCGAGTTTGCGGCGCCCAGAGGGGGGAAGGGAGGGAGAGGGGCCTGGAGAACGCCCGCAGCAACCCCACGTCTGTGCGTGCGGGTTCAGTGTTCCGAAGTAGGTATAAATTCAGACGAGACAATTCCAAGTAATAACTCAAGAGCTCTGACCCTTGACCTGGCAATAGAAGATTCAGAATGTCGAGAACAACAAGTGCCATCGTGGTGCGTGAACCGAACGGGGCGGTGGCTCTGGAGCCCATCATCCTTGGCGAGATCAGGCCAGATGAAGCGCTTGTTGAGATCCACGCAACTGGAGTTTGTCATACCGACTTGTTATGTATGAAGGGTAAGCTACCCGCGCCAACGCCCATCGTGCTGGGTCATGAAGGTAGATATATGACCCTATTGCTGATGTAGTTGATCTGAGAATGCTAAGCTTTTCTAGGCGCTGGTGTCGTTGTCGCCAAGGGAAAAGATCTCAAGGACATCGAGCCCGGTGATAAAGTCATCTTGAGCTACAGCTACTGCGGTACCTGTGAGCAGTGCGTCGATCACCATGAGCCGTACTGCCAGGCCCTGCTCCAGCTCAACTTCGGAGGCGCGCGAGGTGACGGCACGTCCGCACTGAAGCTGCCGAGCAATGGCGCCAGCGGCCTCCATGGCCACTTCTTCGGGCAGAGCTCCTTCTCACGGCACGCCATCGTCAGCGCCGCCAGCTTGGTCAAGGTGCCGCCAGACACGCCGTTGGATCTCTTCGCTCCCCTTGGCTGTGGCCTCCAGACAGGCGCCGGCGCTGTCTTGAACACACTAAACGTCCAGCCCGGTACCTCCCTGGCCGTCTTCGGCGTCGGTTCGGTGGGCATGAGTGCCATCATGGCCGCCAGATTGCGCAGCGCCGGGCACATCATCGCTGTAGATATGGTGCCTGCTCGCCTCGAGCTGGCCAAGAAGCTCGGCGCAACCGACACTATCCTGGCATCGGAGAAGGATGTCGTCGACCGCATCAAGGCCCTATGCCCGCCAAACGGCGTCAAGTACGCCCTTGACTGTTCCGGCAACCCGCAAGCCGTGGCGTCCATGATTGACGCGCTCGGCACGCGCGGTCGAGCCTGCAGCGTCGGTGCTCCAGCCCCGGATGTTCGCACTAGCGTCAACATCTTCGCCCATCTCATCAATGGCCGTGAGTACGTGGGTTGTCACCAAGGCGAGAGTCTCGCTAAAGAGGTTTGTTTCTATCTACTCCACAGTCCTACGGCTTTCAAGTCTTACTAGTTGCCTAGATGATTCCATTTCTAATCCGGCAGCACGCTGATGGAAAGTACCCCTTAGAGGAGCTTATTACATACTATAATGCTGAGGATTTTAAGACAGCTTTTTCAGATACTGAAAAGGGCGTAACTATTAAAGCTGTGTTAAAATGGGTAACGTATATGATAAGCGAGTCGGACAGACAAGTGAGTCGGACAAAAATCGGAACCTATAAGAGATAAAGTAAAATAAAAACATAACAAAGCATTCAATCAATTAAAACTAATCGCTACACTCTTCTTCAGACGTCTCAATAACAACCTGACAGGTCCTTGCATTATGACCAGCCTTTCCGCAAGTTCCACAGCGCCTTTCCCTCGGCATTGCCGACCTTGCTCGACCACCACTTCTCGACGATTCAGCCGCTACCTGCGCATCAACGTCTCTCTGATCCATCTCATCCCTTCCCTCGTCTAGAGTCATCTTCCCTCCTTTACGTAGGCGGGTTCTTTTCGCTTTGCGCCGCTTACTAAGGGTCTCATTCGCCTGTCGAAGGATCTGATTCTCAGACTTTAATAATGCCATTTGATGCATTATTGCTGTCGTTCCCTTAGAAAATGATGCAAGCGCCTCAAGAATAGATGCCGGGGAGCTGCTTTGATGACTTCTGATTCGTCTTTCAAGATATTCAGACTGAGAGCTAGCCTCAAGAACTGTCTTTGGAGTCTTTGGGACCCAAGGGTCAGGGAGGCCGGCCTCCTCTCTAATAGGTGTTGGAGTCCGTAGCTGCACATCAAGCTTTGATATGACATTTTCTGGGTCTAAAGGAACAAGTCCGGCCCCTCGAAAACCCCCCTCAATATTACTCCTTGTAATAGCGGCTTGGTGGGCGGCGTAAAAGGCCGGAAAGAACTCGGTCTTTGAAACGTGGGTGATAGAACATCTAATCAGATGCTCAATCTCCCGACCGTATGCCTTTTTCAGCGGCCCAAAGCACCCGACATCAAGAGGCTGGAGCAGATGAGATGAGTGAGGTGGCATACAAAGCGTAATAATGTGATTCTCTTCACAATATTTCTCAAAATCGACTGAATGGTGACTTTCATGCCCATCGAGGATCAGAAGACGATAGCGACCAGTTGATCGGGCCTTTGTATGCCGGTCAAAGTGCTTAAGCCACTCAAGACCTGTTTCATTATCGGTCCAGCCATTTTGAGTCGTAGCGATAGCCCAATCGCCCGGGAGGTTGCTTTCCTGATACCAGCTAGCGAGGTGATATTGGCCCGCAACCACAATAAACGGCTGGATCGCCCAGCCTTCCGCATTGATCGCCTGAATGACCGTAACCCATTCTCGGTTTCCAGGCTGGACTGATTTCGGATTTCCACGCCTTTCTGCGCCTGTAACGATCATTCCGCTTGCAATAACGCCCATCATAAAGCCAGTCTCATCAAAGTTATAGATATCGGCGAGGGTAATACCATATTTCGCGATTGTGTTCGCTACGAGCGCGAACCAATTGCGAATAACAGTCGGATCTTCGCATTTAGCCCTCTGATAGTCGTATTTACGAAAAAAACGCGTCTTGAGCTCTGGTTGTCGCCTGACGAAGTTGGAAGCCCAACGCTTGCCGACAGGTGACGCGTCGCGGTCAGCAAGCAGTCGATTGGCCATTTCTTCAACATCACGCAGTCGCGGGGGAAACCCTCGCGAATCTAGGTCGAGGATGAATTGAATAATTATTTGCTCCTCTAGATCAGATAGTTTGCGCGACTTAGGGATAGTATCGCTTCGAGAAGGTTTGCCATAATATCGGTCATGGAGGGTACTAGGAGGGACTTTGTATATCCTTGCAGCCGGTCGGATCCGTAATTTAGGGTCATTCTGAAGAGCCTGGAGGGCAAGAATTATATTTGCCTCTTTACTTGATTGTGACATGTTTGGTGGTTGAGAAATAATTGATTGAATGAAAAGAGAGGGAGTTGAGGGATTTTTGTCCGACTCACTTGTCTGTCCGACTCGCTTATCATATACGTTATAGTTACTTTAATGTACTCTAATCTAAGGCTACTTTTAGGTATTATCTTTAAGTTCGTAGAAGGTTAAGTTAGTCTGAATATTTTCTAAGACTAAGCTTAGTTTTATGTTAAAGCTTGGCGATTAATCTATCATCTTTAGGGTGGCAGGGAGTATAGGCATCCTAAGAGGTGTGTCTGTTCTTTGGCAGTATCACTGTAGATATAGAATGCATCGTTACTATTATCTGAACAGTCCGGCGGTAGAGGTTTTGGTAAATACTGCTTTCCATTAAATGCGATGGTTCATTCTGGCTTTACTCGAGGCCCCAAGAAGTGTTGATTCTTGACATCCGAGTAAATTTAATGGTGAGGCTGGGCTTGTCAACGGCACCCTGTTACCGGACGATGCATACCGGCCATGGCCATCAAGTTCATTCATCACAAGGGGACTGATAACAAACCTAAGCCGTACGTTCTTGCTGCAATTCATCTGCAGTACCGAGTAACCCGAAGTTGCTTGAACTGAGAGTCTTTATTTAGGACCATCTTCTACTTCACCCCCACCAGGAAGCTCCTCTTCTGTGCCGTTTCTACGATCCTCGCCCCTCGCCCTGCATGACAGCGCATTCGATGCGCCGAGCTTGACAGACGCCTCTGCCATATTAAGATTCAAAACCGCCGCGGTTCAAGCATTGCACTCCGCTCCGATGGAAGGCATCTAAGTTGAAGACTCCGGTTTTCCGTCGGTACCGTGAGGCGATACTCTCTGAAGCTGAGGCTATGCTGTATTCCAAGCTTAAAGACGACATCGGTCAGCAGAGTGTCGATTCAGGACACGAGAGAAGATGGACGCCTAGACTTGCTAGAAGAGGTGCTGGAAATGCTGCTAACGGTATGTTTCGTGCTTGCCGCTCATCCTGAATGAGATGGCAGAGATGGCGAATATTCACACGTGAAGCTACAATATACTGACTAGATTCCATCTTTCCAGGAGACGCACCAGACACTGTCCGTGACCAAATGATGCGCCAAGATCCCCGATTTATGACATTCCACCACGCCTACCTGAATGAGATCGCCAACTTCGACCTCCAGAACGCTTTCCTCGAGGAGGAGAAGGAGGACCAGCTATTCCAACTGTTCGCGCACGTGAGCCTCACGCGCGACCCTCGAGCCACCTCGGACATGGTACCCGACGAAGTGTGGGCGAACCTCTCGTCGGACCCGGAAATTGTCGAGCTTGAAGAGCAACGCGCGCAGTTCAAGCGGGGGAAGTACCGAAGCGAGGGTCGTAAAAACGAGGAAAAGTGATACGTGAAGAACCAGTCTTGGGCCTGGCGCTTAAGACTGGCATTATATGTAACATCACGTGAGAAAGGAGACCTTATGCTCCCGTCCTCAATTGTAGTCTTAGCTCGTCATCCATCTTTCTACATCTACATGACAACCACACTTTATGTGACCTCCGCGATATATTCGCATCACCTCTTCAGCAATTCGGGTGTTTGTAGCTTGACTGCACAACCGTGAAAGCACCTATAGATCGAGAGCAACTTCAGATGCTGCGGACCACAGCCGTTGTATCAAGTAGAAACCTGAGAGAAGTTGTTCCTCGAGGCCTGCGGACTCATTTCTCAAATTTGGAACCAAGAGAGGAGCTTCTCCCTCAGCTCGTAGTTTGGTCGTAATGGGCGCGGCGATCGAAAATGGATGCAGCCTCATGGGCTTGCCTTCGACCAGGGCAGCGTATTTGTCTAGAATGTAAATTTGCCAGAAAGCTAAACGCCGGATTCGGGCTTCTATCGGCTCCAGCCCCTCAAAAGAACGCTCGTCGTACAATCGCATTTGTTCTGCCAACCTCAACGCTTCATCGAAGGACTGCCACGCTGCGGGTGTCCTGCCATCGGTGTGCAGAGCGCTCGCGTGGTATATTCGGATGACCAAGGAGCTCGCGTCTGGGTAGGTCACGTCAAAGTCTTGATAAAGCTTGAGTATCTCACGAGAAGCCCGCAGGAAGGACTGCCCAACCAGAACAACATTCGTGGAGGACTCAGCTGGCAAGAGAAAACACACGGATGCACACAAAGCTGTGGTCGCGGTATAGGATCGCAACCTCACTACATCGCCCATGTGAGCGAAAGGACTGTAACCTGCGCCGCTTGGGTTCCACATCGAAGGGTCAGCTCTGATCAATGGTCATTGCAGAGGCACGTTTGATCGAAGACTTGGCTCGTGAAACAATGGCCCGATCGGGAAGACACTTCGCACAGCAATGTCCACGCAGTTGCTGACAATCGTGTCGAGGCTCGAACAAGGTGCGTACACAAGCAATGACGAAACGAGTTCGTGGTGCAAGGCTTGAATGCGGGCATTGATATCAATTTGCGACTGAATTATGACGGTCTGTGGTGTAGAATGATGTAGTCCCGGAGAAGCACCGGCAAGACTGGCTGTAGAACTGCTTAACGATGGTGAAAGCAGGCTGCTCGACTCTGTGCGCAGGTCTGAGGAATCTTGACTAGGACGACGGTTGCGCTGAGGCATTTGGTGCGACGATTGAAGTGGCTTTTGTCCGCGTTTTCTCACCTGCCGGACGTACTGGCAGGGGAGTCTCGACATGCGACAGTTTGAACATGGCTCGGTTGATTCGTCACCGTCGCACTATAATATTTACGGTCAGAAAAGGGTCATCTTGTGAATATTCTTGGCCTTGCAATCGACACGAATCTTGCTCGCCCATGAAGACTTGCCTTAACTTTCCGGACTTTGCAGGCATTACAGGCACGCTGAGCCATTCGTCACAAACTTCTCAAGATGGGGCTAACCGGAGGTGCAGCCAGTCCAGAATACAGGAGTGAAGGTGCCGACTGATCCAGTCTAGACGCCGCAAGTCAGAGCGGTCCAGGAATAGAGAATGGGTTCTTGCAACTGGTAATAATCCGCCGTGGGAAATACTTGACAAGGTAAAATACTACGTCACCCCATGCACATTGGAGCGGCGATGGGGTGCATGGGGTAGCCTCAGCCGAAGGCTGTGTGTCCGCGGGCCGGGAAGCTGTTCCTACTACTGCATTATCTACGTACTGATCCATTGCCATGGCCATTCTTGGTATTATGTGACATGTACGGATTCCGTGTGAGCACCTGTCGTTTCCTAAGCTCCTGATCCCTCATCTTCATCTTCATGCCATCCGGGGGAGACCCGTAGACCAGGTGATTACGATCAAATGGTGCATCCAACATCAGACCCTCGAGCGTTTTCACGCGAGAGACAGCCACGTAGCTTAAACCAGTCTGAAAGTCCCGGCAGGACAGATCTGTAACTATCATGTCTTCGGTGATGCTTTGTGACTTGTGCACGGTAATTGCGTAGCATACGATCAGGGGAAACTGGGTGCGAGCGCAGAGAGTGGCTCCGATAAGGAAGTCCCTCTCCACTGGGAGAATCGGCACAACCTTCCTGCCATCAGCGGTGGTCAGGAATACCGGTCCGCTGTATTTGTCAAACTCCATCATGATAACACAGGGAGGGTCTTGGATGGGGTCGGCCCCAGGTGCCCAGCCGATATCGTAAACTGTGCCGCGAGCGCCGTTGCAGAGGCCAACTGACTGCCAAAGGTTGGACGTCAGCATCAGACGGGAGCCAATGCATATGGGGATCTGCTTCGCAAGGTTGCCCGCCTTGTCATCAGGCGCAGCAGCCGCGCCGGGGCCGACGTTCTTAGCCATGACCTGGATGACTGGCCGGCTGAGGCGGTCGAGGTTATAGTGGTTATATTCGTTCACCCTATCTTTAGTGGCGTATACTCGTAAGGCGTTGACAAACCTTGCGACCTCTTGATCGTCTAGTTTTGCCCGTACGCGGCTGGAAAGGAGCTTCCAGGACTCCACGTCTTCGTCCCCTGGTTCGGAATCGCACTCTACCCCTAATTGCTCGAGATACCTCCGAGGCCGAGCAGGCGAGAGAAGCAAATTGAAGTAGTCCTCGGCATCAATATCGGATTCAGAGAATTCCCCCTTGTCACTCATATTTATCCCGTCCCGTTCTGGATGTGCGCCATGACCGTCGGCTAATCCAGTGGTTAGCCTGCACAACGACGACGATCACGGCCAGGGATACCTTCTCCAGGCTCATCAGGAACTGCAGAGACGCCCGGTTGAGATATCGAGGGAGTTAGGGAGATAGTCTCCCCCGCACGGCGCCGTGAACGATGGTCGCGCTGTATAGCCACCTGCCTTGCCTTCGCCTTAGCCTTGGAGGCATCATCTTGTGAGTCTTTCCCGCCCTTATGGAACCTAGAAGCCAAGTAAGAGTACTCAGCATCAGTTGTGCTGCTTGGGACAGTAGATGGATCAGAATTTGACGCGATTTGATCGGTCGTTGGCTGTACGGTCGGTGAGGGAGCAAGAGTCCGGAAGTTGCGCAAGCTTTGTTGGGTTAGTGGGATTGGCGTCCCCTGTACCACCTGCGGCTGGCTAATTGGCTCTTCAAATAACCTCCTCGCCGTGTGAAGTTGCCGTAGCTTCAGTGGCGATGTAGGCTGGGTTCCGGATCTCTCATTAGGAGGCGATAGGCCAGCATCTCCGTCGGTTCTTTTCGGGGCAGATCTCTCAGCTGAGGAAGGACGGACGGCCAGGTTCCTCAACGTCAGGACCGCACCTTTGGACCTGGCACGCTTGATCAGGTTAGGGAGGCATATAGACTATACCAATGATGTCAGTTACCTCGGAATTGCGCTGGTCCCGGCATTCCAGGCAGGTTGTAGTTTGATTGGCAGATTTCCTCCTGCTAATGAAGTCACTTGCTGGTTTTATTTGGTTGCAAGACGGGCAATGGACTCCAAAATCAGATCCAGGGCTCATACTACCCCTAGAATCGGAATCCATCCTCAGTCATACGGTGCATCGGGATCGATAATGGAAGAAAGGTTGCTTGGCCAAGCAAACGAACAGATCGCCAGGCAAATTTGGCGATAGTAAACAAAGAAGTAAACAAAGAAGCAGTGGCAGATGGTGGCGGGCGGATATCCACTTTTTCTAGAGCCGCCAACCAATCCAACCTTCTTTAGCGACCGGCAATACAAAATTTGGACCAATCAGATTCCGAGAAACTTATTTATCCCTGTCTGCACCAAACTGGGGAGCAGCCGCCACACCGGCTTGCTAGGAAGGCCTCCCGTTAGGAATAGGAAAAGGAGTGCTCTGTATCAGGACGCCTACAGGCAGAGAGGGTCATGTGCTCGGAGGGAATGGCCATGCGTCTACAACTTGCTCTCCTCCGTGCGATCCACTAACAAGGTCACAGCAATTTTACCTGTATGCAAGATATGTCTACCCGGTCCTGAGCACATCATTATGATCAATCAATCCTTGACACGGGCCTCCAATGTAGAGGCTCGGGCGAAAGTCTAAAATGGGATAAGTTGCAACACAACCAAAGCTAACTCTCATCACCTAATCCTTGGGCAGGGATCATGGGGGGAGACGTCGCCTCGTCTCCTCAAATACTTCTCACTACGTCATCTTAACACAAGACATGTTTTCACATTCTACCTCCGATTGTAAACAGTTATAACGTCAAAATAACAACAACACCCGTTCGATTCGATTTCCTCTGTTATCGTGTAGGCATCAAGTTCGATGAGTCCTACGATATCCCCCTTCGCATCGTCAGGGCAGGAGACCATTCAGACAAGAAGAAAACCAAGGACAAACTGTTGTGGAATGCGGCGATGAATACCATTATGGAGCATAGCGAGGCGACATGCCTCCGGCGTGCCAGTCCGGCCTCGTGCGCATGTGGGTTACTAGCAACGGCCACCGAATACCTACCACCGATGCCGTTCCTTGATGCTCCGAAACCTCACGTTGTGGCGATCGTGGACCTGTTCTGCGGGAACCTGAAATGTCGGACGCGGACACGCCAGAGCATGCTGCAAGTCATGTCGCGGAACCGCTCGCCAGATGGCGGCCTTCGTGGCCCGGACCCAGGACTCTTCGCAGAGCTTATGTCGTGTAGAGTATGCAAGAAAAGGGAGGGGCTGAGGGAATGCGGGGTCTGTCACGTCGCGGGGTATTGTGGGCAAGAGCACCAAGAGGAGGACTGGCCAAACCACAAGGCAGAGTGTACGCCGTGGCCGACGTCGACATTCGATGCAAGGCGCCCCCTGGACGAGGCGGACGCTGACTCCGACACCAAAGTGACCTACAGCGCCGTCTTCAATGTCGCGGGACCTGGCGAGCCGCCGCGGTTCAGGGAGATTAGTCGAGAGATGGAGACCGTAGTGCTGCTCGGAGATGACGCGCAGCTCCCCATCCCAGGCATCTTTCCGTACGTCGAGGGCATGCCCGTCATCGTCAACCAGAACAAGTACCTAGGGCTGAAAGTAGTCAATGGAGCAGAGTTCACGGCCGCCGGCGTCGTCGCAGACGGAGAGGTAGAAGAACGGGTGATCCACGACCGGCTGTCCGTCTTCCTCGGGCCGCCAAGCGGCATCCTTCTCCAATCGCAGGACACGGAGGGGCTCGCGTTCCCGCACATACCTTCGGGTACCCTCATGCTAGGGACAGAGACTGTGCAGCTTGACAAAGAAAAGCACGGCAAATACGTCTGTCCGCGACTTGCAGCCAAGCGGGAGTTTAAGATGGGGCTGACGCGTACGGGGCTGCCATGCATGCCGGGCTTTGCGCTCACTGACTATAAGGCGCAGAGCAAGACCCTAGAGAAGGTCCTGCTCGGGCTCTATGGGAGAAAAGGGACGAAGGGATACCCGAGCATGGAGAAGTGCGACGTGCTTAGCTTGTACGTGCAATTGTCACGGTGCAAGCGGTTGCGGGACATACGGCTTGTACAGCCAATCCCAAGGGAGCACTTCGAACAGGCGCGGATGTATCCGGAGCTCATAGAAGGGGTCGATCGATTAAAAGAGCTAGCAAGACAGACGGTTGAGCGGTTTGAGGTCAGGCATGGGAAGCAAGGTTAGGAGGCAATCTCCGTTTCGTTCACAGTAAAAAACGGAGAGCGGACCCAATCAGAAGCCATTTTATTAGCCAATCAGAAGGTAGCTAACTTTGCAACCAATCAGAGGCCAAGGACAGCCGGGGACTCAGGGTGTCAAAGGTCGGGCGCGAATAAGAAAGACCTTCCTAACGGAAGGCACCCTCATTACAGGGGAAGGCGCACGTCCGCCGGGGGAAGTTGGAAGTTGGAAGCTGGGCGTGGTGGGCAAGTTGGCGGCTCCCTTGCGCTGAGTAGCCTTTCGGTACGAAGCTTGCAACTAGAGCTTGTTTTACTAGTGGGTTGCTGCACGTGTTGAGAAGAGGGCGCGGTTTTAAGTGGTCGGCTCTGGGTGGGTGGATGAAGAGACTTGGCCAATAGGGCGCGTGTGTGTGTGTTACCTTTGTTTTGCGTAGCCAATAAGACCTATGCAGCAGGCGTTGCGGAGCAGGCACCATTTTGAGTGGCACGATTTGAAGAGTTTAATGCGGAACTAAGAGGCCTAGCCAATAGGGTGAGGGTCAATAATTGAGACAGGGATCAGGGGACTGAGACTAGCAGAGATCAATCAGTTGCAATACCAGAGAGGGAAAATTGTCAATTTGAGTATAAGAAGCTGCTATGTCAAGATGTCCTGGTGTTGAGATCATTGGACTTTTATCACTCGCACTGGTGTTGAAATCGCACACCTATTTCCCCCATATATCGATCTGTAAGTTTTCCAAACCCAATACAACAGCCCAAAATACCACACACTATCACTATACTAGGCTACTTAAAGTCTCTTTGTCGGATGCCTCTTGTTCCTGCCACCTGGTTCGGCAGTTGATGACCTCATATTAGGACGAACGGAGGATCGGAGTGTGGCAGATAGGTCAGTTGATCGAGAGTTCTCCTCTTCCTTTGCTTTACCTTCTTCATGGTTGTCGTTTTCATCAGAGTCTACGGATGTTAAAGGGGAGACCGGTGATCCTACAATGACTGGAGATGTTGCGGCAGTCACACTAGACCCTCTGAGTCTCTTGGGGGCGGGGTTGTTCGAGCTTGACTGAGATGATTGAGATGCGGAGATTGCGGGCCTTTTGTTCTGAGATGGAGTAACGGGCTGTTGGGATGGACCTCCCTGCGACGATTGTGATGATTGTGACTGTGACTGTTGCGCCTGTGAAGATTTCTTTGAGGGAGTCTTGAACATAGACCTCATTGCTGCGAAGCTGCCGGCTTGGGATGGGCCAGGTTCGGTTTTAGAGGGGGAGATTGCGTTAGAAGCAGGTACAGGTGGCGTGCTCTTGTCCGGAAACGTCCAAGAGTCGGGAACGACAATGAAAACATAGTCCTTCTCATCAACTGGAGGGGCAGCCACCATAAGACTATGGTCGAGCAGGCCAACTATCTTGCCGACGCAGTTGAAGGGAACACCTAGAACAAACTGTGTGTCTTTCCTATCTGCCATCTTCTTGCAGAGGAGAGAGAATGGCAAAGTGCGAATAGAAAAGAGAATAAAAACTTGAAAGGGGTGGAAGCCTTTGAAAGGGCTCTTTGATGGTTGACCCGGCGTGATGTAGGTACAGCACTGGATAAATGCACAGCATCTCAGCTGCGCATCATCCAATAGCGGAACAGAGTCCTTGATCAAGTGGGTTTGGCCTGTCCTGAGAACCTGCCCCCGTCAAAGAAATAACCGGTTGGATAAGTGGAAAGCCCTCACTATTGCAAAGAGTTCGTGGGTCAATGCTGATGGTTACATTAGTGGCAAGCGCAATAGTCGAATTGAAGCTAAGGGGAAATGATAAGTCTGCTTACGCTTGGTATCCAAAGTCGCGTATAAGAACAACTGGAACCTTGTACACTTCGCCGTCACCATCTTCATCGCTAAAAACATCAGGCTCCCGTAGCACCCACTCCAGTGCGTAGGGGTGTACTTTGCCAGTGAAATGGAACCACTGATTCTCCCACTCCAATTCAACAATCTGCTGGTTATAGACAGAGAGGTTGAGACTAAAGTAGATTGGCAGTGGATTAGGGGATTGGTACTCTTTAGGATGCAGCATAGAATATTCAGGCAGTGTCATATAGGAAGGGGGTGGAAGAAAAACCCTACCAAGAGCTTTAATATTGAGGCTTTTTATAAGTTGTTCATCTAATGTAGGAAACCGCGTTGGGGTATCTAACTGACTAAAAAAGAACATGGTCATATTACTACCAAGGTTTTTCTGAGAGTCATGAGGCATGCGCGGAGGGGGATGGCTGCTAAGAGTGGAAGTTGAGGTAGAATTTGAGGTAGAAGTTGATAAAGATATGATATAGGTATTGAACTAGCAAATGTTTTGATAAAAAATGGGATAACAGTTAAGATTACAATTCTGTAAGAGAGAGAGAGTAATAGTAAGATAAGCCTGCAAGATTGGTATATAAATGTATAGAACAAAGAAGAAACACATCTGATATTTATAATCAATTAAAATTATATAGTATATACAATGCGAAGATTGATACCACTTGGTAAAGATACTGTATTTCGTTGCATAGAGAGAATGTAGCATCGCCAATCTCCATCCAACATTTTCAGCTAAGAACTACTATCCCTGCCGATGTGGATACTTATATAATTAAATTGACTAATTAACATAGATGGTGAACAGATTTGCTTTTTCCATGAGTATAAAGGATTGGCTAAAATGTAAGCATATATCGCCGATCGTTATTAAGTAACTTAAGTTAAAAGCCTTGATCCCTGCCAAGTAGATACTTGCACAGCGGAATTGATTAATTAATGTAGCTGTTAAATAGAATTGCTTCTTCCACGATTATAAAGAATTGACCAAGATATTAACATATAAAAAAAAAAAAAAAAATGAGAGCTGAGCACTATATAATAGGTAGATGAAATAACGTGGTATGTATTATGTTAATTATATAAGTGTCTATTAATGTTACTATTACAACGAAAGAGGGTAAAGGGATATTTTGATCTATTAGTATATTAATACTGTAGCAGCTATATAAATAAGAGGGTGGAGGAGTATGATGCCGTATTGGTATACTAGTGTAATAGTATTCCGACTAGATAATGGGATGAATAATCAAGCCTAATATTATTAATGTTAGAAGAATTAGAGGGTGTAGGAGTATGATGCTCTACTGGTATACCGGTGTGATACTCCAACTAGATAATAGGATGAATAATTAAGCCCGAAGTTAATTATTATAAAAGTAAGAGAGTGGAGGAATATAATGCTTTATTAGTATACCGGTATGATAATACTCCGAGTAGATAATAAGATGAATAATTAAGTCTAATATTGGGATGAAATTGGAAGACTAAAGAAGACTATAGTAGGATAGACTTATTGTTTATTAGTAGATGGGTTAAGACAATAACAATAGAGGATTTTATCATATAATTTAATAGATATAATAGAGATAAAGATAATGTGGGAGTATCGGAATAAAATCGGATTAAGAGTAGAGTAGGACTGGTTAGTGTGGGAGAATTGAAATCTGCCCCAGAATGTACCGATTACAAAATAGCATTGTAAATAGCATTAACCTTTATCATTTATATTTATAATACTATTTAGCTTAATATACATAATTACACACCCTAAGAATATTTGTATATACACTATCTTGTAATGGATTCGTCATTTAGCAGCATACTTAGCAGTCTCGGGCTAAAGATGTATAATGATATATTTGGTGCGGCAAACTCAAATACAAATGCAACACCAAGAGAATTACATTCTACTGTCCAACCAAGCATATCCGATTGTGTTCCGGATGTCCAGCCTGTGGGCCTGGGATTAAGGAGGTTACACTCTACTGTGCAACCGAGTATACCTGGTGATATTCCAGAAACCGTACCTATAGACCCGGCACTAGAGGGATTACAATCAACTGGCCAATCAAGTGAACCCGGTAATCGCCAACAATACCAATCAAGTGTAAATCAAATCGACAATGTAAATGCACAAACACAGGCGGCAGGAAACTAGATGAGACGGCTACCACCAAGGAGCACGATGCCGATATAAGCGCCTCCAAGAAAAAGAGGCAGACCGCGAGGTTCTCGTGTACCAAGGCGGAGAGTTGGAGAAGGAAATCGGGTGCAGGAATATCAGCCAAGTGCATACCAAGCCGACACCATCAATACTCAAGTACAGAGCCCTGAAAGTTAGATGAGTCGACCGCCACCAAGGAGTACGACACCAATACAAGCGCCTCCAAGATTAAGAGGCAAACCGCGAACTTCTCGTGTATTAAGATGGAAAGATGCCCGGGAAAGAAACTGGAGGTAAAGGAGACAAATCCAATAGCAAAGACCACTGGTTGCTATTGGGGCCCAATATCACCCGCATAATGCACTGGGCATGCAGTAATGTATGAGCATTCTAAGCATTTTAGATGTGGATTAACATAGCAATTCAAGGCGTGGAGCTAATCAACACAAACATGGACAAAACAATCAATAAGAATCACACTCAGAAATATTTCCAATGCCTACAGAGGTAGTAGAGACGAATAATACAGGCAGATCTCACCTAGAGGATAAAGTGGATTGATGTGGATATATGGCAAGACTGAGGTTTCAAGATGGCTAACAAGAACTTGGCATAAAATGCAAGGCTGATCAACACGGACAAGAACAAAACAAAATAAAAATCGAATACGAGTTGAGAATAGCAACCTTGAAGAGCAAACCAAGGTATTAAAGAGGGCTATTAAGCATCTAAAAGACGAATTTATAGAGAAGAAGAGAATATCCTACACAAAGAATTAGTATAAGCCGGTCCCCTATAAGAGGAATATATCTACAGTTATGGACTTTTATTAAGTATTTTACAACATAGATACCCTACCTATATACATATATATAATATGCTATTAGAAGATTAGCATTATGGAGATACAAGAGCTTAGCTAGGAAGAGTGGACAAATAGCGCAGCAATAAATAGTTGCTACATGTATTCATATTCCGATTGCTTTCTTATTGGCAAGGCTATATCAAGCTGCAAAAACTGTATAATAAAGATCCGCGAATATAATATAGCGCGGGGCGGGAACTTGCATTAAGTACTTGGTTGCGAGTATATATACCCGGATGCTCTCAGAGACTTGATATTGGTTAAGGAGAAGCTAATTGCACTTAATACCTATTTTGGTTTTGTTATAAGAATTAAAGTCACAAAAAGCACCAAATAGAGTACGGTATATACATACTATATAAAGAGTTATATAATTGTGTTTCCAAATAATATTTAAGACTTAGTTACCATAGTATTACTATATCTGCTTTTATAATCTTTGGAGGATATCTATATATTCTAGTATAGGCTGCAGAGGCCAGCCCCCAGCGATCTATCCAAGTTGCTTTTAATCCGGCGAGGAGCTGTAAAATGGATATTACTTTAGCTAAAAGAATTTAACCCCTACTATTGGCATATCCAAATCGACAAAGCCAAGTTAGATAGTTGGGGAGAGCCGGCGTACAGGGTTCCAAGCGGGATCTATAATAGGATAAAGAGAGATAAACCATCGGCATAGGAAGAAACGCGAACAGCATATATTATGCCCCCGGCAGAATGTGGAATAGATGATACTAAGCCCTAGTTACTCGAATAGATTGTAAACAGGCTAGGTAGAGTGTATAATAAGAATGATGTAAGTTACAATGAGGATTAGTAGCTTTATGATGAGTGCAGTCGGAAGGAGCTTGAGTATGAGGGTATGGAAAGCTTTCTTAATAAGATTCTTGCATCTAGTATATTTCCACTGGATACAGCACCGCGAGCAACCGATGCCGATAAACTGCAATTTGCTATTAATATAATTAGAGGTAGACAGATAAATACATAAACACAGCTGCCTAACCAGCTAACTAGAAGCGCATAGGATTCGCACCTTCAGCTATATATTCACATTTCAAGAGGCAATAAATTTGCAGATATAAATAATCTCTAGTATCTTACAAAAGTATTTCCAATATTATTTCTATTTGGTTTCGGTGGGCTACGGTATAAGAAAGAGATGGAATCGGACCTGTGGAAGCACAGTATCCAGCTTATATGGTATATCTGTAATAGAAACAGTATTAAAGAGGGTGTAGAGGGTGGAGAGGGTGGAGAGGATGTAACTTCGCTAACATGTAATCTCGGACTTTATGTATGGATGAAGAAAGTGCTGTAATAGTATAGTAGTCGCTTTGCTAATTATCTAGCGTTTTCATTCCTAGTATTTAATATAAAGGTTCGGTCTAGGAATAGAGGAGTAAGTATAGTAAGTATATAACAGAATGATTTTCCTAAAGTTAAGAGAATTATTCAGTCGTTAATACTAGAGAGGCTATAGGAAGTGTAAAAGGAGTTAGAGGCTGGCGGGAGCACCCGAGATAAAGATATTAAAAACCTCCTGCGATATATCTCATACTTTAGCTATAAATAGGCTATATTGCAGGAGTCGCAGCTAGCTATGTGCAGAAAGATTAAAGTGCTTATTATTAGATATGGTATATTGGCAATTTGGTTTACTGTGACGGTCGGGTCTAACCTAAGGGTATAGGGTAGGTCCGAGGCGTGTGGTGTATGATCGAGTGGATCAGGACGTCGTAGTGAGCAATGTAGGTCACGGTCTGGTAATGGTAGAATAGTAGATTCAATGTAACCAAGTGTGTTGATAGCTAAGGAGCTTAAGGCTCTGGTTAGGGACTTAAGGTCTTCGTCTATATAGTATTGTCTGGTGAGGCGATCAGGAGTACGGTGGTCGCGATCACTGGTGATCCGTCGGGATCACTGGTGATCGGCCGTGGTGGGTCCCTGATCGTGTACTACAAGTAACGTGAAAAAGTGGGCACGTCATGGTTCTGCCGGTTGTGACCGCCTGGTCCAACCTGGGCCGTGACACAATCTAGAAGAGAGTAGCTATAATAGCAGAGCTCTTTCTAAGTATTAGCATAACTAGTACTGTTAGGCTAGGTATAATAACTATAAATTACAAAGCCAAGGTAAATATAAACTGCTAGTATCTAATAAGAATTACAAATAGAATATTTACTAAGTAGCTATTATTGTAGATAGAGGTAATTGTATACTTCTTAGATTACTTAAGTAAGTTCTTAAGTACTAAATAATAGTTATATATAAATATAATAATAATATACTAGGTAATACTCTAATGCTAGTTGTATCTCTAGTAATATAGTAGCACTTTAGGCAACGACAATAATTAACCTATTGAGAATATAAGTAATAATAGTAATGGCAATAATGTAAAAGCTAGTACTAAGAGGGTCTTAATAAAAAGCAATAATAAGAAGCTACTATATATTAAAGCCTATTACTACTATGGAGAGGTGCTGTAGATATTATGCTTCTATGACTATATATTGCTTATTATATTATAGAGGATAGATTTATCTCCTAAGGAGTTGGTGAAGATAGAATTTAAAAGGAACTGGAAGCCAGAAAGGGACTGGGTGCAAGTTCTAAGATCCCCGGGGAAGTATACAGTGCCGTATATTAACAGCTTTCTCAATATAAACTTTAATATTAATTTAAATACAGATAGATACCACAGGTAAGTATAAGTTATAGAGTAGATGGGATGGATAAACGAGGAGCATACACTAATATTAGCACCAGAGCTACAGTATAGCACCTTGTACTCTTTATGCCATGGGAGAAGTTTACTATAGCAGCATCAAGCGATATTAATAAAATCTGGGAATACTAGAGACAGCAAATCCCCAAAAGACTCCAGATTATTGCAGGCAACATCCAGCTCTTAAAGTAATTAGCGGAAGATACGCAGCAAGATGCAAAGCAGTAGGCAGCTACAGAGGACAACGCCATTTTAGATAATATCAACGCTATGGGGTATAATCTCTAAGATTCTATAGGCCTAGTAAAAGCATATTGCCCAGACTAGGTTGGCCAGCTTGGCCGATTAATTGAGATAGTACAAGATGCTACAGCCCCTAACTAGATGACTGCTAATTTGGAGTATCTTTTGCAGATGCTAGATCAGCTCTGCGAAGCCCAAGTAGATATCCCCGACTTTGCAGATGATGTCGAGACTGTCGCTTCTGCAGAGAACCCAGCGCAATACCAGCTAACTATAGTAGCCAAGAGCGAGCTCCCAACGCAACATCAGCTTAGAGGGATTAAGAGCAAGCAGGATTAAGCTGACAAGGAAATTGTGAAAAGAATCCGAGGCTCTGATGGAGTTCAGATTACGTAGAACACAGCTGCCGGCGCAGAAGCATCACTGGACCATACCTTCGCGGGTGCGGGAGAAGATATGATAGAAATATCAGAAACAGACACCCGGAACACTCAGAGAGCCAGTGCCAGGGTTGCCTTTGGACCGTCGATAACATTCCTCCAAGCCGGTCGGGAGATTGCAAGGAGGTTTACCTTAAACGAGCGGCAGGAAATTGCCTTTCTTTTAGTGTGTTGCTATTTCGATACCATCCCGGATGAAGATAACAGCGATAATTTTGAGAGCAGTAATATCGAGAATAATAATAACGTACAACTATGCGAGTTCCTAGGTGGGGAGGGCGGCACCGGGAAGTCCAGGGTCATCGAGGTGTTAGCGGAATTGTTCGCTAGCAAAGACATATCGCACAGGCTGCTTATGACGGCGACATCGGGGGCCGCAGCAGCGCGGATCAACGGCGTGACTATTCACTCCGCCTGTGGGATGCAACCGAACGCATCTGGCAGCAATGTCGACGATGGCAGCACGGTAACCTACGTGGACGGTAATGGTCGAAGAAGATGGAGAGAAAAGTGGCTGCTCATCATTGACGAGGTGAGCATGCTGGGCCTCCAGACGCTCTCCGACATCAACAAGCGACTTTGCGCCTCCTGAGGATCGAATCAAGATTTTGGCGGCATCCCAGTGGTGCTACTATCAGGAGATTTCCACCAGTTCTGCCCAGTGCAAAACAAGTCGCTATTGACGCCGTGGTCCGCCCTCAGGATTGCGGACGAAATGAGGGCGCACGCACTCTGGGCTCGATTTACCACCGTCGTTATGCTCACCGAACAGGTGCGCGCAGCGGGGGACCCGGAGCTGCAGCGACTGCTGACTCGGATCCGGCAGGGGCAGCAAGACGAGTCCGACATGGAGCTTCTTAATAGCCGGTGCTTTCAGGAAGGCCGAGCCATACCATGGGGCAAGGGCATCACAGCAGTCACACCCCTCAACAGCACCAGATGGTGCCTGAACATAGATGCAGTCTTGGCCTTCCAGAGGCACCACCAGAAGCCAGTCCGGATATTTCTACCCTAGCACCGTTGAGATAAACCCAGTACATTACCGGTAACGGAGGAAGAAGCTACGCTTATGGCCAGCGTCGGGGATGACAGCAAGATTTGTGTGCCGGCCACGTTCATGTTCGTGCCTGGCATGCCGGTGGTAGTGACCAAGAATATAAACCCAGGCCTCAAGCTTGTAAATGGGGCTAAGTATAAAGCACTGGAAGTTATACCAGACGCCAAGAGATTCCCAGGGTATCAACTCGCCCCGAACATTATCCTCCACTTTAGACCACCAGCCGGCATTATCCTATTATCCAAGTCAACTAAGAAGTTCAAGTTTGATGACATGCCACTAGGCACGGTCCTGCTTACTCCAATAAGTGCCCAAATACCCATCGAGAAGAAGAAGAGGGCCAAGAAGAGGCCTTGGCAGAGGCACGAAGTGAGCCGGCGAGGACTTCCTTGCACTGCAGCGTTCGCATGCACCGATTACAAAATCCAAGGCGAAACCCTCCTCGAGATTGCGCTGGAGCTGCGAGGAACCGGAACAAAGCTGAATACCACAACTGGACAACTCGAGCCGGGAAAGTGCGATCCGTACAGCCTGTATGTGCAGCTATCGCGGTGCAAATCGCTTGACGGTATTATGTTGCTGTTAAAGGCACGGGTGCAGGATATAGTCGGGAATAAAATACCACAGGAAATGTTTGATGGCGAGGCTAGGCTGGAACAGTTATGCGAGAGGACAGTAAATGAGGCCCGATTATGGTTATTGTCATATCCATCTGCACAATACTAGTAGTAGCGTAATTTAGATAATGTGTATGATAAGCATGCCGGTCAAACAAGCTTGCCGGTTAAAAATCCCTTAACCTTTCATCTTTCTACTTAATCAATCAATTCTCAACCATTCAAGATGCCAGAATCAAATAATGAGGCAAATATCCTTCTTGCGCTTCAAGCCTATCGAAATGACCCAAAATTAAGTCTCCGACGCGCCGCAAAGATCTATCAAGTCAAGTATAGTACTCTCTTTGACCGAGAGAATAGCATCACTACTCGTTGCAATTAGATCCCCAAATTACATAAATTATCCGATCTAGAGGAATAGATTATTGTTCAGTTCATTCTCGACCTAGATTTGTGAGGATTTCCCCTGCAACTGCGTGGTGTTGAAGAAATGGCCAACTGACTGCTCGCCGACTGCAATGCGTCGCCTGTCGGCAAGCGCTGGGCTTTAAACTTCGTCAGGCGACAACCAGCGCTCAAGACGCGTTTTTTTCGTAAATACAACTACTAGAGAGCTAAATATAAAGATCCAACTATTATTTGCAATTGGTTCAGGCTCGTAGAGAATACAATCGCAAAATATAGTATCACCCTCGCTAATATCTACAACTTTGATGAGACTGGCTTTATGATGGGCCTGATTGCAAGCGGTATAGTTGTTACAGGTGCAGAAAGATGTGGAAACCCGAAATCAGTCCAGCCTGGAAATCGGGAGTGGGTTACAGTCATCCAGGCGATCAATGCGGAAGGCTGGGCGATCCAGCTGTTTATTGTGGTTGCGGGCCAATATCACCTCGCCAACTGGTACCGAGAAAGCAACCTCCCGGGCGATTGGGCTATTGCGACGACTCAAAATGGCTGGATAGATAATAAGACAGGTCTTGAGTGGCTCAAGCACTTTGACCGGCACACAAAGGCCCGATCAACTGGTCGCTATCGTCTTCTGATCCTCGATGGGTACGAAAGTCACCACTCGGTTGACTTTGAGAAATATTGCGAAGCGAACTACATTATTACACTTTGTATGCTGCCTCATTCGTCTTATCTACTTCAGCCTCTTGATATAGGGTGCTTTAGGCCGCTTAAAAACGCGTACGGTCGAGAAATTGAGCAGTTGATCAGATGCTCGATTACCCACGTTTCAAAGACTGACTTCTTTCCGGCTTTTTACGCCGCCCACCAAGCCGCTATGATGGAAAGTAATATCAAGGGAGGTTTTCGAGGGGCCGGGCTTGTTCCTTTGGACCCGGAAAGTGTCATATCAAAGCTTGATGTGCAGCTACGGACTCCAACACCCGTCGAGGAGGAGGCCAGCCTCCCCGACCCTTGGGTGCCCAAGACGCCAAAGACCGTCCTCGAGGCCACTTCTCAATCCGAATACCTTGAAAGACGAATCAGAAGGCACCAGGGCAGCTCTCCAGCATCTATTGTTGACGCGCTTAAGTCATTTTCTAAGGGAACGAAGGCAATAATGCATCAGATAGCATTATTGAAGTCTGAGAACCAGATCCTTCGACAGGCAAATGAGACTCTTAGCAAGCGGCGCAGAGCAAAAAAAAAACCGCCTACGGAATGGAGGGAAGATGACTGTAGATGAAGGAAGGGATGTAATTGATCAGAAGGATGTTGATGCGCAGTTAGTGGCCGAATCGTCGAGACATCGTGGTCAAGGAGGGTCGGCGCGACCGAAGGAAAGGCGTTGTGGAACATGCGGCAAGACTGGTCATAACGCAAGAACATGTCAGGTAGTTATTGCGATGTCTGGAGAAGAGTTTAGCGATTAGTTCTAATTGATTAGATGCTTTGTTGTGTATTTATTTTAATTTCTAGATTGAGGGTGATAATTTTTGACCGGCAAGCTTGTTTGACCGGCATGCTTATCATGCACGTTAATTATCCAATCTTGTCCTTGAAAATCTTCTAGGCCTATACTATATCAATGCTCGCTCTCATCCTACAGCCTCCTTTTCATCGACGCCTACTCAACCCCCAAACTCCCCTGATGCTCATCAGACGCGGTGCTTCCTACTGCATGACCAGGACGTTCCGGAATCGGGGCTTTCCAGCCAACAAGCTGTCGACTGCCTGCTGGACCTCGGAGAGAGGATACTTCTCAACAAAGCACTTGACTCCATGGAGCATTGCAAATCGGATGGCCTCCTCGCTGTCGATGGCATGGCCGCTGGGCCAGCCATGCACACTGGCGCCCTTCATGACGAGAGTGACTGTATTAAACTCAACGGCGCCGACGGGCGCGAGACTCAGGAGCTTGCCCAACGGCGCGAGGCCCTCAACGAGGTTGCCCACGGCCTTAGGATTGGGCGCGGTCTGGACGATGATGGCAGCACCGCCGAGCTTCATCAGTTCAGCCGCGGGGTCGGACGTCTTGGTGTTGATGTAGTGGTGGGCGCCCAGCTCCTTGGCGAACTGAGCCTTGTCGTCGCCGGATGAGAGGACGGCAACTTCGTAGCCCATCTTGTTGGCGTACTGGACAGCCAAGTGGCCGAGACCTCCGAGACCCTGGACTGCGACGAGAGCGCCCTGCTCGACGTGCATCTTGCGGATGCCGTTGAAGACGGTGACACCGGCACAGAGGAGGGGGGCAGCATCCGCAGGATCAATCTCCTTAGGGACGCGAACAGCGGCCTCTTCACGCAGGAGGACGTACTCGGCAAAGCCACCGTCCTGGCTCAAACCGTTGACAGCCTTGTTGTCGCAGATCTGGAACTGACTCCGCTGGCACTGTCTGCAAGTCCCGTCATGACCACCATGCCAGGGGCCACCGACGCGCTCACCGCCCGAGAAGCGAGTGACGCCCTCGCCGACGTCGACGACGTCGCCAACAATCTCGTGGCCGGGGACGCGGGGGAAGACATCGCCCATGTGGCCGCCAGCGATAGCAATGTCGCCGAAGCAGACACCGCAGGCGAGGACCTTGACGAGGACTTGACCCTTGGCCGGGTGCTTGAGGGGGACGTCGCGAAGGGTCCAGGTGGCGTTGGCTTTGTCGAGGACAACGGCCTTGTAAGTCGAAGGGAGAGAAGGCATGATGTTTTTGTTACTGGTTGTAGTTTGGGTTTGACTTGACAGTTCTGTTTGAGTGTTGAAAGTGAAGATTGAAGATTGTAGGATTGATGAGGATGAGGATGAGAGTGAGGATGAAAGACAAACTCAACATCGACATGGCAGAGACACTGTCTTTTTATAATCAATCCGATCAGAGAGGAAAACACCTACCGTACCTGTTGTCTTGCACATGTGAAGACGGCTTACTAATGGTTATTGTCTTAGGGAGCTTGACTATCGGAGTAGAAGTATCGGACATAGCATATTTCCGTTGGTAAACTGGGGATGTATGTCTCTCTTCCCCCACTTTAATCACGTATCCACTGCCATCATCTAAACGAAACGTGCAGACGGTTGCTGTATGATCTTCATGGGCTTTAGCTTGAGGATTGGATCAGAATCCGTTGTGAATGGATGGACGGAGTTTGCATGATATCATTAACTCATCCGAATTCCGAGAGACTGCGTATGCTGAGTTGCCTTGGTGGCTTGCGGCGTAAGGTGAACGGGCGTCGGAGGAGAGAAATGCAGTGGTTGTCGGATTTGTTTGTGACGTTGGAGTTGTTCCAAAGCCGATGGCTTTGGACGTTGGAGTAAAAGACGTGATTGCCGCAGTCAAAAGGCATTCACCATGCACGGCGACGCTTTCATCACGAACATTGTCCTCCTTCTCGCCCTGCAACAGAGCGCTGAGGCCGCCGGCCTGGGCGCCGCTATCGGCCGTGCAGCGGGCACCGCTGGCAGGACCGTGAGCCAGACCGCGAGGTCGGCCGGCAGCTCCATCAAGGGCCTCCCTGGCCACAACAGACAGGCTTTTATCAATCAGGGAAGCTCCTGGCTCGAAGGCCCCACGAACAACAAGGTCGTGGTCCAGACTGCTCGTCTCTGGCACCATCTCTGGCAGCATTTCCGGCTCCATCGGCAAGAGCGGCAAGAGCCGTCGCTCCGCTGACAGGGACCGCCGCCTGTCCCGCGCGCGCGTTGAGGAGCGCCAGGAGGACTCGAACACTTTCACGGTCGGAGGCGACGCTGAGATCACCATGCCCGAGACAGCCCCTATGGGCCTTCCTCAGGACAAGTGGGATGCCTGTTACTGGGAAACCCATACCACCAACATCGAGTTCGCCGGCTGCCAAGCGAATGGTGCGAGAGGCACGAACGCTGAACCTGGCTCCGGTGCCTCAGCGAGTTGTCACGTATCTGCCAAGCAGCAATACGTGGGCCTCTTACGTCCCGCCGGGAATGGTCAGCAGAGGGCAGTGGGACGAAATCATTGCCAGAGTGGTTAATGCACCAGAGGAAGGAAAGGAGGACCAGGTGGATGCTCGAGCGAAGCGAGCCGAGGAGCGACGAATGCGACGCCAGGGCTGAGATTGTTGAGGAAAATGGATTGAGTTTGTTGAGACTGGATTAATCAATTGGTATTTTAGGAGAAAAGACTGGTTTCTCTCTCCATCAAGGAGGTCAGCCACCCGGTCGGAGGTCGCGACCCCAGGTGCTTGAGGACAAGCGGGAGTCGCGAGGGGAGGCATGTGTCGGGGCCGGTTGACACGGAGGTCCGGATAAGGCGCCGGCGTTCCTGTATTTCTATTGGCTAGGGACCATTTTCAACAATTGGTCCATTTGGCTTGAGATAAAAAGGGGATTGAGACTGACAAGGTCAGTCAAGAAGTCAACACAAGCATCATCTTAGGCAATGAATTTGAGAGCCAAATGATCCCGTTTTTCAGTCAATCTTGAATGTGATAAATTGATCGCGATATCCCGTTTTTGTTACTTCTTTCAGACTTGCAATTGGTAGTGTTTTGACTGTTTCCCAGCCCGCTCCCTTCGAGATCCCTCGACACATCACGTCTTTCCTTGCAGCCGGTCTCTGCTTTCTGGGGGTTGGGTGTTTTCTCCCGGGTTGCCCTCACCAACACACTCTAGATGCAGAAGTAGCTGGAATAGCTAAAAAAACGTTTAGCTAATATACTTAAAATAGGAAATCTAATAAAATACTACGTCACCCCATGCACATTGAAGCGGCGATGGGGTGCATGGGGTAGCCTCAGCCGAAGGCTGTGTGTCCGCGGGCCGGGAAGCTATTACTACTACCGCATTATCTACGTACCGACCCACTGCCATGCCCATTCTTGGTATTATGTGACATGTACGGATTCCGTGTGAGCACCTGTCGTTTCCTAAGCTCCTGATCCCTCATCTTCATCTTCATGCCATCCGGGGGAGACCCGTAGACCAGGTGATTACGATCAAATGGTGCATCCAACATCAGACCCTCGAGCGTTTTCACGCGAGAGACAGCCACGTAGCTTAAACCAGTCTGAAAGTCCCGGCAGGACAGATCTGTAACTATCATGTCTTCGGTGATGCTTTGTGACTTGTGCACGGTAATTGCGTAGCATACGATCAGGGGAAACTGGGTGCGAGCGCAGAGAGTGGCTCCGATGAGGAAGTCCCTCTCCACTGGGAGAATCGGCACAATCTTCCTGCCATCAGCGGTGGTCAGGAATACCGGTCCGCTGTATTTGTCAAACTCCATCATGATAACGCAGGGAGGGTCTTGGATGGGGTCGGCCCCAGGTGCCCAGCCGATATCGTAAACTGTGCCGCGAGCGCCGTTGCAGAGGCCAACTGGCTGCCAAAGGTTGGACGTCAGCATCAGACGGGAGCCAATGCATATTGGGATCTGCTTCGCAAGGTTGCCCGCCTTGTCATCAGGCGCAGCAGCCGCGCCGGGGCCGACGTTCTTAGCCATGACCTGGATGACTGGCCGGCTGAGGCGGTCGAGGTGATAGTGGTTATATTCGTTCACCCTATCTTTAGTGGCGTATACTCGTAAGGCGTTGACAAACCTTGCGACCTCTTGATCGTCTAGTTTTGCCTGTACGCGGCTGGAAAGGAGCTTCCAGGATTCCACAGATAGTTGAAGCAGCCGCAATTCCCCGAGAGCTAGGCGGAATGCCTCCTGATCGTCGCCACGCTGCCGCTGGACAACTTTCAAGAAGACCGATTTATCGAATCGCCTATATGCGTTTCTGCCCTTGATCTCTACTCCCTGAACCTCTTTATCGTAATAAAGCGGCTTCTGCAGCACAGGGGGAAGCTGAAAGAAGTCACCAACCAACAGGATGTTCAGGCCGCCAAAGAACTCTTCGTTCTTATTCGGGAACGCCTCTCGGAGACGGTCATCGATCCAAGATAGCTGACGCAGTCCCAGCATGCTCTTCTCGTCAATGATCAGATACTTGATATCTGTAAGCTTCTTCTGGAGCTGGGCCTTATCAATGGCTGAGAGAGGCTTGAAGTCCTTATTAATTGGCAGGTGCAACAGGGAATGCAAGGTAGTGCCCGAAATCTGATTTCCCGCGACGCCCGTGGGCGCGGCACGCCAGACAGGTGTCCCTCTCCCGCCCGTCGCGGCTTGAAGGTGCGCGGAGAGCAGGTTAATGAGGTATGACTTGCCAGTGCCGCCTCCGCCATCCACATGGAGTAACAACTGGGAGGGATCCCGGGTCAGGAAGTGGCCCATCACCGTGTCGTACACCAGGCGCTGCTCTGGATTTAGGGAATCGCGAGCTTCCAAGGGCTGATGGTCCACATCGAGATTCCAGGGGTTTTCCGCTTTGCGTTGCTTCCAGTAGTCGCCGTTGAGAATGCCATCATCGGTATACCGCCCAACATGAGGGGTCCAATCGTAATTAATGTCAATATCTCGGCGGCCGAGGATGTCGATGTCCTCTTCCTCCAGCGGGCGGTCAGGTAGCATGCGGGCGAGTTCATGCCAATCCTCCTCCGCGATGGGCTCCTCATGGGCCTCAAGCTCAAACTCATCGTCCTCTGCCGTCAATTCATCCGTATCCGGCTCTCCATAATGATCGTCCGCATGGGTATCGTGGAGCTGTCTGCAGCGCATGTACCCGGCTGTGAAAGAATCGAACCGCTGGCCACCCACAACGAGCAACTCTTCTAGAAAGCGATGTGGATGAACCATCATCAATTTAACACGACAGCAGTCGTTAAACTGGGAAGAGGCTTCCATGGATTTGTATCGAGGGAAGTAAGACAGGACCCTCTTCTTCGCGTGAGCAGCTAGTCTCCTCCACGTGTTGAGATTGTACGACTGCAGGTATTCGAGATACGTTACATCCTCATGCTGGTCCTTTCTCTCTAGATATTTCATGTAGCTGCCGATGGCCTCGTTGACATCTCTATCTACACGATACGAACGCGCCTGTCGCTCCAACGGACGGCAGTCCATGGTGACAACCATACGGGTGCCTTCTTGCAGCGGAATGTTAAGCAGCAGATGGGAAATCTCCTGCACCGAGTAATCTCTCTCAGCGATCAGCTTGTTCATGAGGCGAGAGGAGAAGGACAACAGGGGCTGAACGTGCGATGTATGAGGCAAGACCTGGTCTGCAAGCCGGGAGAAAGACTCGGTCTTCTTCTCAGCTTTACTGCAATACTTCGCAGCGTATGTAATGACCGCCTGTAAGCTGGTGCAAGGAGATATGTCGATATTGGCTAGCCAGCCTAGGATAATCGCAGGGTTGAAGTTGTTCACGAGGCTGTCATTCCGGGCCGCCTCAAAGATGTAGTACGACCGGCCTTCCTTCCTGATCACTGCGGCCAGCTCCCGCAAGGCACGAGGGAAGTCAAAACGACACTCCCTCTCTGGATTGGCAACGTTGGCCGCCTCGATGTCTGCAGCAGCGCCCTCCATATCCCTCGCGATGTCACCGGTTCTCTTCCTCACACGCAAGCAGTACGTGGTGTTGCACTTGTGGCGCTGGCAACGGTTGACAATTTGCGAGAGCCGTAGGAATGTCATCTCTATGCTTAGGGGATCTACGCTCAGCGGATTACCCTCACCCTGAGGCATAGTCCTACTCGGCTCGGGGTTAATGGCAGTGATGTGGAATCCCCACGTGCGTGCAAAAACATCACGAGCGGCTTCGTCCTCCATGTCGGCTCCGGGGCAATTTTCCATCTAGTACAGGCCGTGGTTGTGTGGACTCCCACGCCCTTGCCATTTATAACGATCCCAGTAATCCATAATGCTGAATTTCTTGCTTAGCACGATATTCTGAAAGAGGCAGTATCGGCGGTAGAAGTGGAAAGCAGCAATATGAGGGTTCTGCTGCAATAGGCGGCGCGATAGAGCCATCCTCTCCGGCTTGGTAGCGGCTAGCCAGTCGTCATACTGGGGCATGTGCTGGTAGAGACTCCGCCAGTGTAAATCTGCCGGGCTAAACGTAATGAATGCACCAGGACAACCAAGGTTATAGGCGTAGGCCTCGAGGTCGTGCCTCTTTTTGTTCCAGAATGGACGCGTACCGCGAATAGACACCGCATGCCTTGTGATCGAGTTGATCAGCGCCTGCGCCTCGGGGTCCTCGCTGTGTTCGAGCGCCTGAATAAGTTGCTCTCGCGTCAGCGGCTGCTGTCTTCCATCATGTTGCTTCATGAAGAATCTGGACTGTGAACGTGCTTGTGACCGCATTAGCGTGTTGAAGGCGACGAAGCGGAAGGTCGGGTGGCGTGCAAAACGCCCGTCGTGCCAGCGCATCGCGTGCTCGACGTAATCCTTGTAATCAATGGAGCGCAATCGGGGTTCAACAAAGTCGGCTCTACCGTCAGGAAAGAGGCAGGGAAATGCCAAGGAGAGTAGGGCATGAGAGCGATTGAACTCATTAATGGGTGTGTGTCGTATATTCGGGAGCTGCAGCTCGTGTTGTGCCTGCGCGTGGAAGCTTGTGGAAAGCCCTGAATCAGCGCCTGATTCTCCGGAGAGAATAGACCGCAGAGCATCGAGCTCCGTGTCCTTGGCCAACAGGTCCGGCACCGCAGCCTCGTCCTCCAGGTCAGGCTCTGCCTCCTGATCTTCCTCGGGTGAGTCGGGTCCAACATCGGCAGCCTCCACCTGACTCTGGGGGATAGCATCCAGGACATTACCATCTTGGGGCAATTGATTCAGCCGCTCTTCGTCGATGGCGACGCATCGATAGCCAGGATGATGGCGGCGGAGGTAGTCTAGCCATATGGCAACCGGCTGGCGGCGCACGCGGAACTGGCGGGTGAATTGCCAGCTAAGATTTGCGTGGGACGACGTATTCGCAGGACGTAGTAACACGGTGTTCAACTCCTGCGGCAAAAGCGGGAGCTGGTTGTACACTAAGCCAACCTCCCGGAGAAAGTGAATTACGTGCCCTCGATACTTGTACTGCTGCTCTCGCACAAGCATAATGTTCACGTGGACGTGAACACGAGCAATCAAAGACTCTTCGGTTGGCGTAAGCTGGGGCAACCGGGCCGGTACAGGGCCAAAGTCGAGCTGATTGTCCGCAGAGAAGAAATATAGCTCGTCGGGCTGGCGCTTCTCATCCCTCCAATAACAACGCGCACAAATGCCATTGCAATCGATCTTCATCTGGAACCAACTCTCTTGGCATCGACTGCAAAACTGCATTTGGTCATTGTCCAGCTCTGTCCAGAACTCGCGGAGGATGGCCTTGTCGCGACCAGTCAAGGCGCAAGCTTCCAGATCTCCATTCCACACCGGGTCTTGTGCGTAGAATACCGCCGACTCTTCAGGTGGAATTCTCACCGAACTCCGAATACGTCGTGATGGCCTCAACGATCGAGTTTGCCTTCGAGATCGTCTCGGCCGCCCTCCTGTACCAGGAGCCGGACCACGGCGACCAGTCCTCGGCCGTGCAGAAGGCGGCCGCGAGCGATGACGAACAGGGCTTTCATCCACGGAGTCGTTACCGTCGCTCTCGTCTTCATCCCCTGGGTCGGAGTCACACTCTACCCCTATTTGCTCCAGGTACCTGCGTGGCCGAACGGGCGAAAGCAACAGGTTGAAATAGTCCTCGGCGTCAATATCGGACTCCGAGAACTGGCCCCAGTCATCTCCTTCCTTGATTATCCCATCCCCACCCGGAAGCCCACTCGGCCGCGGTCGATCTTGGCTGGCATCTACATTCTGTGGTTAGCCCGAAGTACTTCGACCATTAAGTAAGAATATCTGCCCCAGGCCCCTCCGAACCTTTAAACGCGCCGAGTTGAGATATTGAGGGAGTCAGTGACACAGTCTCCCCTGCACGGCGTCGTGAACGATGGCCGCGCTGGATAGCAGCCCGCTTGGCCCTTGCGCCGGCCATGGAGGAATCGTCCTGTGAGTCTCTCCCGCACTTGAGGAATCTAGGAGCCAAGTCAGGGTGACCTATATCAGGCGTGCTGCTTCGGATAGTAGACGGATCAGAATGTGAGGCGGTTAGTAGTGCCGTCGGCTACACAGGAGGTAAGGGAGCTATTGTACGGAAGAGCCGCGAGCTTTGTTGGGTTGGTGGAATTGGCGTCCCCAACACTACACACGGCTGGCTAATCGACGCCCCGGATAACGTCTTCGCTGTATGACATTGCCGTAGCCTCTCTGGCGACGTAGGCTGGGTTCCGAACCTGGCGTTAGGAGGTGATAGGCTAGCATCTTCTTCAGTTCTCTTCGGAGCGGGACCCCCAGTTGAGGAAGGATTGACGGCGAGGTTCCTTAACGTCAGGATCGCGCCTCTGGACCTGGAGTACTTTAATTAGTTAGTATCGAACGTCTTACGGAGTGGGAGACAGACTGACATGAGAACTGCGCTGATTGCGACAGTCCTGGCAGTTCTTGGTGTGCCCCACCGATTTCCTTTTGCCAATAAAGTCACCTGCCGGTTTCTCCTCGCCACAGCGGACACAGACGATGGAAATCATATCATCTTGAAGCTCTTGAGGAGTAGACCTAAGACGCATTACTTAATGGAGCAAGACATCAAGAGGCGTTGTGCGGGACGAAATGGGTATTTGAATCCCGAAATTCCAGGTAATTACTGTTAAGGGGCCTAAAGCTGCCCCCTAGTAAACAAACCAGGGGTCCTGGCAGCTGTTAAATAGCGACCCACCTTTCGAAGGCCGTCATCCAGTTGCGGTACGTTTTGCGACCAACCATACAAAATTTAGACCAATCAGAGCCCGGGAAACTTATTAATCCCTGTCTGCACCAAACCCTCATTATTGGGAAAACTTATGGATTAATGTAGAGTCAGCCTTCGGCTGAACAAGATCGAAGTGAATATATACCTTTGCATCTTCAAAATGCTTGAGCAAGATGTCCATATGGTAAAGCAGCTGATCTAACGACGACCACTTCTTCTGTTGCGCCAGTGTCGCCTGCCAGAAGGGTTGGAGGAAGTCCGCCGTTAACCTGAGGACATCCCAGTCATCCTGTGTGAGACTATCTTCACCCAGGGCCTTATGATGCTCTTGTTGAAACATCATAAGCTTGTCTCTCTTCTCGAGTGCAGTACGAAGTAGCATGTACCACAAATTCCATCTCGTTGCATTGTCAATGCCGAGTGCACGACCTGCCAGGCGCTGCCATGCATCGCTGTGCAGTGTCGAACCTTGTATAAACACGGCGATATTGTGTAGTTTACCAAGGGGGCCCATGGATCGCCATCCGGCTTGATCCTCCGGCACTTTTCGATGCTTCCCCTTGCTGTTCTTTTGCTGCAATTGCGCCTGCAGAGACTCAACGACTGTGGTGTTCGCGTTACCATTTGCCTCTTCAATTGCGGCACGGAGTGCCTCTTTGCTGGAGGCGAAGAGAAACGCGTGGAGGCAGAGATTGATAATATGGCCTCCGCACCGAACACGGCGCTCAACGGGGTCCATTCCGACGCCAAACTCGTTCGCCAATGCTGTTGATAAAGCACGCAGGCAAGTGTCATTGGCGGTGGCGTTGTCAGATGTAAAGTAGCCAATGTTGTCTGCGATATCGAAATACCGGATAGTGTCCAGCAAATGCCGTGACATTGTCTCTCCGGAGTGACTGTGCTGTACGTTTGGCAGACCTAATAGAGCCTCACGGAGTTCATACCGTGCATCAACCCATTGCCCACATATTCCGAGAAAGGCTTTGCGATGCGGCGATGACCATAGATCAATGCTAAAGTGGATTTGTGACTTTGCCGCCTGTAATTGAGCCTTGATATTCTCGCGGTGTACGGCGTATGACTGCCCGATATGAGCCAATACCGTAGTGCCTGATTGGATGAGGATCTCTTCAGCCCTAGGGTTAATTGCGCAAAGAAGTGCTTGGTATTCCGGCCAAGAGACACAGTTGAGTGGGAGACGGCGGCGTGTGATCAGCTGGATCTGGGCCTCATAGAATGCGTCAAGTTGTATCGTATTCCGTAGGATCGATTGTTCGCCACGGGATACTATCTCTTGATTCTTCTCTTCTGCGCGTGTGAATGCTACTTCAAGAGACTGTTGAAGTCTCTTCTTGGCTGCCCTTTCTTCATCATCAATGATAATACCGTGGTCCTTTCGCATATGTCGTTTGGCGCTTGTGGTCGAGACTGTTCGCCATGGCGGATTGTGGCAATGCTGACAATACCACAGTCTCTGGCTATTCTGGTGTGTCTCTTCGTCTCCTTGAGGCACACGGAAGTGCTTCCAGGTTTCTGGAGTGCGTAGTTTACGTTTCTTCGGCTGCGATCGACGCGTAGACGTGGATGATGTGGGGGAAAAGGGGGCGGAGAAATTTGACCATTGTGAATGAGGCCGCTCAATTGCAGCGATGCTTGATTCTGGCGCCGGCGAGCTAAATTCTGCGTATTGAACGTCCTCTACGAATAGAGACGACCCGGGAGGCATGTTGACGCGTGGCATATCATTCAGGTCTTTTTGAAACCTTTGGAGTGGTGCGCTCGAGACGAGACCATCTACCTACTGTTATGCCCGGGGAGGGGCACTTAATTAGGGCACTGCGCCAAACGCGAGAAGCGGACAGGCACACGCTGTGTCGCGTCAGCCCTTGTCGCGCCATTTTGGCGTCTGATCAAAACTGATTCTTTGAGCTCGTCACTCAGCTCACGCAAGGTTGCGTCGTGGGACCTTCGAGGTTGAGCCATCATGTGCAGTCAAAGGGAATCTGCGAAGTCGCTGTTTTGGTTTGGGCGCAGGTCCAGGGGGACTGGACTTGGTGTACGATATAAGTCGGGTTTTGGTTGGGTGGCGCCAGTGGGGGCAGGCGTAGATGACCTTTCTCGACGGCGAAATGACAGCTGGGAGTGATAATTCCAACTAGGGTGGAATCAATGCCAGTAAGGTGCTCTCGCCAAGAGAACTTCAGCGACTATGCCATCAACTTGCATGATGGGTATTTTGTAGAGACAGCGTGTTTGCTCGGAGGTCAAGTGCATTGCGCAACAGGGAGCCAATCTACCCTATACAGCGGATAGGGGCTACCGCATATCTCACCTATTTGTTATGGCGGGGCGGGTACCCATTAACTCCTCTGTGCTGGTTTCCCTGGAAAGATAACAAGCGCTTCACCGTCTCTCATGTTACGAACATTTGGTTTGGAACCCTGCTAGATATCGATGCAAAGTAAAGAAAAAATGTGTTGCTGTTGAATATGTAGAAAGTAACTAATTCTGGGCTTTGACCGGGCGATGAGTTGTGTTGCTAAGGTACCTGATTTATCATAACTGATAGCAGGATCTGGATGTACCTGCTAACATATCTTAGCACCTTGGAGAAGTCTCCAAACACCTCGAACGCGTCAGGTCGCGTATTGTGACAGGCAACTATGCCACAAAATATCGACGCCACAAATACCTTGGTCACGTGTGTTACTGATTACTGATTGATTGATTAGGGGCTTACTGATACTGATAGCGTATCAGTATCAATCAGTAATCAGTACTGATTGATAACTGACTGCTTGTTGGGACCTCTGATCACGGCAACATCACTCTTAACTGACCATCTCGAACCATTCTCACATTAGTGGTTGCTCTATCTAGCCACTGTGTTTAGATGGGTCCGACCTGACCTCATCGCTTTATGCGCGGCACACCTCACCATCGCAACACTCGCAGGAAATTGTCGCCCCATTCGCTTATCGACTTCCTGAGCTCCTGGCAACAGCCAACAAAGGGGGTGACAACACACCCGACCGAGACACCTTCGAGCCAATGTCAAATTCGAGCTCAATCGAGACCTTGTGAGAACCTGGTTTTCTGGAAACCTCATCCATCGCCACTATCTGAATGGGATCAATCGGCTACGACGCTTAGCGCTACAAAAACAAAGGAACTATGGCGATGCCCCCAAATTTGTTGGACCTGTGGTCCAATTCACAGAACTCGACCGGCTCGACTTCGCCACGGCCCTTGCGGTCGCCCCGCCTGCATGTCGCCGGAGAGGTACTCTCTGAATTCTCCCCGCTGGACGCATTTGTCCTGCAGAGCCGCATCCTCGCGAAACAGTTGCAAGAGAGCACCAAGGAGGGCAACAGATTCAGCAGGCTACCGCCGTTGACGGTGGAGAGTCCCCTGATCGTCCAGGGCCGGTCAAATTACTTCCGTTCAATGTCTCAAGACTCGGGGTCAGAACCATGTGATTCACTCGAACAGAATCCCGCCGGCCTGGGTCTAAGAACTGAGGTCGAACATGCTTTTTTATTAGGACGGCCCAAATCGATGGTTTCGCGTACGATTCGAATCCCTCTTACCCCCGATGGACCAGCCCCTGCTGTGCCACAGATAGCGCGAGACTTGTCTCGAGGGTCACAGCTCAATCAGATAGAGGAGGACCGCGATTCTTTCGGCGCACGAAGGGAACGCTCTCCCTCGCCGGAGATCCAGACGATGCGCTTATCTGGGACCACTGCAACGCAGTTACCGAATCCACCCCGCCACCCCCAGCGCTAGCATCTTCCCTCCAACAAACTCCAGTGCTTCGCAACACAAGCAGCTTCGCAAATTCTTCCGAACATCGCAAGTACGTGGATGCCGTGCTTAAAGAGGAGCTCGGGCTTATGTATGTTGGGCTCCCAGGTGGATCCAGGAAGAAATGCGTACTCTTGAGTTCGGAAAGGTCAATTCAAATTTCTTCCGACCAGGACCATGATTCCGCTTCCCTAATCGTCTCTTCGCTCAACTGCTCCAGCATCTGCTCAGCCTGGGCCATCTCCGCCGGCACCGTGTTCCCCACCGCCACCGTGTTCCCCACCAAGTCACGCTCTCGCGCCTTGGACAGGAGCATGATGCCGTCGAGCGTCCTGCACCGCGACAGCTGCACGTACAGGCTGTATGGGTCGCATTGCGTAAGAACCGCCTCGCCGTCGATGGTCGTCGTCCTCGTTCCCCGAAGTTCGAGTGCCACTCAGTCTCATGTCTTGCTCTGCACCTTGTAGTCTGTACACGCAAACGCCGGTGCGCATGGCAGCCCCCTGCGGGAGACGTCGTGTTGCTGCCATGGCCGCTTTCTCTGGCGCTCTATTTTGATACTCATGGGCGTCAGGAGGATCGTATCGGGAGGCATACCGACGAAGCGGAAGTCTCTCGTCGTCTCCGACGCCAGCGCGATCCCCGCCGGCGGGCCGAAGTGGAGCACGATATCGGCGTCGATCCGATGGCCCGGGTGCGCCTTGTCGAGAACGACTTCCACTGCCGTATAGCTGGCACCGTTGACCAGCTTCAGACCTTGGTGGGTGTTGTGGTTCACGACGACGGGCATGCCGGCGCTGTCGTCGCCCTGGCCTAACATCATGAGGGCTTCCTCCTCCGTCGGTTGGCCGTCTTTCCTCTTGTGCTCGGAATCGAAGATACGGAGTGGGGCCTGCCATTGCCTCTGGAAGGCGAGTGTCGCCTCGATGTTCAGGTTCCAGCGGTTCCTGTTCAGCGGCGTCACCACCGTGATGCCCGACTCCCACGGGATCCGCCTGCCTTCCCGGTAGCAGGTGCTGTTCAGCATGTCGACGTCGGACTGGTCTTGTATTCCTCGTCGGATCCGAGTCAGCAGCCCCTTCAGTCGTGGATCTTTCGAACTTATTCGTTTAGTATGACCACCGTCGTGAGTTTCTTCCAGAGGGCGTGAGCCTTGTCGTGTTGCCGCCTCTGCTCCGGGCCGAAGCGATCGTCTCCCTCCTACGGAATAATCGAGCTCGGGAGGAGGATCGACCTCTCCTGCACCGGTCGAAACTAATGGAAGTCCCCGCAGAAAAGGGCCGCCGGGATGCCGCCGAAGTCCAAGGGGGACTCACGAAGCCAGCGGAGCTATTCGTCCACGGCATATAGCGTGCGTACGCCCAATAGGCTGACCTCGTCGAAGATCAGCAGCTATGTCTCTTGCCACTCTGCCGTGGTCTGCCCGTCGATGCGGAGGCCCGCCGAGGCGGACGCTACGATCCCGTCGATATCCGCGCGCCGGACTCCGCGCGCCGTCGCATCCTTAGACCCGTAATTTCCCGGTGCTGTCCTCGCCGCCGACGAATTGGCGGTATATGAATCGGAGGGCGATGCTCTGCCTCTCGTTGAGCGTGAACGACTCGACTAGCTGCCACCCTGCCTCTTAGAACGATGTCGACGGACCGAACCGGACGTTTGTCGAGGGACCGCTGACCCGGACTGAGGAACGGTTCAGCGTGCTATGCATAACTGCCGAACCGTGGCCGATTGTGCCGTTATCGGGCTGGCTCTGTATTTTTGGGCGCACCGCTTGCGGTTTGCAACTTTCTTGCATTTGACTGGGCTGTCGTAGTCACGCTTGGCAATTCGGCGGCATTTCCGTCACCCCTCCACTACTCCGTACCAACACGCGCCACCGTTTTGAGTTGATTCGACTGGCGGTGTGTTACGCAGCAATTGCCCAAACTTTGCCATAAGCCACATCTTCTGGAGTGTGCTGTTCCCTTCGAGAGCCCCGAATTCGTCTTAGAAATAAAATAGGGATGACCTTCTGTCTTCTTAGTTCTCATTCACTGCATCCATCACCATGTCGCCCTCTGCCGATTCCGGAGGCCTTACGGGAGCGTATACAGGCGGTAGTATTGCGCAGCTGTGCATGTTTGCCGCCTTCATCGCGGTCGCGTTCTACAACTCTCTGGAACTTCTCGTGCTTATTTTTGCAACATTCAAAAGATACAGAGGGCGTTATTTCTGGTGTTTACTTGTCGCCTCTTTCAGTATTATTCTACACGCCCTTGCCTTTCTCTTGAAATTGTTCCACCTCTCTCGGATCGGCTTTCTCAATATCGCCATAGTGGATGTGAGCTGGGTTGGAATGGTGACAGGTCAATCTATGGTTCTATGGTCGCGGCTTCACCTGGTCGCCCACAGCGAAAAGATCCTACGGGCTGCTCTGTGGATGATTATGATCGACGCCATCGTCCTTCATATCCCTACTTCGGTCCTCCAGTTCTGCACGAATTCGCCAAACCCCCCTGCGCCCTTTGTCAAAGGATATGATACCATGGAGCGAATACAGCTGATCGTATTCTGCGTGCAGGAGATAATATTATCAACGATATACATTTGGGAAACCGTTAAAATGCTCAGGCTTCGCCCCGGCCGTCAGTCCCAGATCATCTTACGGCAGCTCCTCATCATCAACGTCATCATAGTCGTCCTGGACGCATCCGTCATCGGCATTCAATATGCGGGTTACTACGCAGTCCAAGTCACAATCAAGCCGATGGTTTACAGTATCAAGCTGAAGTTGGAGTTCGCTATCCTCGGAAAGTTGGTCAAGATTGCCAAGGCCCCGCGCGCGGATACACAGCCATCTACGACAAGCACGACAAGGATGGTAACCGAGTCCGTTGATCAGCCTGGCCCTGTTATTCGACAAGATGTGGAATGGAATCAGGGCTGAACCCGTACCAAACCGGCGGCAGAACAGGATGGTTGATGTTGCGATTTTTCATGGTTAACAATCCCGCTGGCAGTGGAAGCGGCCAGGCAAGGTGAGAAGGAATCTGATGAGATTGGCCGATAGGCATGGGCTAACATCTACGTCGGTCGCGGTATCCTAGTCGAGAGTCAAAGACCGACTTGGGCTCTGGGGCGCGGCATCAGAGCATAATGTCCTCTACCAATATCAGTTCTCCAACGCCAAAGAGGTCTTCCTGAGTATGATCCAGACCGAGACCCCGTACTTCCAGCCGGTGCCCGGCTCCGGCGCCCTTCGTCCCGGGCGGCTTCCCCAGCGACCCGACGTTCGAAGATTGCGCCCCCTCGTCCAAGAGATGCGCCATGTCCTGGGCCGTCCGATCATCGGTTCATCGGACATCTTCATCTACAGTGCCGGACTATACAGTTGATTCTCCGAATACGGCCAGGCATGCGTCGACACCGGGAACTGCCAAGACCGTGCCATCGAGGTCAAGCAAGCCTCAGGGTTATGGCTGTATACCCTCGCCACTAAGGCCGTCATTGAGGTAGTCAGCCCGGTGGGCGTGTCGGCGACCAACGCCGCTGCGAATCAGAACGGCTTCGTCTCGTCCACCCTGGCCTGGCTCGAGGATCGAAAGAGCCATCGGAGGCAATTTTTAAGGCTGGGAAGTCTTCCAGAACGGCTCCCTGGCTCATTCAGGACTGATCAAGCCTTGCGTTCGACCTGGTAATAGGCTGGCATTACGGATAAAAGGAAAGGGGAAAAGGGGAGCCAATAGGTTCACGGGTACCCGTGGATTTAAAGTCTCACCCCTGGCACCGATGGTCCAAACTTCCATCACCAGCTGGTCATATAAACGAATGGAATCTTCATCCTAAACTTCGGTCTAGACAAATTTCGTCCTTGACTTCGTTCCTCAAGGCTCTATTGGGCAAACCGCTCCGGTTTGCGTCTCCTGTTACATGCACTCACCTTACCACCCTTACTTCCCTTACCTCTCCCTCACTCTTTCTTACCTGACCTGACCTTGACGTGCGCACGGACCGCTGCCCCCTAGGGGCAGAGCCAGCTGCACAACATGAACCGTCAACCACTTACTTTACGTTGCCTCTCCTTCTTCCTCTCATTCTCACCTAATTCTCACTCTCCTACCAAGCTCCATCTATTCACCCTCTGCCTGCGGATCATCCCCTGGCAAAGTGCCGAATGCCGTAATCACTCACACGTCAGCTGGCACACCCCGCATTATGGCGGGATCGCGGAACCAATGATGGTCTCCGTGGTGCACCATTGTTCGACCAAGTGTCTAGTCTGCTGAAGTATTGGGCCAAGTCCGTAGCGTGGCTTGTCTGTGCGCCGGAGCATTACTCGATTTTAAGTTAATCCCCACGACAAAAGCGATTTTAGTGCTATCCTGGCTGGATAGATGCTGTCGATCATGATGTTTGCCGTTGCCCGTATTCCCTTGTTGGCCTCATGGTCGTTTCGTCAGAGACTCCTCCGGCTGATCCGTGCACCCAGGACCCCCGATGAAAGTGAGAGTCACAAGGAAAATGCCACATTGGGACACAAGTTGCCGACTGAGACCAAGTGCGGGAGCGCGTTTGATTTGCCGCCAGAGTTGCAATCCACTCCACGAGAGACCTCCGTGGAGTGGATTTAGAGGTGGCACGTGGCGCAAAAGGGGACGTGCACGCATGCACGGTCCACTAAGTGATCCTAAATCCACTGAAGACGTCCGTGGAGTGGAGTGGATTGCAACTCTGTTTGCCGCACTTACCTTAATCATGGTCTGGGTATGCCCGTATGCTTGGGAAAGCCTTGTCCAGGGCAATGTAAGGGGCCGTATCAACACTTGAGGCTAACACATTGTTTTCCTGCCGGGAAATACCGCAGAATAGGTGGGTGGCTCCAGCCCGAACTTCTGTCAGTTGCTGAAGAGTGAGATCGCCTACCCAAAAACCAGCTGACGCCACCGAGTGTCAGCCCCGCGTAGCCCGGACAACCAAGAATGATATGGGTTGACGGAGCACGGATGAACATGACAGAAAGGTACCCTCTTGCAAAGGGGCTTCCAATCAGCGGAAGAATTCGGCGGTAGAAATGGCCTCGGCCTTTCTGCGCGGAAATTCGAGCTGCGTACTATGGCATAGAGACGACGGCAACGGCTTGATCTCCACATAACATGACGAAAGTTGATGGCCGAGGATTCTCATCAGTGCTAGAAACACTGTCTTCTCGCCACAGTTCGTCACTAACTCAGGACCATGCCCGGCACCCAGCGGCCCACAGCAGAATGCGGTGGAACGGACAGTAGCGCAAACACAAACTTCACCCCCCTGCACGGGAAGCTCCGCCGGGGCGATGTACCGGCCTTCCGCAAGCCACAAAGTGGCATCCAAAAGGCATCATGTAAGGAGAGCGTCGATCACAGTGTAGCAGCCCCAGTACCCGCTTCCCCGCACCGCGCCCTCCTGGAATGCGAACGGATCAGCGCCACCTGGCTCGCCCCTTTCAACTTTTGTCCTCTGAATGCTTCATCCCTATGAAGCGACCGTGACGCACGATATTACGACTCATGACCCACCTACAAGGTTTTCGTCTCTCAAGCGCTAAGAGCAGAAGATGTCACGCTTGCATGACGTCTGGATATCAGCGGCTCGCGGCGCGTTAGGATTGATTCGTGGAGTAGCTATTCTAGCAAATGACTTCTCGCAACGCCTGTCTAAAGACATTGATTCTTTCGCGCCGCGGAAATCTGGAACTACACCGACACCCTGGCGCTCATCGCTCTCTCCATAGCAATGGTCGGCGGTTTGCTCATTCTTAATTTTCTTCTCGACGACGGGGGCTACCAGGCTGGAGATTGCACATTAGGTGCTGAAATGTACAGAGGAAGGACCCGACGAGATGTTATGCTAACTTGAAGGTATCGTCAGATCTACTAGGAATCGCATCCAATCTCGCGACACTCGACCACTCCAGCCTCCAACCCGAGAGCGCTAGTCCTATAGTGATGTTTCAACCTGAAAGTCATTCAGCATTCTATGTTGATCACTTAGCCCGGGTTACGCGACAATTCCCTCCCCGGAGTTTCCCAGAAATACAAGTTGGCTTTACCGTGGCGCCAAACGCTACGCCACTCCACAAGCAACGTCCGTGCCCCATCAAGACCAGTCTTCGGCAAGGCCGTGTTCTCTGGAAGCTTGCTGAAGAGAATCACGCACTTCCGAGAATGGGAGCGGTCCCGCGCCTTCGCCCTCCTGCGCTGGGCCGCGTTCGCGCCGCGGCCCCTGACAGTCTGTGAGATCACCGAGGCCGTCCTCATCGACGACGAATGCGAAGACCTCCCGAGCGATGATCTCCCCGACGCCGTCGACGACCGGAAAGGAGGGCCCTGGCCCAAATTCTCAAGACGACAACCAGGAGTGCCCTTCAGTGACCAAGGAGGAACTGACGGCGTACTACAGAGGAGCCTTTCAAAAGTCTCTGCTCGCGTGGACGCTAAGGTCAGCCACAAACAGGGATCGTGCCGAAAGCGAATGTACCCAGCCAAATTCTTAGGTACCTCACCCCTCTTTCACTTTTCCTGTTTTCCCCTCATCTTGACCGCCAAAATGCGTCAAAATACCGATATTGCAACCCGGGCTCTTGTGGTCGTCTTCAAGAGCCCATCGGGCGGGAAAACAACAGCTGAAGTTGCAGAGATAACAGGTCTTTCGCCCCGTACAATCAATGACATCTACGCACGCGCTATTTCCCGCGGATTCGATCCCAACCACCGACCGATGACCCTCCATGACGAATTCCTTCGTGATGCGCACCGCTCCGGGCGTCCCAAGAAGCAGACGGACGAGGCACGAATAGAGATCATCGCCAAGGTTCGCCGCGATCGATTTGGCAGGGAAAAGACGTGTGCTGATATTGCGGGCGAACTGAGCAGCGATGGGATCGAGATCTCGGCCGTCACTGTATGGCGAATACTGAAGAAAGCTGGATTCCGAAAGACAAAGCCAACGAGGAAACCTGGATTGACGAAGAAGATGAGGGAGGCACGTCTGGCTTGGTGTCTTGAACACCAGCACTGGACCCTAGAGGACTGGAAGAATGTCATTTGGTCTGACGAGACCTCTGTTATCCTGCTCCATCGACGAGGAAGCTATCGCGTATGGCGAAAAGCCGATGAGGCATTTGTTCGAAGTTGTATCCGGGAGCGATGGAAAGATGCATCTGAATTTATGTTCTGGGGCGCCTTTTCCTATGATAAGAAGGGCCCCTGCCACTGTTGGGGTCCAGAGACTGCTGCCGAAAAGAAGGAAGCCGAAAAAATCATTAATAAAATGAATGAGGATCTTGAAGCTGTTATGCGAGAAGAGTGGGAAATTTCAAATGGAATACGACGATTACATCTACATCAACTACCCGGCCCGAAGCCAATCTGGCGATGGAATAAGAAGTCCGGAAAGCTGACGAGAGGGTCCAAGGGCGGTATTGACTGGTATCGCTATCAGAAGACAATCCTGATCCCTAAGATGTTTCCTTTTGCTTTGGAATGTACCAAGGACCGCCCGGGCACTTTGGTCCAAGAAGATAAGGCTCCTGCTCACAGCCACTATATACAGCAACAATGTTATGATGCGAATAGCATCAGCCGGCTGCTATGGTGTGGGAATTCCCCGGACCTCAATCCTATTGAGCCGGCTTGGCCATGGATAAAGAGACGGACTACAAGGAAAGGAGCCCCAAAGTCAAGGCATGAGGCAGTCAAAGCTTGGAAAGCAGCTTGGAAGGAGCTTCCGCAGGAAGCTATTCAGGCTTGGATTGAGCGCATCCCTCATCATATTAAAAAAATCATTGAGTTGGAAGGAGGAAATGAATACAAGGAAAGTCGGACACAGCGGTAGGTACATTGGGAATCCTACTATACATTTTGGGTGGGACCCTGCTCTTTCCCGTGACGCTAGTGTCCTTAGCGTGAGCAGAGACTTTTGAAAGGCTCCTCTGTACAAGATGACCATGTTCCTGAATAGGATGGTCGAAGTCGTCCACGCTATCAACCGGCGAGATTTCCGGCGGGGGGCGGAGAGCCTGGACAGCCTGACGAAGTGGCTCGAGGCGTCTGGCGACTGGCACCGGTTCTACAAGGAATCGGAGGTACAGGGGACGCTCTCGTGTCTCCGGGCCTTCATCCTGGTCAAGCAGGGGTGCTCGCGGCGCCTGGTCAGAGAGGACGGCTGGGAAGTTCTATTGAGGCAAGCGCGAGACGAGCTGCAGAGGGCGGCAGAGTTGCAGAGTAGCGAGGATCTGGATCTCGAGAGCGGACGACGAGGCGAAAGGAGGTGGCAGTGGGAGAGATTGGCGCAGCAGGCGCGACAGGAGATGGACCGCACCGAGAAGGACGATCCGCCGGCCGTGTGCGATTGCAAGTTCCGCAAGGTGGTTTGCGACCTTCACAGCGGCGACAGGACGGGGAACTTGGCGAGGGAGCATACGCGGTATCACAATCTCGTGGAGCTGGAGGGATGGCAGTCGGCTGAGGCGCTGTTGACGGAGGATATTGCGACGGATTTGGAACCGTACAGTTCCTGGGGCTATACTTGAAATTCCACAGACGGATGGGTTGGACATCTCGGAGTCACGCGGGTTACTTAATCGTATCAAACTGGAATTAGTTTGTCAGAGGTCAATCGGAAGAGCATTCAAGGAGATCGATGACGAGTAAACCGTCTAATTGCGAACCAGACGCGTTGTGAATTCTAGCACACAGCCTATTTACTTGCCTCTTATATGTCGAGGCATCAAGTACGGATGAGCCCCTGGCCCCTATTCACCCGCATTTATTTACTGTTGCTATATTCCACCGTAACCGTCTTGGTCTGCAAAATTACCGCCATGTTATCCTTTACAATCGCCTTCTCAGAGCCATCATCTCCCCAAACCCCTTCCTCACCATTCCACCGCGACGACGCCTCAGTCGTCATAGCGGCAGAAGGATACGACGTAGCCGGGTACGTCGACATGATATAAGAGTCGCTCTGTCTCTGGTCCGGACTCGGACCGTCGTCTTCCGTGTCGAACTGGGAGTACTGACTGCGCTTCATCTTGCTCGCTTTGGACGTGCTTATCATCCCGATGGTTCTGAGACCCGACGGCGGGCCAGTGCCGGCGCTGTCGCCCGTTGGCTTCGTGCCTCGGGCGTATGCGCTCTCGCCGATCAGCTTGGGCGCGACGTGTTTCAAGAACTTGCGGAGGGTCGGAAGGGCTGCGCAGACGATGAGGAGGTTTGCTTCGACGATGCTGTGGGGGAGTTGGTTAGTCGTCGATCTGCTGGTGAAAAAGGGCTGGTCAGCGGCACTCACATCCAGACTGAAGCCCACGAGATAACCCATGTCTGGTCCAAGCTCGTGAGCATCTGAGGAAGAATTGACACTCGAATTATGGACGTGACAATCGTGCTGACCACACGTTAGCCGCACTCCCCGCCACAGCGTACGTTCTCTGTAGATTGTCGACAACTTACATAGAACCAAGCAAAAATATGAGTAATAGTCCAAGCTTTTGCCTTCTAGGGATCTGAAGCTTCACCACAATCGGCAGTGGCAAGCAGAACAAGAAGACGTCCGAGATGATGTTGACCGCAGCCGTGGCGATGTAAAGCGACGGCCTGTTGATGCAGGTCCCTTCCTGGACGGTAACATCATAGCTCATCGCGATAGGGTCGCACGCGAAAATGAGCGCGAAGAAGATGCCGATGGTGTATCCCGAGATGAAGACCAGGGTGGCCCAGATCGCTACCCTGAACCAAGTCTGCGGTGACAGATGGAAGTAGAAGATCAGGAGGGAGATCTTGGCGAAGCTGCCGCCCACGATGTAGATGGCCGCCGCGAGGTAGACGTCCTGAAGTTGGGATCAGCCACATATTTCAGTACCAGGGTGTTTTGCAGAGCCTAAGAGTCTGTAGAAGACGAAGGAGGCGAGCCTGGCTTACCATCATGAAGATGTTGTATGTTGGGATGTCGATTTCCCAACCATGAACTCCGCCAGCCCCCATAGCGAACATGTCTGCCATGGCACGTTGTCAGTACAGTATCTGGCAGCATGCGCTTCGGGATAATTACTTACGGACACAAAGGCCAACAGTGGTGATGGATATCAGCTTCGTCTGTGTTAGCCCGGTTTCTCCCCACGTAGCATGCCGTCGGTGGCTCGCAACTCACCCATGCCAAAACCAGGAAACCTGTGAGGTGTCAGCACTACATCCTGTGAAAGAAGAACCATACCGCCAACAACGCTGGTAGACTGCACCGGTTGGCACTGCCAGACATCGAGACATCCACCCCTGAACGAAAAACATGGGGCCAAGCATACCATCATCCAGTTGCAGCTTTCCCGTCAAAAAAACCTTGGTGTACAGTCGCTGTGCTATCATCAACAAACTGAGAACCGTGCCCACGCCGGCGATGTAGTACGCGTGCGGCACGGCCTGCCGCTGCGGGTTGTCGAAGTCGACGACATAGCCCTCTGGCACAGGGAGGACTGTGAGGACGCCCTCCGTAAGAGGCATCTTTAGGGGGCGGCGCAAGGGCGACGTTCCGCACTGTTGGTGAGTATTCCTGGATTGGGAAGCAAGCCGCTGTTGGGCCTTGGAGCCTCTAACCCGAGGACAAGATATTCACAAACGACGGTATGTCTCCACGGATCACGTCCCAGGGGAATGGAACTGGACACTGCCCCCGTTATATTCCTGGTCATCTTGGCCTCGTTCGCATTGCAGACTTGGAGCGCGCCGAGCGTCGAGAGGAACAGAGTCCGCTTCTTGCCTGCAAACCCTTTCGCCCATGTCGAGCCCGCCACTGTGCGGTGACCCCGGTTCTTGTGTGCTTTCATGCAGGAGTCGGGGTTCCGAGGTGTGGCTGAGACTAGTGGTGATTGGAGCGTAACTCGACAAGTTCCGGTCGGTGATGAGTTGTGACGGACAGGGGTCAAGGTGCAGCAAAGCTCGACAAAACCTAAACTCTAGCCCCTTAGATTTGCCCACAAATCTGCAGGTACGTCCGTACGCCCGCGTGTCCGATCACTTCTCACTGAAGAAGGCTGCAACAGCTCATCTCGGTTGCTCGCCTTTGTCGGGAAACCAGACCTTCGGGCGGCGGGATTTCTTGGGATGGGCGACGGACGTGTGGCAGCCGAGTCTGCTCCCGCCCTCAGTTCCGGTAAAAGCCCAAAGCTTTTCAGGTATCTATGATGCCCGCTCCTTCCTAAGCCTTCCCTCCATCATCGGCAGGCTCTCCGTTGTCGAATCGCGCACGCCATCCAACGGCCACTGGCTACTGGAGGAGAGAACTCTTGTTCCCATCCCCATCTCTCGGCCGTCTCCACGACTTCAAATGCCGCAAGCAGTCCCTCCCCTCGCTTGCCACATAGTTGTTACGTCTCTGGACACCCGAACCGAGGGTCAAAGGGCCCGTCGCCGGCCCATGGGTTTCGCTTCCGCGCTAGGACTATAACGACGGAAAATACCCCAAAAGAGTAGGTGGATGCCGGCTGCGTCCGCGGATCTGCAGGCAGACTTATCTGGGACGATAGTCGCCCAGCCCGTCCGGGGTCATCAGTCCACTGTAGATCATGATGATTTGCGCTGACGTGAAGCCTGTTGCGACGTGAAGCTGGCCTTTTTGTTTTTGTTTTGCGAAAGGCGAGAGAAGCCACGGGCTAGTCAGAGGCATTGACCGCACGTCCACGGTCCTCACAAAGCATTCATCTCAGTCCATAACATCTAGCCAACTGCCGCGTGAAGCCTGCCGCAATGCTGAGAGGTTGAGGGTTTCATGCTCGTTGCTGAATTGAAGACGAAGAACGAGGCACCCCGTCCTCTGTCGGGGTTACGGACCTCGCTTGCCTCGTAAAAGGCCCCATTTGCCGATCTAACCCGCCCGATCCTTCAGTCCATCAGGCCGGAGATTCCTCTGCAAAAGTCGAGGCCAACATCCCTGGTCCAGCGTGTCGTGCTTTACTTCTCGCCACAGTAATAGTGGGCTTTGCCGACCCTCGCCTGGCGAACAGAGTACGATGCCCCGATGCGTCAAGGGTTGGGTAATTTGACGAGCGATGACAATCTTCCAAAGGTCAAGGGTCAACCTGCATCACGGGTTGGCACCCTTGCAAGGCGCCATTGACCAATAGCGCCTGGCACCTGTTGTTCCTGGCCCTCTTTCCGGGAGGGTCGGGTTGGACGCCCTCGCATGCGCCTACTGCGTCGCCATTAGAGTCATGGCCTGCAGGTGGCCGGGGGCCCAACGACTCAGAGAGACTCGCATCCTCTTCAAGCCCACAAGCTGGCCGCCCAAGGTTGGCGTCTCCTCCGATATTAATGGAGTCTGGTTCCAGGCACCTGGAATGAGCTGGCTGAGGACAGCCACATGGCATGTATATATATGAGCGCGAAGGTCCCTCTATGTTGGCAAGTCTCAAGTCGCCGGCGGTTGTCAGCGTCGCACTCCTGTCCCATCGATTGGTCTTTTGGTTTGCGCCCTTGAGGCTCAGTGACCTGTCACCCTCCAAGCACGCGCCTCTTTGACACGATCCGCGAAGATGAAGTCCAGCGTCCAACTGGTGCTTAGCGCCGCTGCGGGCGTCACGGCTGCCACCGGCTGTGTGTTTCGTTGTGTTCGTCCACCACCTTTCCCTTTGGCCGTGCTCGCTATTGTCTTAGCTACAACACGATTGTCTCCGAATGAGTATTGACTGGATGACGCGCAGTGTTTGGACCTGAAGAATGCCACCGGCCTCGAGGGCAAGGTCTACTTCCCCGACTCGGAAGCCTACGAAGACCGCCTGGAGACGTATTGGTCTGTCAGTGCCGCTTTGTCGCCGTGGTGCATGGTACAGCCTTCCACGGCCGAAGATGTTTCCGTGACGATCAAGACTCTGGTGGCTGGCGACTGCCCATTCGGCATCCGTGGTGGCGGACACGGCGCCCACGATCTCTCCAACGGCGTCGAGCGAGGCATCACCATCGACTTCGGTACGTTTACCCATAGGTCAGGTGTGTGTGCCTGGCTTGGGCCAATACTGACGGCAAAAATGTAGGAAACATGAACGGCACCACGTGGAACCCGGACACCAGACTCGCATCGATCCAGCCCGGTGGCCACTGGCAGACCGTGTACGACGAACTGGCTCCCCACGGCGTCCTTGTCACGGGAGGTCGTGCCGGCACCGTCGGCACCGGTGGATTTATCAGCGGAGGAGGCAACTCGTTCCACTCTGCGTCGCATGGCATGGCTTGCGACACTGTCGCCAACTTCGAAGTCGTCCTTGCCGACGGCTCCATCGTCAATGCCAACGAGTCCAGCAACCCGGATCTCTGGCAGGCGCTGAAGGGCGGCAGCGGAAACCTGGGCCTGATCACGCGCTTCGACATGTACCCGATCGAGTACCCTGACCCCGCAAACCCAGTGGTCTGGGGCGGCAATTTGTTCTATGATCTTGAGTCGGGACTTGCCGTAATCGACGCCTTGGTAGACTTCACCGATAACGTCTACAAGGACGAGAACAGCTCGTCGATCGTGTACTGGGCGTACCTGCCGGCGATCCTGGGTGGTACGATCCTCAACGCGGCCATCGAGAACACTCTTGCGACGGTCAAGCCCCCCGCATTCGACGGCTACTACGCCGTGGACGGCATCTATGATGATACCACCAAGGTCGACACCCTGTCGACTGTCGCCAACGAGCTCGGATCTGGTCAACCATCGGGGTTCCGGTATGTCATGGCTCTATTCATCCCCGGGGGGAGAAATCAGTCAAGCTGACCAAACGAAATAGCAACGCCTGGTTCGCCGCTTCTTTCAAGAACGACGCCCGGCCGATGAACTACGCCGTCGAGAAGTTCAACGAACTCAACGCCGCGCTCGAGAAGGTCGCGCCGTCGAACGAGACGGGTCTCAACACGCTCTGCATGTTCCAGCCCATCACCAAGTCTATCGTCGACAAGGGCGTGGAGAACGGCGGCAACGTGCTGGGTCTCGACAGCTACATCGAGGACGGCAACGGCATCATGTTCCTGGTGACGCTTGCCCTTAACGGAGCCGAGGCTGAGAAGCGTGCGGTGCCCCTAGTCGCCGCGTATCTCGAGGACCTCGACGAATACTCGGAATCGCTAGGCCTGAAGTGGGACTGGAAGTACCTGAACTATGCCCACAGGACCCAGGAAGTGATTGCGTCGTTCGGCGAGGAGGCCGTGAAGAAGCTGCAGGCTGCGTCGGCCAAGTACGACCCCAACGGCGTTTTCCAGAATCTGCGTGGTTCTGGTTTCAAGATTCCGGAGTAAGGCGACGAGGAAGAGACTGGAGAAGCGCGCAAACGGGATTTGTTGGCAGATTTCGAGTGTTATACAAGAAGGGTGAAGTAGATGTTGATGGACCGAGAGGTCTCGTCTCCTGGACATAACGGGGCCGGAGCGCTACTGGCGCCTAAAAATAATAGACTTGTACTTGATAATCCGTACAAATTATGTGATACGAGGGGTATCATGTCATCCCCATTCCCGCCCATCCGTCTTTTGGTGACGACTATGACTGCCCCGCGACTCAACTTTCTGAGATGCTCTAATGTACCGACACGCTACGAGGCAATATCTCATTTTACCTTGGAGGAAAGTCACCATCAGACGGCGCAGGCTGGAAACCGAACATGGAAGCAGTCCGTGCGACAATACGATTCGCGATAGCTACAGGCCGACTTGACAGCACATGACCCATGAAGATGGACCCCAACACTTTACCCCTTCCTTACTCTCTCAACTCACATCAAACACCTCGTGCAATGAACAGCAGGCGCCGCTTCAGCCGCCGAAGATAGGACACTGAACACTTGGAGAATAGCCTTCAAGCCAGCTTGCTAATAATACATAAAACCCACGAGACCCCGCAGAGAGATAGAAAATGAGGAGGCAAAAGCAGAAACTGGACGTTGTATAGGCTTTTAGGAGATCAAGACAAAGCGTGGGAAACGGACGTATAACATAGTAATAGTGCCCTATTGGCGGGAAGCCACTGGGCGTAATAAATTGTGTGTGTGTGTATGTTAAGGAGCCTGCGCCAGCGGAAACTGTGGATGCGGTCCTAAGGACGTTGATGCGGTGTGCCAATGTCGAGGGAGAGGCGTACTCGTAGGAACGGGAGACTCGGAGAGAGGTAGCGTTCCGAGCTGTTCGGATTGGAGAAACGGTGACGTGGCACCCAGAGCGAGGCCATGGAGGAATACGGATCCTCTGGAGGCGGGTATGTCGGGGCGGTGGTATTCCTGGGTAGTAACTGTCAATATCCTATTGTTCATCGAGCGAAAAGGCCAGTGTGGGCGCCTCAAAAGCCTAGATCCACACAGGCTAGGTATGGGAGACGAACCCAACGCCAAAATTGCAGTGTGGATCGTTCATCAAGGCGGGAGAGCCTTGCATGCCACTCATGTCATACGATCCGCATTCTTCTGTGTCGCTATATGCGAACGAACCCTCGAAAGTTGACAATGCTGGGCTGTGGGCGCCTGCATATGCCGTAGATGGGATGTTGATGTACTGCCGGCTCTGGAACGGGGACGAGAGAGCCAATGGGCTCACGGAACTGTGGGCAGGGGGTCGAGACGTGTTGAGCATCGGCATCTCTCCAGTGCTGTAGCTGAAGGCAGGGTTTCCGGACGGCATGTAGGATTCCGTGGTAGCGGGTATCGGCACCTCCTCATGGATGGAGAAGTTAGGAGGGTTGAACTGCGGGAGCGAAGGAGTCGCCTCCGGTTGGATCCAGCTCATTCGCGATCGGAACTCGCTGACGGTGTCGATGGGGAACTCCATGAGCGTCAAAGGGATCTGGAGTTCACCCTTGGCATTGCTTGAAACGCTGATTGACATGAGCCGTCGAGCAATTTCCTCAACGGACCCGATGGCCAGACTACCGAAGTAGGCAGCGCCAATCTCAGGGAAGAGGCGTTCCATCAGAAGGGCCATAGTGTACAAGTGGGCAATGACAACCAGGGAGTTAGGGGAACCGTGATAGTTCTGGAGGTAGCCTACGGGCATCCAGAAAAGCCATGTCCTCAGCGGCTGCAACCGCTCAAACTGCTGGGCAATCGAGAGCGTGGGACTGGTCTTGCGAGAGCCCCGGAGAAACCTAATGAGATGTTGGATCTGCGTTGGCTCCTCTTTGTGGTGCTTGAGGTGCGATTCCACCTTTTGGATCTGTTCTAGCGTCCGCTGATAAGCCTCGAGGTCCTCAGGTCGAGGCTGGCTGGGTCGATGGTCCTGTCCTGGCGAGGGCGGTGTGGTAGGAAAGGTGCTGCTCTCAGCAATGAAGTCCCCAAATTGCGACTCGTGCTTCCAGGGATCCATGGCATCGATAACCTGCTTCTTAGTTAGGCTGAAGGATACGTGAAATTGGGCTGCTTAGGCATCTTGATGTACATACCGATGAGGTTCCCTGCATCAGTTGAGTCCAGCTGCGCCTGTACATGTCGTTAGCCGCGGTGCCAAAGGGCGCCTGCAGTCTGTCTTACCAATCGGTGGCTTGCCAGGAGAGAACAAGGGATGCTGCCAAAATAGCATCCGACGTTTCTCTGGAAAAGGTGCTGATGGCATCCTGCAAAGCCTTCAGGGCAATGCCCCTGTGCTCATAGGCCATGCTATCGACTAGGGGACAGTCGGTGAGGAAAGCGATGTGCATGGCAGAAAAGGCAAGAAGGGCATGCATAACATAGGGAGTTGTCGCACCGATTCGGAGCAGGCTAGCAAGCTGATTGTCAATATCACATGCTGCTTACATTTGAGGATGCCTCAACTTACGTGGGGATATGTTGGGTCCAGAGAGTAAATTTATTGGCGTCAATGGTGGCCAGTTGATAATACAAAGCGGCGACGTGATAGATCAATCGCAAGTCCTCAAGGGAGTATAGGTGAAGCAAGGGAGCTGGATAGAGGCCAAAGCTAGGGAAGGGGAAAACGCCCGTTGTTCGCCAGTCGTTGATTGCAGCTTCGATCTGGGGCGTCCACATCAAATCTGGTTTGTCACGGGTCATGGATCGATCAGCATCGAAGACTTGGACGTCATTGTACGGGCAGCGAATCTTGTGCTTAGTACAATTACGGCTGAACGGATTGTGTCAGTGAAGATGTCCCAAGAGGTGGATTGGCCGAATGGGTCTATGACCGGCGCAACTTACCATTGGGGGAAGCTTTCGTCGCATCGGATGCGTCGCCGTTTGCTGTGAGAGAACCAAATGTTAGACGGATATGGACAAAACCAGATGTATGTAAGTCCGACGGATTGTCGAAGACATACCACGTATCGCAACCCTTGCGGGACTTGGTGTGGCTACCGAGCAGGTTAGTACTTGGAAGTTTGAAGATTGGAGGATGAGCACGAACCTCCGGCGAGGAGGACCACAATCTGGGCCAGCCATTGTTTAAGTTCGAGAAATAAAAGTGTAGCGAGAGGCCTGTTCAGAGTTGTGAGAACTACGCACTCGCTTGGGATCGAAGGGTACAGGACATACGTGAATGTATTCCACAAGGGCGAACTTGTGAAAGCGTTGAGTGGACGGGAGGAGGGTTGGCGATCAGATCAGACTGCTCCTTTTGGCTGACTTATATGAAGGTAGTCAAATGTGTCTGAGATACGTATGCAAGACTCGGAACACACTGAGGGGCGAGAGGTACCAAGATGGATCCTTTAGCAACGTTGCAAGCAACTTGCGGCCACTGGTGAGGTGAGATGCGATGCGGACAATTCCAAATATCTAGAGGCGAGAAAAGGCCAGACGGTCGTCGAGCAGTCTCGTGTGTCTTCCCAGGGTCTCCTCGATCTCTGTTGAGCAAGAAATGTTACCCTAACGCCTTTTTTTCTTATTCTTCACCTTCCCTAGTAGATGATGCGGTAGCGATCGTGTGCGGTGCCCTTATTTTTTCTTTTTTCTTTTGTGTGTGTGTTACCTGGTCTTCAGAGCAGCTTTGGAGGAATGTTGGAAGCCAGCGTAAATGTTCAGAGAAGAAGAAATAAGCTACAGCAAGAGTCGATGCATGTGCCGTGAAGCCGAGTTCGAGCGGTTGAGGTTGTCAAGAGACTCAAGACAGGATTAGAAGCTTGGCGGCAGGCGAGATGTGGTTCTAGGGTACTTCTTGATCTTCGTCGAGCGTCTCCAAAACGGTGCGGATCCTAAACAGGCAACGAAAGACGGCAGACGAGGAAACCAAAAAACACAGCACCAGTAAAGCGAGTGACAGGAGTCAACAAAGACTTCCTAAGAGAGTTGGGAGAGAGGTTAGGAGAAAGCGAATGTGGAAGAAGGCGATGAGGCTTTGCGAGTCTGTTGGTGATGATGAAGGTTAGGTTGACCGAAGGAGTGGACGGGAGGTGCTGGGGGAAGGAGCATGTGTTAAAAATACAGGCACACGGAAGGCGCAGGGACCTGAGATGGAACATGGAAGGCACCAGGTCCGCGTTGGGCTAGGCGCTAAGACGGGTACCACAGGTACGAGGGCGCTAGAGCGAGCAAAAAGGTGCCCTAGGGGGTTCGCTGGCGGACGTTTGGGGCGCTGGGGGAAGCTCTTCTTCAGGGTCTGTCATACATCCCCCTCTAGCTCCGTCGTCCGTATAGGTGGGTGTACAATGGATTGGCCAGTAGCCCAGCAGTTCAGTGGGGGGAGGGGGGCTGCTCTCGCGTAGCGCTCTCTATGGCGGCCGATCAGCAGCAGAATGTCACGTCAAGGGAGTGACGTCGACGGTCCAAGAGTGGACAAAAGCAACACGTAAAAAAGTAAAAATAACTTGGGTATCCATGTCGAGTTGATCGAGGGGCTGGCCGCTTGCTCGCCTCAGGTTTAGTGTGGGTCTAACGTGTTTCTACGGAGGCGCATATCAAAAGTCCTCGCTTGCCAAGGCACTAAATTTAGTAAGCTTTAGCGTCCACCCAGAAGCTGCCCCGCACCAAATTTGTATGCGTCAATTCCCCAATGTCTGACAATACCACTCTTCCTCTTCAATTCAATGAAAATGCCTCCAAATATTGCAGCTCGAGCGTGCGTTATTACGCTGAAAGCTGCTGGCAAAGAGACTATTGCAGTTGCCTATTTTACAGGGCTTCCAGTACGAACGATCAATGATATCTATGCACGAGCAATTAAGCGCGGCTTCGACCTAGCAAAGAGAGCTCTTGAGATTACAGATGCCCACGTTGCTGATGCACCTCGATCCGGCCGACCTAAGAAGCAGACCATAGAGATCCAAGAGGCCATTGCAAGCAAGGTACGCCGTGACCGCTACGGCAGGGAAAAGACCTGTGCTGATATTGCTGGGGAGCTTAGTCTGGAAGGCTTCAACATCTCTTCTATGACCATCTGGCGGACCCTCCGGGGCGCTGGCTTCAAGAAGACCAAGCCGACCAGGAAGCCTGGTCTGACGAAGAAGATGCGGCAGGATCGGCTTGAGTGGTGTTTACAGCGGAAGGACTGGACTCTTGAGGACTGGAAGAACGTCATCTGGTCTGACGAGACCTCTGTTATCCTGCTTCATCAGCGTAGAGGATACCGTGTTTGGAGGACTAAAGATGAGGCCTTTGTCCGCAGCTGCATTCGTGAGAGGTGGAAGGGGGCTTCTGAGTTCATGTTCTGGGGCTGTTTCTCATATGATCGCAAGGGCCCTATGCACTGCTGGGCACTAGAGACCAAGGTTGAGAAGGCAGCCGCCGAGAGAGAGATCGCGAAATTGAATACGGAGCTGGAGCCGATAATGAAGGAACAGTGGGAGCTTCAAAATGGCATGCGGCGCCTTGACCTACGTAACCTCCCCGGCAAGAAGCCCCAGTGGCGATGGAGTCAGAAGAACGGCAAGCTTACCCGACGGGCTGGGCACGGAATAGACTGGTATTTATATCAGACCAAGATCTTAGTGCTTAAGCTGCTGCCCTTTGCCGCTGAGTGCCTCATTGAGCGGCCAGGGACTATTGTACAAGAAGACAAGGCGCCAGCACATAACCACCACGCACAGCAGCAAGTATACAATGCAGCCGGTATTGCGAGGTTGCTTTGGTGCGGCAACTCGCCGGACCTCAATGCAATAGAGCCATGCTGGCCCTGGATGAAGAGATAGACCAGTGCTCCTAATAGTGCGCACTATTAACTGGACTATTAGTTCACACTGCAGTGCAGACTATTAGTGCATGGACTACTAGTTCAGTTTACGTCTCTCGCTCTACACTGATGGTTCAGTGCAGGACTCTCACACTACACTGGTAGTTCAGTGTGACTCGATCAGACGGACCAGTAGTTCAGTGCTGGAGTCGCAGACTACCAGTCTCACTATTAGTGCGAGATGATTGTGCGCACGGGTCAGCGGTCATTGAGGCGAGCCTAATTGGGAAATTGAAGTGGGGGTCTAGATTTTGGCGCGTTTTCACGTCCATATAGGCTCACCAACTGTGCTGTTGCTCCACTGAAAACGCTGGATGACAGGCGGTCCAAGCGGTCCAGGCAGCCTAGCCCATTTGAACCGCCAATTCGGAGCACTGAGAGTATATACGGGGAACGGCCTCAAGTAGTCTTTGAATTTTACACTAATAGTGCAGACCATGATTTGCACTATGGTTTAGTGTGAAAGTGACAGACGAACTAACAGTGCAGTGTGGGCCTTGCAGGCACACTGGTAGTTTAGTGTGGTCGTTTCAACGCACTGGTGGTTTAGTGTCGCCCAGTCACACGCACTAAAGGAGCAGTTTGGGGTGTCCACACGCACTATTTACACTATTAGGAGCACTGAGATAGACTACAAGGAAAGGGGCCCCTAAGACCCATAAGGAAGCTATCGCAGCTTGGGAAGCTGCTTGGAAGGAACTTAAGCAGGAAGCTATTCAGGCTTGGATTGAGCGAATTCCTCGTCATGTGCAGGAAATAATTACTCTTGAGGGTGGAAACAAGTAACTATAAGAAAGGCCGGAGAAGGCCCTCATACTAATTTAGTAGCACTATTCCCAAATTAGCTAGCTCTGTGTTTTAGCGCAAGCGAGGACTTTTGATATGCGCCTCCGTATTCTTGACAATATCCTTGTTTTATTCTTTCTAGGCGCAACTAGAATATTTTGCTCTGGCCAATGACGTCTGAGATCTCAAGGATCTGGGGGCTGTCGAATAAGCTTCCAAAGTTGTCTTAATTTTTGGGGCGATGAGCGATGGCGTCGCCATGTTGTCGGGATACAACGTTTCATCACTTCACGCCTTCTCTAGGAGCCGCAGTTCCGATTTAGTGACTGCGTGCCTACAACTATCGGCTGAGCTGATGCCGAATTTTGACTCTAGTCATTTCTCGTTCTTGAACAACTCGTTGAAAGGGGCTGCTGGAACCGGGTTACTCCCCACTTGCCTATTTCTGGAAAGGTATCTGTTGGATTCCCAGCTGCGCTATTTTGTGCAAAAGTGTAGGATTACCCCACCGATGCTTATAGCTGTAATTGTGCAGGTATATAATCTAACAGTATCTTAAAAGCACAATGCGCTTTGAAGGGGCGTGGACATACGGTGGGATGCATTTAGTATGAATCCAAACCAGCGTACTCCTAAAATGGGGGTCGTCTTAATGCGGAAGCTCTCTTATGCCGCCCTACAGCCTATAATTAGATAATAAAAAAATTTCTTCTCGTGTATGTTTGCACAGCAATGTCCACTGCTCTTCAGCGTACAGAAATTCGAGTCTAACCTCTGTTCTACAGTACAGAATACTTCGCTCGGTACAACCTAGGCCACGATGTCCCGTTTGAACCTCACGCCAATGGCATCGTGAGCTACACCACCATCAGCTCGTCGTCTCGGGGCGCTATCCAGCCAACCTGAGAGCTTTTGTACGCTCACTACGTCCAGGCCAAGGGCCTCGACGCGCCATAGACAACTGCATACCTCAACAACACACTTGAGTACTTAGGCGGTTTTGAAGGAGGAGCCAGGTCATGGGGAGAGGGCTCTGGCCACTATGATGGATTTGGCTGGGGCTCATTGCTGTACCATTTGGATGAGTCTGGCCTTGTTGCCTCACCGTCAGTCACTTCAGCCATGGAGACTTCGACGGCAGTCAGTTCAACGATCGTTTCTTCCGACATCACCAGCGCGGCCACAAGTACTGCATTGCTCGACGCAACCACTTTTGTCATTTTCTACGGTCACCTATCTATTCGAATCTCACTCATCTTGACAACCCGCGCGCCTCCTCAAATCAGCATCAGTATTTCAGATCCAACGCCACGTCGCGTGAGCTGCAGTTCTTGAGCCTCGCTGGTCTAGGCTCACCTTCCATGCCGCCTGTAAAAACCTGCACTGGCCTAGTCCGCCTCGGATCCCTGAGCGCCACACTGCTTTGTACAGTAATAATTCATCTAAAGCAAAGTCGTCATGAGAATCACGTTAGAATTTCATGGAAATAGACATCTTACCTCGTCACCACCAATGTGCTTATTAGCAGAGTTACAAGCCAACCCGTCCTATATTTTGTTTAGCCAATAATTTGATACGAGAAGGGAACCAATAACTCACAAAAGTGCAATCCGGGCACTGGTCCCATTGTTTGTTGCCGGTGTTGCGATTTCTGTAAGGAATTGATAGGGGGGCATGATGTTTTTGATACGGGGGCATGACCTTACGGGGCATGACTTTTTACAACACCCTATTGGCTAATTTTTCCTCGACCCATAAATACTTTCTCGCGAAGGCGGTGTGACTAGCTGTCTTAACAGCACCTTTTTCTTACTTGAAGTCTTCCTGACCCTCTGGATCTTGACGTGTCGGGGCATATTAAGAGGTCTTACTTGCGACTGTACGATGAACGCTCTATTGCTCGCTCGTAGGAAAACATCCGACACTCTATTCTCTAACCACTATAGAAGGAAGAATATCCTCGTCACTGTTAACTAGCTCCCATTGACTCCTCGTCCTCCGGATGCTGGGCTGCGTCCTCCGACCGCTGGCACGCACCCCTGTTGTTCTTCCAGATCCGAGAGTGGCTAATTGACTACGTGTCTGGCGCTGGGTTGATTTGCTAACCTGACTACTGGCCTGCGTTACTCAGTTGGCTTGCTTCCAGCGCAAGCTTGGCGAGTGTGGATTTATTTCGAATTCCAGCTGGCCGACCTCGCGTACGCCCTGTTGGCTGGCTTGCTGGCCAGTTGGCAAGCCGACTGGCGGCTTGGCTGCTCCTGCCGATTGCCAGCCTCGCAGGCACAGGCTGCGCGGTATTCTTTGGCCTGCCACGCAAGCTCGTGGAGACCCTGCGAGCCATGGGGCTGTGGGAAGGTCGAGAAAGTCTGTGGATAAGAAGCAAAGAGATTGCCTAGGGTGTCTTCGTCGCCAACTCCGTAGTATTGACCGATGTCCGTCGCGGTACTGCTCGCAGAGTGTGGTCGGTTTGCGAGTAGCGGAGGGCTAAATCTGACTTGTCGGCTTGTTCGCTGTCGTTTTTCGCGATGTAATTGATCGCTGGGGCTAGAGCTTCGCGATCTGCGAAGCCCTATACGTCGTTCAAGCGGTAATAGCCCAGGTGAGGACATCGTGGAGGCGGTTGAAAGTTGGCTGATCAAAGCAGGAGAACGCGTCTACGCACCTGAAGCGATCATGGCCAGTTTGGTAGCCAAAGTAGAAATGTGGAGAGCTTGAGGTACTTACAGTGTCGCGGCAGAATCCAAGTTACACTAACAAATAAAATTTGGACGAATCATAGCTCATAAAAGTCATGCCCCCGTAAGGTCATGCCCCCGTATCAAAAACATCATGCCCCCTATCAATTCCCTTCTGTAATACTCGCACGCACACTTTGTGGCATCTGGGAGAATCTCATAGCTCGTTTGCCAGTTATAGCTGACGCTCCATGCAGTACCCCCAACGGGAGATGACTTTCTATCCGAAACACAGACTGCTGCTTTGTGGAGGTCTGCGTAGGCGCTGGGACATGGAGATGAGTTGTTAGCATCTCTTAATTCTCGAGCTTGGGTGATGAGAAAGAATGGGACGAGATGGGTGCGGCTTACAGCCCAGCGGCCAAGGAGAGAAGAGTAACGATGGAGAGCTGCATCTTGGATTGTTGTGAGGGCGTGAAAGTACAAGTGGATGAAATTGTGGTTGTGGATGTCAGAGTGGGCGATGCTCCGGCAGGGAGAGGGAGATATACCAATGGGAATTGATAGGGGGGCAACCAAGACATATTGTTTCGATCTCTTGCTGTTTACAGTGCGGACTTATCTCGCATTGCCCTATCTTCATCTCAATACGGGCATCTTCATTTCTCTGTTCTAGCAATACGAGGTCTTTCGAGTCATGTCCGTGGGTACATGATACATTTGCTAATCCTAAGTGGTGGTTAGTGGTAGTTAGTGCGCAAGTCTCCTGTACTAAGTTGGGTTCATGATCAATGTTGACTCGGATGTCGTCGAAAGAATGTTCGCTAATCTTCCCATGACGTACATACGAACCCACACCTTCTGCATTCAGTAACAACCAAGGCGCTAGACTTCCCAAGATTGACCAGATCTTCACGTTGTCGGGTTCTCCGTACCTGCCCAATTTGCACACAGACGAATTTCCGAGATACGGCGAGAAGGTCGGCCCGCAAAAAAGGCAAGTGAAACTCTAAATAATTGCTAGTGAGCAACTTGCTTGATACACCTCGCTTTCCTGACGCGTCGCTCGCCAGGTTGAGCTTGGGACCGGGCAAATGACCACAAACATCGGAGTACAGACTCGACGTCCTTTCGTCGTTCTCGCTTGGTGCTGGGAGGTCAGGACCTCGGAACGAGAGTCTCTTCCATCCCCCCAAGCGGGAGATACCATGCACCACCACCCTTTCGCCAACCCCACCCTTTCGCCAACCCCACCCTTTCGCCAACCCCACCCTTTCGTGTGACGGTCAAGGTTCCCAACGTAGTAAACCGTAACCCGAAAGGTTTATGTTGGCAGTTGAAACGGGGCGTAACGTACTGAGCGTGGGGTGGCGAATCACGTCTGATAATGTCAAGAAGTATTCTTGAGTAATCAAGTTGTATTGAAAGCTGGAGAGCTATCTAGACAGGAGATGTGTGAATGGGCCAAATTATATACTTGTTTCCTTTCTTGATGGATCGTGAAGCTCCCCAGATCGTCGTGATCCAAGGATCGTTGCGATCCATGGATCGTGGCGATCCTGGAAAAGCGCGCTCCAATCCTTATTGGCCCTCGGCTCGGGATTACTCCGTCCCGTGTCGCCACGCCGATCCAGTCGTACCATCAGTCGGCGTGCGTCGTAACATTTCGCCAGGCAAAAAAAAAAAAACCACCACCAAAACTCAACTATTTCACTTACACACAACTTGACCAAAGTAAAAGTTATTTGCAAATGGTTGCCTGGTATAAATTTACAATTGATGTATCTATTGACTTTTAGGCCTTTTGACCAGCCTCCCCGATCGTGTGGTGCGCTGAGGTAGTATGGTTTCTTCTCTGACTTCAATAACCGAAGCAGCCTCCGATTCTGGCCCTGACTCCCCCGAAGAGCTATGGTTCACCACAACATGCTTCTTTTCGCTTCCTTTTTCTGGATTGGCTTCTCCAGAGGCTAGAGCCTCGCTCAGAGTCATGAAACGTTTATTGGGATTCGGAATAGCCTTCCTCTTCTTCCCTCTCTTCAGACGTGCCAGTTCCTCCTCCATGCCAGCAATTCTCATGGCATGCGCCATTAACGTCTGTTGTTGAGTCTCAAAGCCTTTGGCTATCACGTTATACCGTCTCCGTGTATTTGGTGTTTTGTTTAGCCCAAGATCGCGGCTGGTTTTTGGTGTATCATCCGAGCCAAAATACGGCGCCCGCTCCGGAGTCCTTTTTGGGCTGTCATTCCGCCTATCCTCTTGGATTTCTGGGTGCCGTAGAGCTTTGGCTCGCGAAATTGGCCAATTGCCAGTAATTCTCCAGCCGGAGAGTATATTCTTCTTCGTCATTCCCACTTCACGAGCCTTGGCGTAGGCTCTGATGAAATTGACCTTATCCATCGGAGCAGAATCAGTCAGGGAAGCGAACTTTTCCAACTCTCGTCGATATGCAGCTTTGGAGGCGTTTAATACTCCATTGTCCAATGGCTGGAGGCCGTGAGAGCAGTGTGCTGGAAGGTAGCAACAGTAAACGTTGCTCAAAAGGCATGTAGCTATCCATTCGTCCTTCACTCTGTTAGCAGCGACCTTTGGCTAGGTAAACAAAGACAGTACCGTTGCATGGCTCCCGTGGCCGTCTAGAATGATTAATCTGGCATCAGACTCATCGGCAGGCTTGGTCTGGGGCAAATAGACTCTTTCAAGCCATTCAACACCAATGTGGTCATCAGTCCACCCTTTGGGTGAAGTTATGTAATGCCAGTTCGCTATCTTCTTGAATTCATGAAGGAACCACTGTTTTTGGAGTTCCTTTCCCTTGAATATTATGCCAGGAGTCAAGGAACGGCCGTCCGCAGTGATAGCTTCAATAAACGAAGTCCAATTTCGAGTTTGTGGTCCCTTGAGAAGAGCCTTTCGCTTTGGGTCCGCTTCCGACCACCAGGCTATCCAACCCTAACGAAGAGAGTCTAGTTAGTCAAATTTCAAAAATAAAGAGAAAAGAGAAATGGATGCTTGCCAAAACCGATCATGATGCCTCCTTCGTCAACGTTAACAATGTTCTCAGGCCGAATCCAGCCGTACTGGCCCTCCCTGATATCGAAGTACCAATGAACCGCCTTAGGCGTGAAGGATTCAAACCTATTAGCTTCCTGACGTCTACCGATCTTAGTTTTAAGGTCTCGGTGGCGCTCGATGAATCTGGCTACCCAGTTGCGTCCTAATTCTGGTTGTTCGCTTTGCTGTCTTAACAAGCCCATGACGCAAGCGCGAATCTGATTGTGGGACGGAGCATATCCCAGAGACTCCTGACGAAGAATCCAGAAAGCCAATTCATCTTCCTGATTCTTGGACAAACGCTGACCGGGCTGAATTTGTTCTTTCATGGCCGTCAGACCGTTAAATCTGTCGATCAGAGTCCTTCGAGGCACTCCCCATCTCTGAGCCGCTTGAGAGGGTGAACAGCCGTTATCGGTGATATCCAATATAGCCTCGGCCATGTCGTCTTCTGTATATTTCCAACGAGGCCGCGATGAAGGCATTTTTATTGCGTTGTAAGAGACTGGCATGAGAAATGTTGGGAAAGAGCGGTGAGGAATTTGGTGATTAAGATGGTGATATTTCCTTACAATGGCTTGCATACATCACGTGCCCCACGCAACTGCACGAGACCAGAAAAATGAATTCCAATCAATTTTATATCTATGAGAAGTGACCGCTTGCCAATAACTTCTATTTTAGCCAAATTCTGTATAAATGAAATAGTTGAGTTTTGGTGGTGGTTTTTTTTTTTTGCCTGGCGAAAGGGTGGGGTTGGCGAAAGGGTGGTGGTGCATGGTAGGGGAGAGAACGGGGGAGACTGGGATCACGGCAGAGAGATGTATAAATCCTTGCAAGGGTACGGAAGTCCATATTGCAGACTGGGCCAAAAGTGTACCCTGGCCTCAACCAAGCTAGGGTCACACCCAAGATGTGTCCACGCACGACTTCAATAGAAGGATACCCCTAGATAATACATATCTCATCAATGTCATTTTGAACGATAAACAATGACGTTCGCGGTCTCTATTCTTCAATGTGTATACAATCTCTTTCTTGGACTTGAAGTTGTAGAAACCGGCAAGAAGAATCTTCTCTAGCCCCTTCTTCATCGCCAAAGAAATCTGGGTTAGTATCAACTCAGTTTATACAGCATACAGAGGTTTGTTGACATGTTGTCCCTTTGTTTATTTACTTCCTCAGCCGCCCTTACCTGGTTGCTGACATATACTTTGCCGATCTTAGGTTAGCTTACTGTCGCCACAGCATCAGGATCTTCTTGCCCCACTGCTTCATTTCCTCACAACCTTCGCATTTGTTGTGTCGATGCCTCAACCAATTACTTCTATGGCGACGATGATCCCGGACTCTACCGATTTGACTCCTGCTGGGCTGAAGACACAGGAGGAGAAGTTGATCAATGGCGGCTTCCCCCCAGCCCGACTTGCAGCCCTCCCAACGAAGGTACTGGGTGTGAATACCCGGACTTTCACATATGGCGGCCCTCAGCCTACATCAAATTCCGACCTAACTATCTGGGCCCTTGGGAATGCCTTGAAGACATGTTCAAATAAGGTCTTAGATCTAATAGACCTAAGCAAGGATGGTTGATTCTTCCTTCATTGTGACCCCATGTCGCTTTTCTTTTTTTTAACCTGCATTAGCCTGTTCGACAACTTGAGATCCGCATGAGGCCTAAGGTCTTTGGTCAAGAAAAGAGGCCATGTACAGTTACATTCAATGGCAGCCAAGGCCTGAATGTGAATGACGATGGATTCTGTCGTAGAGGGCGACTTCTGGCCGGCTTGGCCGTGGTCCTGTTGTATACTCTCCTCCCGATTGTATTGTGCCTGAAAAATGGCCATCTGGTAGTTCTCAGGTGGTGGACGAGAAGTTGGGACTGTCAAGGCTTGCTGTGACGGTTTGACTCGTCGACGGGGGTTGGGGGAATCCGCCGTGAGGTCAATTGGGTTGTTGGAACGAGCATTGTTGATGGGGGCATTAGAGAAAAATTGGTTACAATGAGGACAGTAAGGGGCTGTAGGAAACTGGGCTTGAATGTCGGTGTGTGGCGTGCCGCCCCCAGTTGTGATATCTGGGCAGCTTGGGCAGAACGGAGTGAGAGAGGGAGCCATTGGAAGGTTGTGATGAGATTGAAAGAGATTGAAAGGCAGACAAGACACAGTAATGCGCATTAATGCGCTTTTGAGCTACGTTGCTGGTTGCCCAGTTATCCTCTTCTTAGTGATCGCCTCTCTGACCGGGATCAAGTCGTTGCCACGATAGCAACTCATTGACCCCCGACTTCTTCATAGACCGTGTCTTTATCTGACTATCTATCTAAGCAGATATGACCCATGTCAGTATTTAGTTAAGTGTAATCTTAAAGTGACGATGGTGTGGACCTAGCAAGCATTGGGTGGGTAGTTGGGATCTGTCACGATGTGTATTTGGGTAGCTGGGCGTGTACATGGCGTGTGACTGCTATAGCTATATCCTTATAGCTGGTTTCAGTATAAGGATGTACAGGGACTCAGAGCGGGGATCATATGCAACTCAGAATATACACACACCCAATCAGATGCCTCACAGAATCAGAGCTCGTGACAGGATCAGGGTACACTTTTGGCCCAGTCTTCGATATGGACTTCCGTAAAGGGCGCCCGATGAGCTGACTCTCTCCAGACCAACTCACCCTCATCGTTCCCTCTCAGAGCTCAGTTCTCGGTCTTTCGATCATTCCAACATTTCCTAAGATGACTCGTCTAGGCTTTGTCGGTCTCCTTTTGACCACTGTCGTCAGCGCAGTTCCCCTTGTCACTGAACCCAACCTGAATGCCTCGAAATGGACGGCCGGTTATGGCCTTCAGCCGGACGATGTCATCCTCCCCATCGAAGGCATCAGTAAGTGATTCTTCGTCTCTGCTATTAAGCAAGATGTACGCTTGTTGACACTTTGGCACAGCGTATGTCATCAAGGAAAGCCACTATTTCGCGTTGCTCAAATCCCAAGGAATCTCTGTTGGTGCCCCCGAGCTTGACCCGTCCTGGGTCTCTTACAATGCTTCCGATATACCGGACCTGGAAGAGATCGACGTTGGCGAGCGTGGCCTCGAACCTCGCCAGGCATCTTGCGACAGCACTTTCTCCCTTGTAACGGACAAGACGGAGACCTTCGTGGACTGGGACGTCCAGATGTCGCCCGTTGTCTGCGCCGTCGGCGATATGGACATCAGCGTCAGCTCTGGCTACAGCGTCTCCAACACCGTCGGCGGCAGCGCCGGTGTCGACTTGACCTTCGTCAAGGACAGGCTGGGTTCCTCGCTCGAGATCAACTATAGCCGCACCTGGACGACTCAAAGTTTTGAAAGAGCCCTCCGTACATTCAGTGGAATCTTCGATACCCCACTTAGCCAATCCCCCCTAGCCCCGACAAGACATCTCTGGGCTATTATGTGGCCTTCCATGAGGACCAGGAAAGGCAACTTGAACTGTATTTGTTCCATTCAGTTCGTATACTCCCGTCACTCGTTGGGCATGAAACGGCAGCACTACGGCCGACATCAGTGAAACCCCCATTGCGATTCCCAAACCATTCCAACCACCGGCTGGGGCTGTGGCCCTGAGCTACCAAAAACTCCCTGGTCGCATCTGGACAGGGAGGGCACATTTGAAATAGATTGGCTTGGCGCCGGGAGTGGTTCTTTTTGGAACGGCTCTAATACCATATCAAACAAATCATCTCCGACTTCCGACGACCTTGAGCCTTGCTGAAAAGGGTCGGTCCATGTTGGCGGGGCACTTTCCATCTCAGGCGTTTGGATGCTCAAGGAATCTGTTCCACTTGTTCTGCTGCCGCTTGGGCCCCTGTGGTGTGGAGGTGTGAGTCCGTCAGGGAGTTGAAAGGCCGAAGAGCAAGATAAGAGGCCATCGACGGACTTTCTCGCTTCGTTTGCAATGTATTTCTGGATGAGAACGCAGTTGCAATCAGTATGCCGCAAGAGCTGGGTCTTCAAGTGGTAGATCTCGGCAGTCAGCTGGTCGAAATAGGTTGAGAGGTATCGGTTCTGATCGTCCATGGCCTGCTCACGGGAGGCGAGTGCTGACGCTTCATCCCGTTTGCGCAGACGACACTTAGTAGCAGCGATTCTATTGCGTTCGAGGATGCGCGGTCGCCGGGGGTCCCTAGGAAGATCCTCGTCGTCATTGCTCTCCCCCTTTTGCTTTCGACGTGCCTTTGCAGGCTCTTTAGGTTCGACTTTGGGTTTCCGGCCTCGTTTTCTTGGTTTTGGTACATCCGAAACGAGTGCGGAGGCACCGGTTTCTGACAGGCTTGAACTTTCTTGCGATTTCCGTCGGTTTCGGGGTCGTTGATAGGCCATGTGGCTTCGAGATGCGGGGGAAGATGTGCTGATGCGAAAAGGTGGAGGGGTCATCAGGCATCCCGCCGCTGGTGTCGAGGCGATCCCGTCGAAGTATTGGCCAAACGCAAAATCTCCCGCCACCTGAGGGTAAGAATGGACGAAGGCTGCCATCGAGGATCTTTCTGCACAGATGGTGATCGTTCTTCGGTTTCGATTTATGCTATCCCGGGGTTGGGTGGGCAGGTGATTACGAGGCCGACTAGTTAGGGGCTGGTTTGCCAACGAAGACAACACGCAGGGCTGTAACGCTTCCTGGTATTGCTTATTCGTTTGCTGGATGGCAGCTGAGTGAGCCAGTTGTGTGGATCAGGCAGGGCTGAGAGGCGGTTGGGGAGAGGAGCAGGTCTGAAAGTGGATTTGACGGGTTAAGGAGTGGGCCGGCTTGGTAATTGACAAGCAGAAATTCACGGGCAGGGTTTTGAAGGAGGGGAATTCAAAAGAATGAGGGGATCGCGAGAGGATTGAGGGCGACGGGACAATCAAATATGCATGGCATCTCGCAAGCCACCAACTACCAAGGTCCTTGGCTCTCAAGCTATTAGAGCTTTGCCACCCCCCCAGCAAGCGCAGGACGGGCACACCCACATGCTACATGCTGTAGGACGCCGGGAGGGGAAATAGACTTTTCCTATGAAAAGCTCGAGATTCAGCCATCTTTCTGCAAGGCGATGGGGTCAACAAGCCCTCAAGTCTGAGTTCACGGAATTCCGATTGGGCCACCTAGCGGAATTGTTCCGGTTGCATTGCACTTTCGAAACCCTGACGTCCCGGTGCAGCTCGCGCAGCCATGCCCATACATGGCAGCAAAGGGCAACAATAAGATAAACGAGGGTCTAAGCGCCGCAGTATCTCCTTGCGCTGCGGGGGGCCTTATCGTGCACAAGAGCTCCAGATACATCATACAATGCGGCCGTGGGGAGAGGGGAACCGGGTGCGGAGGCCGACAGGGTGGACCCTGGATCCTTGCCATGGGGACGCCATGAACTGGGAACTGGGAGCTGCGAGACGAGGTGTGTGCGAGACCCAAGGCTGGGGGACAGTGGCGTTTGCGGTCCCCTCCTCCTGGAAGATGCAATGACAAGTGTTGCCCTCTCCAGGACAAGCGTGAGGACAGGTTTTTCGCGAACCTTGGGCTAAGGAACCACAAGGATTTACAACTCCTGGGCTTGACGCCTTTCGGGTCCCAAACGGGTTCTTTCTGCGAGACTCCCATGATCCAACGTGGCGATCGCCGTTGTTGCTACAAGACGAGGCTGTGGCACGAACTCAAGCTCCAGGCACACGGTACGGAGCACGGTGAACTCCGTTGAGCTCGGTTCCTGCTGCGGGTGCAAGATGGATTTCAACGGTCAAGGATCGATCGCGATCCTGACCAACTACGGTTAGAGAGTTGAACATGAGCTGATGCCGAGCTCAATGGCACTAGTCATCATCTCCCAGAACAGCTTCTTACATCGACCGCTCGGACGTCGACTGCAACTCCCTGACCCCAGCACCACTCGGCCGAAGCTTTGCGCTCCTCTGTATGGGGTCGTCGGGAAGAAAGCTTAGCGGTTGGGACGGTTTAGGCCTGGAGTAAAAGCTGGAAGCAGGGGCGGGGAAGCTCTCGATGGGTGTCTTGTCTCCTCCAATTTCGAACCCGAAGGCGTTATCAGCAGTCGTCTCCCCGGTTTGCCTCTTTGGATTTGTTGACCCTCGATCCCCTCAACGGTTGGCTGTCTGGATGAGAACCGAACCATGGCGTTGGTGGAGTGCATGCAGGTTTGATCACTACCCTAGCATATGACAAGTCGCTTCTCGCGGGGCCACAGAGCTTGGTGGTCTGATGCGCTTTGATCTCTGATTACGCGATCTCACACAGGGGACCGGGGGGGTTAGATGCTACCCTAAACACTGCAGTGCGCGTATTGCGGCTGTCTCTCAGCCTCACTGTGCAAGATGTTTGTTTTGGACTTGCATAGGGCCAACATCTGCTATGTCTAGTCCTTTCAAATATTTTGCAAGGCCTCGATCTTCACTCTCTACACTATATCCGACTTGAACCACAAAAACCACCCACAGCATTAGCGGGCTCGTTCTCACACAACCGAAGACTGCGAGAAGCACGGTACACTCGAAACGCCGCAACCACAGCCCCGGAAGTTAGGACGATCCTTAATCAGGACCAACCTGCAGTTCTGTGGATCCCCCCCCCCCGGGACACAACGCCACCATACTTGGCATGCAGCCATCCATCTGGTGTACACACACCCACAGAACGCATCTCGATGATCCGTCACACGGTAAACAAATCGCTGAGAAAACAGTCTTGTTCGGCTGACGGCGAAGAACACCATCGGGTACCCCAACATGGCCTATTGCCCGTGGTGCCTGTCGGCTAGCAATGGTGCAATATCGTGCGAGATGCAATCTATCGCCTGGGGGGGGAGGGGGGAGTAGATAATAATGGACTTCAGGTATGCAAAAACGGACCAGGGCCTTGTAGATTATCCCGTCCTGTTTTTGGCCCCCTGCAGGGCGACAGCGTCGACCACACCCTCTTCTGGCTACCATCGGAGCGGACGATCATCTGTGGCGATTCAGTCTACGCCCGTTGCTCACACCTCTGGGCTGAAAGAGATCGAGACTCCGGCCATTTTGTCTGCTTGGAGGAAGACAATCGCGTTGATCGAAGGCCTAAATCCAGCGACTATTATACCGGGCCACCTGGAGGCTGTGTGGGAGTTAGATGCCAGGGCGGACTTGGAGCATAACAAAAAGTATCTTCAGTTGTTTGAAGACATTGAAGGCGACAAAGAAGCCTGGGGTCCAGGAGCTATTTGAAACTTTCAAGAATGCGTTCCCAAAGGCAGAAAAGAACAGCGATTTCTTCTTGGGCCATCTCAGCAATCAGTTTGGAGAAGGTGGTGTTAAGTGGGAGGAGAACCGGCATCATCGGGTTGCGACCAGGACGAAGGAGCAATTGGAAGCCTATTGGATAGCTTAGATCATCAATCATGTCTCATCCTTCCAACATATCTCGTAGCCTTCTGTATTGCTTTATTTGGTTCAACACTAGGTGGTTTGTGGCAAGTGGATGGGTGAAGAGAAGCAGGACGGAAAGCGGGAGGGGAGGAAACCCTTCGTATCCTTCTGAGCTTGCCGTCGGACTAGCTGCTGATTTATGTCAAGAGCCAGTTACCTCTGTCTCCCTCGCCGCCTGCAACACCTCCTTCATCTTGGAATACAGGCCTCGGTCTTCATGTTTCCTCCTCTCGCCATTTGGGAAAACTTTCCTCCTTAGTCTATTGACCCATGGGATCAATGATTTGTAGTAGGGCGTAAAGTTGACCTCCGCACTGTTGAGAAAATCCTCTTCATCAGAAATCACCCCCTTTTTAGACCCAACCAGCTTATTGTCGCTTTCATAGTTCCAACTCTCAAAGTCAGTTGGTCCGATATCCTTGCCTGGCCCGTTGTAGGGGATGCATATCCAGAAGAGCACCCAGAAGAATGACTCGAGGTCGTGCATGAAAGAATGATACTGCCCGAGTAAAGCACCGATGGCCATGAACGCCCTCGTGCCTGTCTTTCCCTTTGCTCCCGAGGTATCTTGTCGTTGGTCTCTAATGGCGAGGTCGAGGTCAACCAAGAACGCTCGCCGGGATGGATTCTCGTCGTCTTCATTGATCATGAGATTGTTGATGGAGATGTCTCTGTGGAGAAAGCCCACCTTGCGCAAGGACTGGTGACCTTCAATGCAGGCCTCCAGCGCGGCAAGTAGAGCCACTCGAGAGCTTGCCTTGTAGATCGGCTTTCCATAGTCCCGAAGAATGACCCTCCGATGTACCCTATTTGGCATCGCGTCTATGCTTGCCTTTGTTGGAGATGCTGAACACGATCGCTTGGTTGGCGGCAGAGCGGCGTCAGTTTCGCTGGGTGGCCGCTTCGTGCCAGCACTGCTGCTTCGCCCTTTGCGCGAAACACTAGACGCGCTCACACTTGACGGCAACATCGGGCGTTCCGGTCGATAATTCGTAGCTTTTGTGACGTCCAGTCTCTTTCGAACATTGCTTTGAACGTCGTCATCAGCGCCTGAGCGCCGTGGATGCGAACGGTCTCGTGGTGGTAGTATCGGGCAACATTAACTCCTATCATCGCTGGCACGCCCCCGTATCTGGATTGTACGCCGCGCTTTCGTCCAGGATGGAACCTACTTTAGTGAGCCACTATTTAAAGGTATGGGAGACCCTTCCGTTTCGGAGATTGACTCGGGAGGCATTGGGGTAGCCCAGGGCTACTTGTCTGCGCTAGCCACGCGGGCAATTATCTTATTTGAGGCGGACAATGCAGACATAGGACTCGTTGGTTTTATTGGTATCGGTATGGATGAGGTCAGCATGTGCGAAATCACAGTGCAGGAGGGCCAGCGGGTTGAGAAAGGCCAGGAGATTGGCATGTTTCATTTCGGGGGATCAAGCCATTGCTTACTCTTCCGCAAAGATGTCCAGTTAGAGGGGCTCCCAGAAGTGGGCAGAAAGGAGAATGTGCCAGTACGAGGTCGGCTGGCGACGGTGAAGAAAAAAGTTGGTGGTTTGAAATGGATCTCAAAATAATCTAGTACATTTCTGCATGAACTCCAAGCAAAGTTTAGAACATATAAGTGTGGAGTTCTAAACATGCTAGTTTGCGTTATGTCAAATGACTTTATTCTCATCAGTAATTATATCTTCTGATCACTTATCCATCTTCCCATTGTGTGTTTCATCGAGCAAATGGGAGGGTGAGCGAAATGAAGTCAATCGTGTCGTTGTCTAGGGTAGCCATGAGCGACGCAGGATACGACGTGTTGATTGGTCACACAGAAAAAGGTGGATCATGGTGAGCTGTTCGGGTTCCAGGACGTGGGCCGGACTGAGTCTATGGTCTCACAACAGGGATTGGGATAAGTCGATGAAGCGCATAATTCACAACGATACTAAATTTATTAAGAGGACTTTATTATTTCTATATCTATAAATATTACGGCACAGGATCCAAACCATTGGAGCCACGACTGCTAACCGAACCCTCTACGCCCTGTCTAGAAACCCCGGACGAGTCGGCATAGGCGCCCTGAATTTGTACAGAATAGGGTGCTTCATCGAGTAGCATGTCGGTGTCGTTATGATTGAACCCATGTGGTGCCTTTGTTCCCGGAGCCGCTTTTGCATCCATGACGTGCATTTCCACAGTGGTAGTAACAGTCGGCCAGGCCTTCGATCTGGGGCGTTCTCCATCTTGAGTTTTGTTAGCCAAAGTTGTCTCGCCAGCTCGGGTTCCGCGGGATCTAGATGCGGTATTGTAGTCGGATCCGTGAGCATGCCCCGATTGTCGAGCAATCTTGGCGATGAGACTGGCCATTGACATTTCGATATTGAGTTTGACGATGTAAGCGAGCGGGTGAAACTGCATGTACCTGATACGGCAGACACCACGGTTAGGATCTTCCATGCACCAGCAGTGGGGAGTGCATACACAAAGGTGTTGTCCAAGCTCATCATGGCGACAATGAGAACATCCATGCTCAGAGAGAACACAATGATGAACATGTTGAACTTGACCAGATTGTCGTACTTGCTGAGTCCCAATTCTACCAAATTTCGTCTGACGATGCGGATGAAGAGAAAGTTGAGAGCAGCGTCAACGAGGAGGTAGATGACCTTTTCACAGCGATCCCATATCTCGTTGATGTGTATGTACGAGTCGGAAATTTGTAATCGGGCAGGAATCCAGATACAGTAGACGGAAATGTTGATGGCCGTGATGAAAGCTGCGACGCCATATTTGAGTCGCCAGACGAAAGTCCGGTCGTGCATAAGGATTGCACATCGGTTGACAATAATTTGTAGGAGAAACTGAACCTGTAGACTATGTCAAGGAAAGCCTGGCGAGGACGGTCTGGGAAAAAACGAACCTGCAGCGCCCACAAAGTAACTTAAGCGGAAGAGGATTGTTAGTTTAAAAGCAGCCTTGAATACAACCAAGAGGTGTGAATAAATAGACGTACGGATGCAAAAGTAGAAGGCGAAGCTGCATGCGATGTTAGAAAGACACAAAAGACGCATGGTGTTCGCAAGAAGCTTACCTAGGCGGAACTACCCCCAAAATGTACATGAAGCAGATGATGCCAAACCCAAGACAAACGGCTATCTCGCCCCAGATCATCCAGATGTATGGATTACGTAGCAGAGCGAACCCGCGTCGGCGGTAGGCACTGGTGGTCTGCTGGATGGCTGACCATGCCGTCAGCCAGCCGATGCCCAGGGTGAAGCCCCAGGCAAGAGACGCAATGATCAAGTCATTTGATGTCACTTCCTCGAGCATGAAATTGTCAGGGAGGAGAGTGAGCATGCTGCAATGGACAGCAGGATATCACCAAAAGGAATGAGAACAAGTTGGCACGGTGTACTGACATGGAACCTGGCGCAAAAGAAAAGCAAAGACAGCAGCATTGAGCCAGGTCTTTAAAAGAGCCAGGGGTAATTAGAAGCCAGCTTTGCTGTGCGTATCACGTACACGCTGACGCATTAGCATATGGTCGGACCCTCTTGGCCAGAATCTCGCGACGGCTACTCCGTATGCGAAGACTATCAAATGGCCCTGGTCTCCTTGTCCGAAGCTGTAGCGTGTGCACAGGTAAACTCTAATGTCAGCCACTAGACGCGACGGATCGTCCCCGCAGATTTAGCTGAATTGCCCAGCGCCCAAAGGACGGTTAGATGAGAACCGAGCCCTCTGCTACTACGACGTAGTATCATACGTAGTAGGTGGTAGGCCTTTCCTCAGGACCTCCCCAAACCTTCCTCAAGCCCCCTTCAAACCCTCCTTAGGCCATTCCGTGTAGATGACTCGCGTGGTGCGAACAATATTTCGCACTACTGCGCTGGCTGCCATGTGTGTGTCACTCGAGTTTCCCCCCTGTCGCAACATGAAGATGTGTCGCATAACATACTCCGTATAGGGTACTATTATTCCACACAAGGAGTGGGCCTACACTTTTGCTAGTGGCGTAACGGTTATCTGACACTCTCGCACCAGTCTCCTGGATCTAGACCCTTTTGGCGAGCATTGCGCATCCATCTCGAGTCGGACGAAGAAATCGTGACGGACTCACCGTCAAGAAAGGGCACCCAAGGTGACGAAGCCGGCTAAGCGCAGTGCGACTAAAATAGCGAGACAGCTGGGCGCCTTGGCGTATGGTGACCCTCTGTCATAGCACAGCAGCTTCTGTGCATGCATCTTCCACGGCTAGAACGTTTCCGACAGAACTTGAGACGTTATTCATGGCCGAAGGTCGTCGGGAGAACTACGGTGATTGTGAATGAGGCACCTAGCCTTTGTGAGCCACTATCTCAACCCCGTGTCCAAAGTAGCGCCATGGTCGGCTCAATGCCACTCCCGAGCCGATGTCTTCCCCTGCTTTCGGCTGCCCGGAGAAAGCTCCGATCTTGTTGAATCATCTGGACAAGGGGAGTGATGTCCCCTGCAAGACATAACAAGATACCAAAGAGGGTCTCGACCGCGTTGATTGACGTGTACTACGTAGTACGCGAAGATTCTTTCCCACCACTAGCCTGAACGGGGCACGAAAGCCCGAGACCTGACGGCACGTTGCAACCTGACCCCTAAAGAATTTTGGGGTAGTCGGAGCCAGCAGTCTGACCCGACCTGCCGACCTGCTGGCCACCTTGCCGTCTTTAGCTTGGTATAACACTGTCATGGCCGACAGGTCTTGGTTTAACTAGATCAAGCCACCACTCCGTCGCCTCACCGCAGGCTCCCAATTTACGGATAATGTTAGAATATAACTCAGATAATAAAGCCCAATATGCAATAAGGCCTAAACTTTTGCAAAATGGCGTAATGGTTAATCTGACAGATAATTAGTCATTAGTATTCGGAACACCCGCGCACCACCCCTGACTCAGTGGTGCTACTGCCAGCTAGGCGTTCTAGGCCGAGAGAAGTAGCAAATAAGAATATCGATTCGCCCATGACTCGGGCTTCATTTAGCGGAGCGAGAGAGCTGTATTGGGTCTTCAATCAAGGTGAATTTGGTATTGATCAACGAAAGTCGGATTTTCTACTTATGTTACTTGGATCTACCAGTGCTCTCTGATGGGCCTATCAGTTGTCCCAGGCCCTCGACATGATGAAGTAGACTCGATATATATTTGCTTGCGGATATTTCCTGGTTTCGCAGGCACAATGTTTTCTCGGCTGCCAACGTCCGAGGCAGTCCGGTCATCCAGTCGATAACTCGGCCTATTGGCCCGACTTGAGCCTTGGCCAAACGTACCGGTATTGATCGTGAAGCCCCGAGATCCCTAGAAAGTCTTACCTCGCCGTTTGATGATCAGTAAAATCACTTATAGCACGACGGTAACAGCTTCGACAATAGTGGACAAACAACGTAAATTCGAGCTGAAACTCCTCTGCAACTGGAGAAGACAAATCCAAGCAAGAACTCTCAACTGCAGCTCAGGGCGAAGCTCCCCTCGTCATGCCCTTACATCCATCCCGAAAAGAATCTAGGAAGCCTTGCCCATATCGGCACCGGAGTTGGTGCAATAGTAGTTCCACTCATCGCCACCAATGTGCTTGTCAGGCGAGTTGCAGACCAAGACGTCACCGCGGTAGCTCTATTAAACAGGGGTTCAGTTGTTGAGCACAGCAAAATAATTCTTTCTGGGGACTTCGACTCACAGTGGAACAGTCGGGCCAAGTGTCCCACTGGTTGTTGCCCGTGTCCGCAGCTTGTATTTGCCGCAGGCGATCTTCGTGGCATCGTTGTTCTGTGGGTGGTCAGTGTTAGTGCCGTTCCGTCTATCTGACCAGCTTCTCGCCGTTTTATGGCTTGCATACCTCAGGGTTGGACTCGTTGATGCCTTCGAAGACTTTGTCTGCGCACCATGCGTAGGAGTGCAGATCGGCGAGGGCGCTGGAGGACGTTAGCAGCTGCGTCGAAGTGATTGTCGTCTGTTCCACAGAGAAAATCAACTTACCCAGTAGCGCAAGCAATAGCGGCGATGAGGACAGCGGAGAACTGCATTTTGAGGTGGTTTTCAGATGCAAATGTGGCGAGAAATATATTCTACGAAAAATTAACAACAGCAATATCGGCCAAGAAAATTAGACTAATTGAAAGTGAAAAATATCACGCATCTCATAGACTTGCCCTTCTCATAATGCAGTGCCGTGAACCGATTTTATTGTATTTTTCAGGCGTCAATTGACGACTTGCTCCGCAAAAGCGATAAGAGCTCTTATCAAACAGCCTTACGCCACGGTATCCTCAAACCGGGGGTTAGGCCCAATCCCCATAGGTCTTGACGGCTACGCTTTCACTGTCAATTTTCAAGAACCAATCCGACCAGGTGACCGGCCAGTGTTGCTAATAATATGACAATAAAAACAATATACTGCAATACATACAATACAATATGCGTTTTCTGATATTGTACCAATATAATACGCAGGTTGTGATGTTGCGACAATACAATATAAGGCTATCCATATTGGCAAGATATTGTCTGTATTGGTTGGCGGATCTTTGGGCAAAATGCACTTGTTTGTTGATAATTAACGTCGGCATGTGGTGACGCGTGGAAGAAAACGCGTAACTGGTTTATTGTTTTACTTCTAGGGCCAGAAAACGCGTAGTGAAAATGCAACAACGCCTGCCTTTTGTTCAAACGTCGCAACGAAGAGGGTCGTCAATATCAGACGGCTTTTCGGAGCTCTCCAGTCAGCAATTACACGACCCAGACGAGAGCCAAACCTCCAATTGCCAATCGTCGCGACCTCGCACAGCCTCCACAACCTCCTTGGCCAAGCCAAGAACATCATGGGTCTTCTCCCATATGCCAGACGAGGAGATAGTGGTGGAAAATATGATTATTTGACCAGCCTACATACCTTCGAAATCTATAAAGCAGACATTGCAGAGTAAAATGTTGGTGGTATGGCGCCCTGGCTGCGCAGGCAGCTGCTGAAGCCTAACTGGACACAACAACACCGGAACTTCATCGCCATACCAAGTTTTGGTCCGACTCTTGGTACCAGTCCAATTAAGGCAGGCGGTCCAGTCCGGTACTTCCGGTTACATAGGGGGTCCAGTCCAGACACCTTGGACTGGACGGACCGCCTATTTCTCACACTGGTGTGTACGGAAGGCATAAAAGGAGTGTTTGAATCAAGAGGATTTGCGCGGCTATAAGGTGATGCAATATCGTGAAGGATAAGGGTAGCAGAGGAGCCACACCGCCATGCAAGGCACAAAAGGGGCTAGAACAAGAACAACAACACAATCATCGAAGGAACCAATCATGACAAAAAAAACGGAGTTCCGTATCAATTGAATACACTCACTTCTACCTTTGTGCGTGCACAATTCGCATCGTGTGTCCAACACATCGTATCTCTGACACCAACAAGCGGGATGAGAGGCAATAGGGCAGAATAGCCAATCATCGACAAACTCAATTGTAAGACATACAGCAATCGACACTGCATGCTATCATATTTCGTCAGCTCGGTATTAGACGGCATATTCCGTGGCGGGATAAGACGGAGCAAGGTAGAACAGCCAATCATCGACATAACTAGCCAATGACTGCAAGGTCCAGATGATACACGGCTAGTCTAAGTCCCGCAATGCGGCCTTTTTTCCAGCAAACAGATTGTTGACCCTCTGCCAATACATATCGCCCTTTAAGGTTATGCAGCAGCGAGTCATGGCAGTCAATGTCACAGAAGAATCTGTTCCTGTGGCCAACAAGGGGGAACGAACCAAGCTCCGAATGCCCATGCTCAGTTTTGTCCTGTGTCACCGGTTCCCATCCTTCCGACGATGGTAAGTCTATTATATCCAAAGCACCATTCATAAGCCCGTCAAAACCAGAAGGGTGTTGTTCACGTTGTCAATTTGCTTGCAATGTCCAACACTGGTGGATGCGGAAGGAGTGATGCCTTTCAGACACTGTCTTCGTCTTCGTAGTCTTCGAAGAGGCTATCTTCGAGGAGGGACCCCTTCCTCTGGCACTACGTCCTGCTGACCTCCGCCCTCGGTGATTAGTGAGCTCAGGTAGGCTCCAACAATCGTGACAAGGCCACTGAACCACCATGCCAAGCCTGAATACCCAGTCTGCAGTCCGAGTGAGTACAGGAAGCCGGATACAATCGGGCCCAATGCTCTGCCCAAGCTCGCCATCGATGCCGCGATGCCATTGATGGTTCCGAGGACTTGCTTCGTCGGGGCCGAGTTCGCCAGGAGAATGGCATTGCTAGGGTAAGCCATGGTCGATAAAGTGCATTTCCAGATGACCAGCAGGTAGATGGCTGCCATTCTCATGTCCTCTGGAAGCAGAACGAGGTACGGAGTGACCAGGTATAGCGCAGAGTAAGAGAAGGTCAGAATCTGGAAAAGGCGCAGGGAGCCCAAGCGTCGTATCACGGGCGGGACAATCAAGTAGTTACAGAACAGAGAGTAGACAGCTTGAGCAGACATTATGACACCAATCATCTTCATCTCGAGGCCGAATCCATCGGTGAACTTAAAGGGTAGTTCCAAGATCGGATGCTTAGGTGGGGATGTGCTCAGAAACACTGGGAAGAGCTGATCAAAGGACATTGTGTGACTAGAAGAGGGCATCAGCAACAGCAAGTGAGCCAAGAAAGAGGGCTGCCATTTACAAGGTCAGGATACCGTATGAGGTGATGTTCATAATGACCGGCTTGGTGAAAATCTTCATCTTCGTCTTGGCAATCGGCTCTTGGCCCAGCGGTGCAATGACCATGGGGAACTCAGTATCAGCCCGAGGAGCCAGCTTAGGCGAGCTCTCCTGGATTTGGTAGGCCCGCAGGATTTCGTTCACCTCGGACCTGACACTGGTCTCTCGGGATCCTGCAGCCGTGAGATACCCAGGAGGTTGTTCGCCGTCGAAAAGACCTTGGTTCTCGGAGTTTCGTCCTCGCCCACAGCAGCTTACGACGCCGCGGGCCGTGTTAGTCAGATAGTCGCCTACCTCACGTCCGCGATCCCTTTTAGTCTTCTTCGTCGCATGCGTTTCCTCAAAGAATAGAAGGCCAATTATGACTCCAATGAAGACTATGGTTGCGCTGAAAAGATTGGGAAGGAGGTAGGGAAATTGGTCCCAGATGGTTCCGCGAGCGAAGATGCCAGGATAACTGACACAGGGTCTCGCGAGCGAACCCCCAATTATCGGGCCAATGATAGATCTAGATACGCCTGTCAGGGCATTGACTGATGCCTCCTTAATAGCCGAGGAAGTCTTACCCGATACACCATACCATGGGCATGACAGTGTAAGCGCGTGCTGCGTCGGGTCAGCGGCGGATGTTACCTCAGAGCTCAGATTCAGCTCACGTTGTTGCTCCTTGACAGTCACTAGTTCAGCGACGGTTGTCTGCAAAACCCCGATATTTCTGCATGTTCATCAGTCCCTTGTTCCAAACTCCCGAGTCTCCCGCCAACTACTTGCCATACCCATTCAGAACACCACCGAGAGCGCGGGCAAATAGGGCCACTGGTAGATTCGGCGCGGAGCCAAAAATGAGAACGCTCAAGGCAGTTCCAGCCAGGCCAGCCAGTAACACGGGTTTGCGTCCTATCTTGTCGCTCAGTCTACCCCACATGACACCGGTTGCAAATTCGGCCAAGGTGAATGCTGAAGTGACCATGCCGGCGTAGACCGAAATTTTGCTAGCGTCATCGGTGATGTGGAAATCATCGATCATGTAGTAGATGTAAGGGAAAATTGACATGAATGCGATTGGCTCACATATCCGGCAGCAAGCTGTCCTAGTCAGTATGAGAGAGTTCATGTGATGGCTGGGCCAGCTTCCATACCTAGCACAAGCATCTGCTTAGCCGGGAACGGGGGGGATCTCTGGCCATCTTTACTAGCACCGCCGCTGTCGGTCGCCGGAAGTTGGCTGTTCCTTCTCATGTTGAATTTTCTCGCGAAGCCGCTTGAACCCAAACTTCCACCGCCGTCCACAAACACACTCAGCGCAGTACAGTGCGGCTCGAGATCTTCAAGACTAAGCGTGGAGCCCTTATGGAACAATTGCCTCCAAAAGACGAAAAGTCAGGAAACCTCGTGTGACGAGATGGCCGGGGAGGGTAGTCAGTCGGAACGGATTCCCAAGCAGATTAACCTTCCCTGGGAGGAGGCCAAGCTCGGATGTCTAGGTTGTAGGTGGCCGACAAAAGCAAGCAAGGCACTAATGGCAAGAGAAGAACGAAGACCGGGAGTGGATACACATATGAGAGGCGAGGCAGAGACACGCCCGACACGGCCCCAACACAGGCCCGGCTGGCGTAAATGTCATCACGACCATGGTGCAACTAAAACCTGATTGGAACGGGCAGTGACATCATCCAAAGCAATGACAAGAGCCGTGATCTACCACCACAAAGCGATGCGACGAATGAATCCCAACTCTCGGACCGGGTGGCAGTGAGGCCCGGTTGCGCCAGCCAGGGAGAAAGATCCCGGTTGACAGGGCGGGCTTGCCAAGGCTGTGGCCCTGTGTACAGAGAAACCTCGAGACGCCCGGGTTGCTTCCGCGAGGTTTATGGGCCCCACATACCAGCCGGGGAGTTGGGTCAAGTTCCCCGACAACTCGACGAGGGTACGATGAGGTGTCGAGCCAATGGGTAGGGACTTACGCCTGGTTCGAACCTAATTATTAGGCTCACCGGGTCTTGGTAGACCAAGGTTATCCCCCAACATTTCAATCGCATAGCTGTTTGATCCCAGTTCCGTAATGTTGACTAACCTTGATTTGGAATGTGGGTTGACCCCTTTTTGAGTAAGGTGCCAAGACCAGGGTTACATTGCACGGGGGACCAGATGGCCCCCAGCGCCTGAAGAGTAAGATCGGCCTAATAATAACTGAAAGACTCGGTTCGAAGGCGCCGCAACCCACAACCCGCTCGGGTAGTGGGCAACTCGCTTTGCCAGGCAGCCCACATGACCGATTCGTGGAAGTCGACTCGTCCTGTCGGGGTTGTGGGGAGGGGAAACCACGCTAAGCACAAGTCAAATAGTGATCATCCACAGCTGAATAGCAAATTTCTTATTTTAGTTGACACTTTGGTCAGCCTCAGGCGGGCTGTGTGGAATTGGTCCGATGGCTGCGCGTGCGATTCTATCCTATGAGAGCGAAGAAGAGGCATTGGCGGGCTCTCACCCTTGGGATTAGCATGGTCAGATTAAAAAGGACCCTGAGGATGTCTCGAGAGATTGATATCCACAGCCAGCGCCTGCGGGACGTAGGGGTCCCTCCAGACTAGACACGACGATTGCTCGAAACGCTGGTTGAGAGATCGACGGAGGGGGAACCCTTCAGCGTCTTAGGCGCGGGCTAAGGGTATTTGGCGAGGCTCGGGGTTGGGGGCTTGATTCGTTTTCGGTTCTTGGTTGCGTTTCGACAATCTGACATTCAGCTCGTCAATAATTCCTATCGAATTGGGTAATCACTGCGACAGGCACACAGGCGCCATTGGACAAGAAAGCTCTCGTTCCCGCCAGGCTTGGCGCAACATCGAGCTTCAATGATAGGCAATTTTGGATGGCAGGGTCTCGGCTCACGATAGCCTCATTGTGCCTGTCAGCTCTCGCCCGAGGCACACTTGCTGACCCACGCCATTCGGATAATTGAGGATGCTGGAATCCCTCGAAACTCAACACATTCACATCATCAACATTACTTCTCAGCAATCATCATCAAACTCAAATATTCCAAAATGAAGTTCCTCATCACCTCTGTGGCCCTTTTGGCCGGAGTAGCCTCTGCTCTCCCCACGTCCTCCGCCGAGACAGACGCTTCCCTTGCCCTCAGACACCTCGAGAACCGCGCCACGACCTGCACCAAGGCCGCGACGGACAACCTCATCTTCAAGGCCTCCATCGGCTCGTTCGAAAAGTCCCGCAAGGCCAAGAACCCGTCCAAGTGCAACTGGTCGTCGGACAACTGCTCCAAGTCGCCCGACAAGCCCGACGGCTACAACTTCATCCCCAGCTGCCAGCGCCACGACTTTGGCTACCGCAACACCAAGGCCCAGAAGCGCTTCACAAAGGCCATGAAGAAGCGCATCGACGACAACTTCAAGAAGGACCTCTACAAGTACTGCTCGCAGTTCCATGGCCTGTCTTCTTGGAAGGGCGTCGAGTGTCGCCGTCTGGCGGATATTTACTACGCGGCGGTGCGAAAGTTGGGCAAGCGAGAGGAGGAGGCCGTGGACAATGTTCCTGACAACGTTGCTGATCTGGAGCTGGATCCTGATATTGAGGGCCAGGTTATCCCTGAGGTGCTGGAGGATGATGGTGAAGATTACGACGACCCGGAGAAGCCCTTTGCTGAGTAGGCAAGTGCGTGTAGGTATGGAGGTCTAGGCCCGAATGTGATATAGAACTAGTACACCGAACTCCAAGTCGAGGAACATCATTCTAAAATCCCATATAGATCTCACCTGAATGCCATCTCATCGCATCTATCTCATCTTCATTCACCTGTGCGAAGTGGAAATACACTTCGAGATCATCTCTGACGCAACCGCCTTCCCGTTCAAAGGGCCCCGAGAGCTAGGAGAGTGGCACTGAGGTTGAATACGGGGGAGCGCGGTTGGAAGAAATAAACACTTCCAAGTCGATTGCAGCCATCGTTGCGAGACTAAGGGGCGATCAGATAGATCTTGAGAAACACGTTGGAACTCAAAAAGCTTGTGTCGGCTGGTTTCTCATTCTTGAGGAACATAGATTGTGATGATATGGACGGCCGTCATGAACTGGCGCCCGACGACCCCTTTTTTACCCAAGCCCTCCCCAAGTCAGACCCACGTTGTGCCATACGCCGGTCTATAGTGACGTTGTCGACCTAGCAAGATCCCGCAAGCACCTCCTCTGGCATCTGTGGTGAGCCACAAAGACTAGGGTGATCCGGTCGACTCTGTACCAGCTCCTTTCTCTGATCTTCCAAGCTCGATAGCCCCCTCAAGGTCCGTTACTCAAGACCTTTGTCACTGCGCCTTCATCGCGCCTGCGTCGCACTTTGACTTCAGCCTGCTTTCCTTCCGATCAAGGCTCCGAGATCCGCTCTGTCCCTGACTCTGACCAAGCAGGGCGCGAACCAGCACGGTAAGCTCGGCAGTGGTGTGACGAGAGCTCGTATTCGATCGACCGGATATTGCTCCAACCCGTGGTACCTGTGGAACCCGTCTGCGAGGCGTACGAGGAGAGGGCAATGGCCGAGGGCAGACAACGCAGTCAAGGCAAGGCATTTTCTTGATTCGGCTCGGCGGAACCTTCCGTCACTGATGTAGGCGGAGCTGCGAGCAGATCTTGTCCCAAATGGCGCATGCGCTTGAACGGCGGCGCTTCCCTCCCGTCTTGACCAATCCAGCATCAGGCTGAATGAATCACATGTATACAATCGTGTTTCGAGGAACGGGGGCGGGGTCGGATTCAGCTCGCCATGCTACAGCCGGTCGCGAGCTCGGCATCGATGTGGCTAGGAGGCCTCCGAGCCATACGCTTAGGCCAAGTCGTCGTGAGGGGAGAAGAATGTGTTGGCAATGGTGGGGGCATGTCGCTGTTGGCGCACGCGAGGACGGTCGAGATGCGAAGCTGGGTAAAAGGGATACACGCGGCCTAAGTCTCATGAGCTACACCAGAGTGACGATCTGCTTGCCAACGTCGGCTCGTTGGCAGTCCATTTTGGTCGTGGCTCATGATGGGACACCACGGAGTGGTCGGTTGGGTGCTGGAGAGTGTGGGCCGGGAAATGCAGCGCCCGACTCGGACCGAGGGAGGCAGGGGGGGGAGAAAGGAGAAGCGCAGCCACGAGGGCGCGATCGGGCGAGGCACTTCGACGGGAACGGCGAGCGAGGCGGGATAGAGAGGGGTGAGAAAGGAGGAGGAGATGCGAAGGTGGGCGAAAGGCGCTTTATAGAGGGGCACAAAGCGGCGAGGGGCTAGGCTGGGGTTGGTGGGTGCCGCCAAACCTAGAGGGCAGGCCGCGACACTGATGTAAAGGACTTTGCTGACAACTTTACCCATCTTGAAAGTCACACTTAAATTAATGGTCCTTTACGGTAGGTTCAGTTGCACCGTATCTTTGAACCAGTCGATTTCGCTTTCGCGACTCTCGACAACTTCAAGGCTCACCTTGCTGACGTCCCGCGTTGACCAGCATCCGAGCGTTTGCAGAACCAAGCTGGATCGTCGTAGGTAGCATACAGCCTAGGCAGAACCAAGCCGAACAGATGTTTACCTGCATCGAATTCAATGGCCTCCGAGAAGTGCCTAAAAGTTACACACCCGAATTAAGTCGTTACAACCCCGTACCAGATCAGCCCCATCACTGCACCCATGATAATCGCCACAGCCGGCTTCACGCCAAACCACATCCCGCCGACGTAGCTTGTTGCCGTCACCACCACCCACCACGGCTCAACCGCCAGGCTCGTCCCGTTCCGGTACCCCTCGTCAATATACCCAATCTGCCACAGGCGGTATACAGCCGTGTAGATCAGGCCAACAGCGCCAGCGTTAACACCCCTCAGCATCGACTTCACCCACCGCAGGCCCCTCACCGCACTCCAGATCCCCATCGTCCCGTGTACGAGCCACATCCCGGGTAGGAAAATACCCAGGTACCCCAGCAGCGCGCCGGCTACGCTGCTCAGCCCGGCTTTAGAGGCCGTTAGGCTGCCCAGGTAGACGGCAAAGTTAAAGTTGGGCCCAGGGAAAGCCTGAATAATAGCCAGCCCGATAAGGAAGTCTCTCGTGCTTACCCACCCCTCCGCAACGACGTACTCACGCAGCAGCGGAATAACGACAGGCCCGCCACCAAAGATAATAGTTCCCGCAAGGTACATATTGGCGAATAGGCGATATAGCAGCGGCTTCTGAGGCAGTACCCCCCGCAGCACCATAACGACGATAAAGCTGGCGAGAAAGGCCAGGATAACGCCTAGGCCGAGCTTCCACGATATGCTGAGGCGGCGCTCGGGGGGAATAAAGCGTGGCTCGTCTGCGACTGACGCGCTGCGATCGTCGTCCTGCGTCTCGGGAGGCGGCGTCGGCGATCCCTGGTCATCTCTCGAGCCCCTGGGCGCTTGGCTCGGCGGCCGAGCCTCAACACCCTGCACCCCACACTCAACCATGTCAACCCCTTCTTCCGCCCTCACCTCCCTCTTCTTCTTGAAGAAAGCCACCACCGCCTTGACAGGTCTATGCACCCACCGATAATCGTGCACCACTGCCGCCAACCCTGCCAGCAGCATCAGCAGAGGGAAGTACCACAGCGCGTTATACAGCATCCCCGCCGCGCCAGCCAAAAACACCAGGACCCGCGTTATCTTGTCCGTGATGGCCTTGCGTGATAGCTCTACGGCCGCTAGCACGATAATGCCCACTGTCGCTGCGTTGAGTCCTGAGAGCAGCGCGTAGACTGCCCGGGGTAGCGTCTCGGAAATGTTGGATACGCCGACGGAGAGGCCGTACATACCCAGAGCGCCGGGGAGGCTGGGATAAGTAAGTATATGAGATCAGCAATAAGAAAGGGAGGGGAAGGGTAGTAGTTTTACCTCCAGATAAGGAAGCCCAGGATGGCGGACGGGAAACCATCGTGGATAAGGTTGATACAGTAATGCATCTTCGTGCTCCCCGGACCCGAGAGGGCTTGGCACACGCTGAATAGCTCCTGATACTAGTCGCTTCATCAGATTATATCCTCTTTCCAATCCACGTCAATACTCACCACCTGCTCATCAATCCACTCAAGTTTAGTCGTAAACTTATCGTGGAACTAGCCACCATTCGTCAGTAATGGCTCCGCTCGGCTGAGATGCGCGATAACTCACAATCTTGAAGTGCACGGGTGGGCCCCCGAAGGACGTGAACCCGAGGTGCCAGTTCTCCCTCACCGTGTTCCACGCCCTCGTTCTCGACTGGTCCACGGCATCCTCCCATCCTCTTCTTACAGCCATCTGAGCGATTTTCAAACGGTTGATCTATGCTCCCTGTGGGATTGTCGGGTAGATCTTCGAATGCGTGCAACGAGCAGAATAGGAGAGAAAGAAGTGTTTGGTAAGAAGTGAGGCAAGATACGCTTTTTATGCATTTGGCGAGTTGCTTGGTTTGATGTAGGGTGGCTGGCTTGATTGGAGATCATGTCCCCCCTGGGTCCTGATTGACCAATTCCAAATCCCTTTTCGTACCGCCCCACCACAGTACGCCGCTGCTGTGACCGAGGCTGCCCACGTGCCTTCAGATTTGCCTCTTCTGCTTCCGACTGCAACATTTTTTTTTTTAAATTACCGGCGTGACTCACTTTCCGGCGCTAATGAGAATTGACGTCTTGCCAAAGGTACCAGGTATGCAAAAGAAGAATACATCGGACTCGCACAGTCCGGAATGGGTGCGAGTCTGACACGACCGAGCCTGAAGCTCAGACGACATGTCATGAAGTGGGGGGAACAGAATTGCGTGATCGTCAAAGCCGATTGCGCGCTAGAATCCCTCGCCACATTATATAAAGCGGTACCATCCTATGTTCCCTGTCCAAACAATACAACTCAGCATTGGGAGTAGAGTACCTCCGCTAATGCCGGATTTTCGGAAGGATACTATAGCTTGGACAACGCAGTATCCATGTTCCAGAGGCTCGAACAATAAACCTTGAGGAACTTGAAAGAACAGATAGGGCCATTTGTCGCAAGCGTCGAATCACAGGGCGATGGTGTCGACAATCTACCTCATCCGCCATGCCGAGTCTGTTCACAACGTCTCCAAGGACTTCTCTCACCGCGACCCACCCCTTACCGAGCTCGGGATAGCCCAGGCATCCGCACTCGGCAAATCGTTCCCTGGTCTAGCTTCTGTTGCCATAGTTCTGACTTCACCTCTCACTCGTACACTGGAGACCACGCTCGCGGCTTTTAGCCATATTCTCGACAAACAATCCGTCGGGGACGGTGGCATCGATGCTGGAGCTCGCCTCGTTCTGGATCCCGACCTGCAGGAGCGGAGCGACTTGCCGTGCGACACCGGCTCTGACCGCGCCACGCTGGAAGAAAAAATTCCAAACTTGGATTTTGGTGTTCTTCAAGGCAAATGGTACACAAAGGACGGAGCACATGCCGCCGATGATGCGGCAGTCAAGGCCCGGGCCAAAGCGGTGAGGGAGAGATTGCGCGATCTTGTTGAGAAATCGGAGCAGGATGGGAGAGCCGCTGAAGGGAAGGGAGACGTGGTTGTGGTTACCCATGGAGTGTTCATGAAGTTCCTGGCAGAGGATGAGACGATTGACTTGCCAAAAGCGGGTTGGAAAGCCTACACGGTAGGGAAGCAGGAGGGTGGCGAGGTTACCCTCCTTCCTGTGGAGCAAGTCGAGAGTTGATGAGAAGGTGATGATGGATATGATATGCGGGGGTATGCGCCAACACGTTGGTTTTATGTAGCAGTCGTGGCGGTTAGGCCACAAATGTGATTTAGGTGCGACTTATTTTATGCTTCAGAAAGGAGATTGCTTGACTTGTTATCGAGCAAGGGGGCCATTCCTTGCCCGAAACTGGTGCTTTACGATGCGTACCGACGCGCTGTAGCTGTTTCATGGCTTTACATCATCAATCAAATTGCTAAGCTCGGCACGCTTCCTACACCCCGTTGAGGCCCCTAACTCGCCAAAGGGCCTTTGCTAACGTTTGTCGAGAAGATCAAGGCGATTACCGTCCCTCGCCCCAACATTGCTCCGGTTTATTAGTGGAGATACGACCCCACTAACCTCCCTTCAGCTTCTCCTAGTCTAACTCCAGGTTGTTAGGCTTATTTTCACAGTTTTCAAAAAACTTGACCAGAGCAATAGGGACTTCCGCCCAAGCTGATCAAAAGACGGGCGTATTTGATCGACGTCACGATCGACGAAATAGCGTGGGGGAGCTGGTGCAATGGGGTCAGATCTCGATTCGATCGGGACCAGCCGAGGGAACCTTCTACACGTAAGAGGGATCCTAAAACAAGGCCTGAGGCTATGCAAGCACGGATCAGAAGCTCAGTTACTCTGCTTATGATCCGTGCACGGCGCCCGCTATATCCGCACCCGGATGCGGATTTAGAATTGTGTCAGACAATTGGCTCCACAGGGATCATTAATGGCACCAGTCAATTGATGAGAATTATCCAAAGAACAAAAGAAATTGAACAGCCATGTGTTCGGGCACAGCTATTTAAGCTCATGTCGTTAGGACTGGAGTCCTTGATGCGACAAGCCGGATGTGAAACCGGATACACGACCCAAGGTACGGGCCGCGTTTCACATCCGGTCGCACGGCTTGCTAAAGCATAGTGGAACCTGGTGGTGTTAATGCGACACCAGCGCGTTTCCCATGTAAGCTCTGCCTTCCTCGTCTATAAGACTCTTAACCCTCATCAAATGAAGCATTCTAAATCCAAAGTCGTGCTCCAGACGCTGCGGAACATTGCACTTCGTCCATCCTCACCTGGCAGACCTGCCACGAAGAGAACCGACGGAGATGCTGGCCTATCGCCTCCCAACGAGAGATCCGGAACCCAGCCTACATCGCCAGAGAAGCTACGGCAACTTCATACAGCTAGGAGTTTATTCGGAGAGTCAATTAGCCAGCCGCACGTAGTGCTAGGGACGCCAATTCCACCAACCCAACAAAGCTCGCGGCTCTTCCGGGCTCTAGCTCCGTCACCGCCTGCGCAGCCAACGACCCATCCACTCGTCTCACATTCTGATCCATCTACTCTCCGAAGCAGCACACCTGGTGTGGATTACTCTTACTTGGCCACCAGGTTCCACAAGGGGGGGGAAGGACTCGCAAGATGATTCCTCGAAGGCTGGGGCGAGGGCCAAGCTGGCCGTTATCCAGCGCGACCATCGTTCACGACGCTGTGCAGGGGAGACTGTGTCACTGATTCCCACAATATCTCAACTTGGCGTCTTGGAGGATTTTGAGGGTCCTGGAGAAGGTATCCTTGTTCTGTGGCCCTAGTAGTTTGTTCAGGCTAACCACGGAGCGTAGATGGGAGTCGAGATCGACTACAACCGAGTTGGTTTCAGATCAGCAGCTTCGGAGACGACAGGTTCTTACACGGAATCCCTACAAGACAGACCACGGTTCTGTATAATTCTAGGTGATTCTGCTCGCGACAAGAAGAAATGTTACAAAAATTGCTCCAGTGCGTAAATAATGTAATGGTTGTAGATAATTGCTTGGCCCGCGGGCTCTCAGCCTTCGGCTGATTGTACCCCTTGCACCACCGCTCTAAAGTGCAAGGGGTGACGTAGTATTTTAGTAACTAGGCTTAAGGGGAGGTGGGAGGAGGGGTAAACGGAGACACTTAAGTCCATGTCTGGAAGGTCTTTCCCGGCCTCCAAAGGCCGCGATTCGCTACGCAAAACGTGCATCACAAACAAGATGGAACCAGCAATTCATGTTCAAAGCTGGAAAGCGGCGCTGCGGCTGATGCACATGTGGAGATTTGAAGACCAAAGGGAGTCAATTGCTGTGCGACTTGGCTTCACCCATCATCACCAATGTGAGTGCCGGCAAGCCATATCACGAAACCCAGGGTTGCAAACCACTCCACTCAATCCACGCGTGGATCCACTGAGTACGGTTGCACGGTAGGACATGAGGTGCATAACCCTTTTCGGATGACGCGACCATGTCCAAATATTGAGTCAGCAGTACCCCCATGCTGAATTACAGTGTAGCACACTATGATCCAAGTGCCTTTTCATCCCCCTACACCTCAACCAGCACGTGAGCCTGGGCAGGTAATTTTTTCCAGCCCCCCAACCCGACCTACGATCCAACCCAATCCGCATACCAACGGCCCTGCCACTCCTCTTTTTCTCACCAACTAATGGATTAATTGATTTCGTCCGTATATTCTCTTCTATCGCTAATTTCTACAGTAAGTTTATATCACCTCAATTGACCTTAGTCGTCCCTAATCGCGTGTCGAGCTGCCAGGCCATATGTGGACCACGAACTGCCCCGACATACCACGGCACCTCGTCTCGCGGGCTTACCACAAGGGCCACGACTATATTAGAGATTCCCACCCCGAGCCGTGTTGCTGTCCCTATTGTGAGGTACGCTAGCCCACGAGTATCACGATCTCCGACAGTTCTCCGATCTGGGCCTCAACAGTAGAGACAGTGGCGGAAATATCTACGCCCGCCTCGACGTCCACCAGCATCGCGGCGTCTAGCCGAGGAACGTCCTCCTCAGGAAGAAGAGGAACACCATCTCGGACGATCTTCGCGTCTTCAGGAGATGGCCCTGGGCGTATCCTCGCCCGGTCTCAGCAGCCCGCGTACCGTGACGCGGCCCTTGCTCGCAGCGTATCGAGAAAGGTGTGTGGGCGAGCTCCGTGCAACTGACCGAGGCGGCGGCTAAGCAAGCCATCAAGAGGACCCAGCGGAAGATCTCCACGCGCCTAACGATCTTCCTTGCGAGACCTGAACCGTTGGAGATAGTAGAAGAAGGCTACAACCCTCCATGGATCCTGGCGAGGGAGGTACTGAAGGTAGCCCTGAGGCGCCACGTTATCTCCGAGCCGGCCATCTCTGTTGCCTTGTGGCTTAGCAAGATCGTCTTTCCTCAATTCCAGGATAAGCCTGCGATAGCTCCTTACCTTGGGTTCGAGAACAGGCTCGTTCATCACGCCCATCTTAGTGATGGCATCACGGAGCTGGGCGACTTTAATTACAACCAGAAGACAGTTGGGGAGCTATTTGGAGAAGACTGTCCTTTTAGATACAGCAAAATTGAAGGGCAGTACCATGTATTCCTTGCGGCAGCGACTCAGTCGGCTTGAATCGAGTGGATATTACGGTGTGAGAGGGGAAAGCCGACGCACCGGCAAGTTGTGAGGTTGGTAGGGTCCGTAACGGCAACTCCTCAGATCCTCGAGGCTCCCTTGGGCAGCCTCAAACAAGCGGCACTAGAAGCTGTGGCAAAACAGGAGCGAACTAGTACCGAAGCGCAAAAAAATGTGAGGAGGCGGAGGATCGACTTTGGGGAAGAAAATTCCTTTTCGAAGTTTGCCCAAACTGGTGCGAAAGGGGTTTGATATGGTGACGCGGACGATGTGGTTTATACGGCCCGATGCATTCTCTTGGAGTACAAAGGAGGACATGGCAAAGGGACATCGAGTGTCGGAAATGTCAAAGAGGATAGATGAGTGGCACGAAAGGGATTCCTTGGTTCTTGGAGCATGGATAGCTTATAATTAATGGGCAGAAGACAAGACCTCATGCTGCAAGCGCTAGGGTGGGTTGAGGTGCATGGTAAGCGAGACCGTCCGCGGAACAGCCATTATCGATTACGAGGGGAGGAGGAACTATACGAACTTCGCAGGCATCTACTGTGGTTTAGGAAAGATCCCGAACGATTTATTGAATGCATCTTCAGCAGTAGGGAGAGAATCTGGGTAGATAGGTGTTTATGCATCATGGCTGGGCGATCACAACGGAGGTGATAGAAAATCCGGAGCCCCGCTTAAGGCAAACAGCATGAAATAAGTTAACCAAAGTTAGCAAGAGGAAGAGAAAAAAAAAAAAAAAAAGGAGAGGAGGGGGGGATAGAAAAACAATGATGAGTCGAGATGACGATGATGACGGATGAAGAGTCTGTCGGAGAGCCGACATGAAAACGCACTGACACTCTCTAACAAGAGGCAGCCACCTCCGATCGGATGCCTTCGCAATTCCTCAAGCCCAATATTGGATCTTAAAAGTTTCCATGTCGGCTCATCATCATGTCTCTGCTACGCCTGAACTTCCTTGAGAGGAAAAAAAAATGCCCGAGTCCCGCCTCTTTCTCTGTGCTGGACCGGAATCACCACCGTTCTGCCGCGTAGTTTTCCTAGCCCTACGAGAAGCCTGTTCCTCGGCATCCCTCTCTTGCTCAGCCCCCTTCGCTTGCGTCTTGGTAAGGACATATCCCTGATGGACTAATACCCATGCGTTGGCGTCATCGGCGTCTTGGACTTGCTCAGGGGTTGGGACCAAAAATGCCGGCCACGCGACTTCTTTGAACGCTTCGTTCGTCAGCGACTGAGGGTTGGGTGTAGGCTGCTGTTGACTCTGGCGCCCGCCTTTCTTCTGCTGTGTCGGTGACTGAGTAGATGATGATTATGATGATGGTGTGGAGGCGAGCTGGGCGAATGGTGGCGGCAATGGCTGCCATTCTGCGGGGAAGTCGAACGAGAAGCTTGGCCTCACTCTCTCCTGCAGTTGTTGAACCTGCAACCAGTCATGGCATATCTCGTCGGAGACCTGCTTCAGGCGAGAGTCAAATTCCCCTTGTTGTGAAGGGGGGACCAGAACGCTCAAAGCATCTGACACATCTGCAACGACCGACTTGACTGCTATTCCTTGATTCTTTCTCTGCGTCTCCGGAAGAACCTTCAGCACGACAGCACGGAGGTACATCTCATGGAGAGAGTTCTGGGTATCGAGATCGGACAAGACATCGTCAAGCTCACCGCCTAGCGTGATGTAGGTTGATCTGAAGATGTGCTTGGCAAGTGCTTTACCAAAGATTACGAGGCCGGCGACGACTCTCATCTGCTTGGCGAATGTTGAGTTGGAAGCTGGCAGTGGGATTTGTTGCTGGCTTGACACTTGCATCCTGGTCTTCTTCCATGCTAAGGTATTCGTAAGACACGCATCATCGAGGTCGTTATACATAAACGCTTCCATGTGTTTGAGGGCAATGTGAAAGAAGTTGGCCAACAAATCACGCCTGTGTAGCGACATTAGTAATTGGCACAAGCTATAAACACAACGGGAGGAAGAGGAAGGGGTTCGAACATACATTATGACTTTCTTGTCCGCAAGACTTGCTAAGTCGATAACGAAAGATCGAATGACCTTGAGGTTCTCCTGAACTCGGTCTAACTCAGTAGTCTTGGAGGTCAATTGCTCTCTTTTCGACCGCAACTCCCCCTCGAGCCTTGTTCTCTCCCTCTGGGCATTCTCCAGGTTGTCAGCTTGTGACCTCTCGATGTTGGTCAATTGTCCTATCTGGACTTCCTTGGCCTTGGTCGTAGCAATTGCCCTTTTGACATCTTTGTCCAGGGCCTGAACTTGATTGTTAAGCTTTTGCGAGATTGCTTTTTCGTCTTTCAGGTCCTTTTCGGCAGCCTCTTTGGCGCGGTTGGCCTCTTCACATCTGCCATTTTCGGATTGCCACTTATTTTCAGACCTTGTCAGTGCTTGGATGTTTTGATCGTAAGCGGTGTTGAGTTGATTGATCTTCGCCTTGAGGTCTTCATTTTCCTGGCATAACCCCTTGAGGCGCCTGAACCCGCCTTGAGCACAGTACTTGTCGATGAACAAGAAGAAGTCGTCAACAGGGTTTTCCGGGCTTTTAGAAGGAGACGAAACGTTCTTGGGGTTCGACGGCGACGTGGTAGCTGTTGGCGGCATTTCGATCGAAGTTGGAGATTTTTGCGCCTATTTGATTTACTCGAGGCTGTAGAGTTGATAGAATCGGCGATGAATGATGAGGAGAGTTTTAGGCAGCAGAAAGTGCGACCGCGTGACTTTTAATACTCTTCAGTCGGCCAACCATCTGGCTGCATAAGTGGGCTCACATCATACATATAAATGCCTGTATTTGCGAAAACGGTTGGTCGGACAGGCTGCGAGCAGCCTCATTTCACGGTGTGTGTGGGTGCAGCAGAAGTTGGGAAGACAAACGGCGAGCTTACAGGGTGGAGGGGGGGTTGCGCTGGTTGGCTGCGACGACGACGACGCGGGTGGGTTGGATGATGGCGGTACAGGGGTGGAAGAACCAACCAGGCGGCCGGCCAGCACCTGAAATTCTTCGCTCCCCGCTTCCTGCCACCAAACACTTCCTCCACCATCATATTATCATCACCCGTTGAGGGAGAAGCTTTAGGAGAGAAAAAAAAAAGGGGTTTAGGCGCCCTCTTCCTTGATTAAGTGGACCCCTTGCTCGGTCGGCATTGACACCATGGCCGCCAGAAGAGAAGAGCGACCGAGACAGACCCTAATGCGGGTAGATGATGTGCCACCGATCAGGGCGGAGGAGCGACCGATATGCGAGGAGTGGCTCCGTTCAATCGGATTTCTTGCACCGGGAGAGGACGAAGAGGTATGGCACGCCATTCTCCAGAACTGGGAGCGGTTCCTCAAGGCAACGAACACGAGGATTACAGGATCTGGCGCAGCCCGCCGAGTCGTGCAGAGCGCGGACGCTAAACAGCGTGAGGCAGTCAAGCAAGCATTTTGGGACCGGATAGATGGGCTCGAAGCGCTATCTGAGCGTTGGCCAGCAAAAGCACGCCTGACGCTCAATCAAAGCGCGGAAGGGCCCGATGCCAGGCCGTTCGAGTCGCTGGCGGCGAGGTGGCTATTGGGAAAGCGGCGACGATTTCAGTCCATGTGGACAGGCTTGGTATGCTTTCTGGTATGGTCCATCAAGGAGAAGGAAGAAAGTCTGGAGGAGATGGGGCTAGTATTGGACGAAGAGGAGAAGGAGGACGTGTTGGATGTGGTGGTAGTGGTAACGCCAGGGTCAGGTTGCTTCATGGACGATGATGATGATCCGGGAGATGAACTTCAAGGATTGTTTACTAAAATGATCACGGACGAGCCTGCGAAGGCGCAGAGGAACCCGCTGCTCTGGTGGATGGCGATCCTAGTACGGTCGGCGATCTCGAAGGAGGGTGAGGAAGACTACATCAGTCGGGGGAGGTTCAGCATGAACATTTTGCCGCTGGATGTGGATATCAGGGACCGGATCGAAGCTATCGGACACTACAGTAAGGTGTTAATCCTAGACAAGGCGTTCCAAGGGTGGCAAAAGGGAAGGGTTGGTCGTGGGGTTTGGTTGGAAGAGGTGCAGCGGGAATTGAACGCGGTAGACAACGAATGGCTCAACGAAGAGAATGGGCAGCGGCCGGACAACCGGCTGGACAGTCGAACGTGCCTATCGCCGGGGTGGAAGATGATGCTAGAGCACCTGGGAAAGGAAGGGAAAGAATGGTTAGGAGAGAGGGAAGGGACGGTTATGTGGGAGGTTAGGAGGCTTCTGGGGTCACTTAGGAGAGCCAGGGAGTAAATGTGAGGAGGGAGGCCGAAGGCAATAAGCGGAATAGCAGAGACAGAAGCAATAATAAATCCGGCGTCTCAAAACTTGTTCAGTTTCTTAGTTGTTCCAATGTTGCGATTACCCCTAGCAGGCTAGCTGAGTCTAAATACAACTATACATGCGTGAGATGACTTCGGGGGAGAGTCGTTTACCCGCAACGCTAACGCTAACCCTAAGGCAAGCTTGAGGTTTGACTCGGGAAGTCACGGGCGAAGCCGAAGTTAAAGGTGGTTGTCGAAGAAGCAGCGGAGAGGCGAGAGTTGAAGAGTGTTTGGGGTGCCTTGAGGGTTGGAAAGGGGTTGTCTAAGTCCAGTGGTGGGTGTAAGAGTGAGAGTGAGTGCTGTTAGAGGGTAAGGGGGGGTCGCAGGTCAGTCTACGTCTAACTGACTCTAAAGCCATTACTGAAATCACGACTAGACTTAGGAGCAAAGGAAAGACGAAAATTATTCACTGCGCATTATATCTACTTCATAAGATCTTGGAACATCGTAACTGCTTTTTTCCCATTTATTTCTGCACTCTTCGTGATATTATCACTCTTGCATGTCATTGCCCTCGTCGTCGCTCGGCCGCCTGCGGACCAATCAGAATTTCGTGGTCAAAACTAAACTTCATTTGGAGTTGCGCACATGCGCCTCGCGCTAATCCCGTTTAGTAACTGCAATCGCGGACGGGCTGATCAGAATCCTACTTGTCCATTTCGGCTGTCCCCGCCTCACTGACCCAGACCACAAAGAGTGGCCCACAACACCAAGACCTATCAGGCTGCCACAACAGCGGAATGGCGTCCACTCCCGGACCCAATTTCTCGTCATGATGCACGTCTTGAGCAACACAAAGAGCGTCGTTCAATCACTGACCACCGCTCGGGCCTCCCTCAAAGGTAGCACGGCCGATCACGAGCCCCCGCAACCCCCCAGTAAGCCACCTCAGCTCGACCAAGGCAACGTGCAGTTCGGACGGCAAAGTACATGACAGTTTTGGTATTGCTGCAGGTTTGGGTATCAGGCAGCAATGGGTCAATGCATTTCCGGCAACAAAACACCGCATCCTGCCGGTTTTATCCGCCTTGGCTGCTGTCAGTAGATAAGCAACTCATGGGTCTCCGTACCAGGAAGCTCGGTTAGAACCAACACCTGCAATGCAATAGCAAATTTTTCCCTCTCAGGGCGAATAGATAACGCAGATCATCTCGTCAGCTCTAAGCGATCTGCGCAGGGCGGCCCGGTTTGCCCTGCCACGATTTGATCCGACAGGGTGTGCGGGGTAAGCGACGGACTTGAGCTTACCAACTACTACAACCTTCTTAAACTGAGGCAAGATACCACGGCCGGTCATTCCCAATCCGGTCACACTTTACTGTGAGTGGATAGTTTCTCCCCTCATTGCCCAACCACAATTTCTCATGCATCTTCTTTCAAGGCAATTGCGACTTGCCATGTGTCCCCACCACGACTTGATCAGCTGCCTGCAATTAGGCACCTATCTGACGTGTGCTCATATCCGCCCTGCTTGGAAGACTCGACCCCCACGACGGGGCTGTTGTGGCTGCAGCCGGTCAAACAAGCCGTCAATGGGGTATTGAACAAGGGCTTTCATCAAAACCAAAAACGGCAATGGATCGACGCAGTTTTCCCTTTCCCCCGAGAGGAGATAACGTAGATCATCCCATCAGGGTCCCTGCTTCTCCACTCTGCGTCGAAGCCAAGGGCCTGAGAGCTTTGGAAGCTGGCTCCAGGGCACTCGAGCGATGCTCCGAATGTGAGGGCAATAATTCCCAAACTAAGGCCGTTTTCTAGGTTTTGTCTTTGAGCAGAAACAAGAGGCGTGTGGGCCGGATTTAATTTGACTATCTCCCTGTAGGATCATCGTCCAGTAATTTTTCTTCCATTTAAGCAATCGAGCCGATCAAGTAGCTTATGCCACCTATTGCAATGACTTGTAAAGATAAATCGAGACGTGGCAGGCCCTGTAGGAGACACTAAGTCTCTTTCAACTTTGAAGGAAAACCGAGCTTAGGCCCTCAAAAGATGTACCGATACCCATCCTTCAGTGGTTGTTGGATGCATTGAGATCAAGAAACTCAAGTTACAATAGGCTGAATATATTGGGAGCAAGTCGGATAAAGAATACGTTTTATTCGTGGTGACGTACATCAAGATGGAGAATATATTATGACCCAAAATATCTTAGTTTGGCCTCGCCTCTACAGGACGCCAGCTGCAACTAAGCTTCCTCTTGAGGGCTATTGGCCGTCTTGGTTTGGATGCTGACGGCGATAGGCTTGGCTTGAAGTTCAGGTTGATGAATGTGATTGATTTATGGATTGGATTGCTAGTTTAGGACGACTCGCCAGTCGTTGCTGCAATGTACGCGACTGCCCATGTTTGTTACTGCAGCCAGAGCGGATGATACTGTAGTCAATCTTTCGTGATGACCTTCAAGCCAGAGAGTGCTGTGGAAGTCATTGGGTGTCAATATTATCGGACATCCAATGAAGTGCATTAAATGCAAGAGCAAGAGGAGGAAATGAACTGCGTTGTTCTATTCAATCTCGGGCTCGTGTTCATCTGCGCATCGGGTGGGGCACTGTGGAGAGAACACGGTCCATCACTATCCCCCAAAGAAGCGTCTGCCCCTCGATCAAGCAGTATTTTGCTAATCTCGATAGATCCACTGGTGACTGCTATGCGCAGAAGATCTGTCCAACCGTCACCACGGAAGTGTTGGTCAGCGCCGTTGTCAGCGACGTTGTTGACAACTGGCTTGATGGAATCGGCGAAGCCAGCCAAAGCTGCGACGTGGATCGCGGACACGCCCCTTTGGTTGACAACTGAAGCATCAGCACCGCTTGCAAGCAGAAACGACGCAACGTCTCGTCTGCGCTCGGTAATATCGAAAATGCTCCCCTTAGTCAACTTCCTATCTGTTCACTACTGAGTAGGTACCATGCACCACCACCCTTTCGCCAACCCCACCCTTTCGCCAGGCAAAAAAAAAAAACCACCACCAAAACTCAACTATTTCATTTATACAGAATTTGGCTAAAATAGAAGTTATTGGCAAGCGGTCACTTCTCATAGATATAAAATTGATTGGAATTCATTTTTCTGGTCTCGTGCAGTTGCGTGGGGCACGTGATGTATGCAAGCCATTGTAAGGAAATATCACCATCTTAATCACCAAATTCCTCACCGCTCTTTCCCAACATTTCTCATGCCAGTCTCTTACAACGCAATAAAAATGCCTTCATCGCGGCCTCGTTGGAAATATACAGAAGACGACATGGCCGAGGCTATATTGGATATCACCGATAACGGCTGTTCACCCTCTCAAGCGGCTCAGAGATGGGGAGTGCCTCGAAGGACTCTGATCGACAGATTTAACGGTCTGACGGCCATGAAAGAACAAATTCAGCCCGGTCAGCGTTTGTCCAAGAATCAGGAAGATGAATTGGCTTTCTGGATTCTTCGTCAGGAGTCTCTGGGATATGCTCCGTCCCACAATCAGATTCGCGCTTGCGTCATGGGCTTGTTAAGACAGCAAAGCGAACAACCAGAATTAGGACGCAACTGGGTAGCCAGATTCATCGAGCGCCACCGAGACCTTAAAACTAAGATCGGTAGACGTCAGGAAGCTAATAGGTTTGAATCCTTCACGCCTAAGGCGGTTCATTGGTACTTCGATATCAGGGAGGGCCAGTACGGCTGGATTCGGCCTGAGAACATTGTTAACGTTGACGAAGGAGGCATCATGATCGGTTTTGGCAAGCATCCATTTCTCTTTTCTCTTTATTTTTGAAATTTGACTAACTAGACTCTCTTCGTTAGGGTTGGATAGCCTGGTGGTCGGAAGCGGACCCAAAGCGAAAGGCTCTTCTCAAGGGACCACAAACTCGAAATTGGACTTCGTTTATTGAAGCTATCACTGCGGACGGCCGTTCCTTGACTCCTGGCATAATATTCAAGGGAAAGGAACTCCAAAAACAGTGGTTCCTTCATGAATTCAAGAAGATAGCGAACTGGCATTACATAACTTCACCCAAAGGGTGGACTGATGACCACATTGGTGTTGAATGGCTTGAAAGAGTCTATTTGCCCCAGACCAAGCCTGCCGATGAGTCTGATGCCAGATTAATCATTCTAGACGGCCACGGGAGCCATGCAACGGTACTGTCTTTGTTTACCTAGCCAAAGGTCGCTGCTAACAGAGTGAAGGACGAATGGATAGCTACATGCCTTTTGAGCAACGTTTACTGTTGCTACCTTCCAGCACACTGCTCTCACGGCCTCCAGCCATTGGACAATGGAGTATTAAACGCCTCCAAAGCTGCATATCGACGAGAGTTGGAAAAGTTCGCTTCCCTGACTGATTCTGCTCCGATGGATAAGGTCAATTTCATCAGAGCCTACGCCAAGGCTCGTGAAGTGGGAATGACGAAGAAGAATATACTCTCCGGCTGGAGAATTACTGGCAATTGGCCAATTTCGCGAGCCAAAGCTCTACGGCACCCAGAAATCCAAGAGGATAGGCGGAATGACAGCCCAAAAAGGACTCCGGAGCGGGCGCCGTATTTTGGCTCGGATGATACACCAAAAACCAGCCGCCAGATTCGCGATCTTGGGCTAAACAAAACACCAAAGACACGGAGACGGTATAACATGATAGCCAAAGGCTTTGAGACTCAACAACAGACGTTGATGGCGCATGCCATGAGAATTGCTAGCATGGAGGAGGAACTGGCACGTCTGAAGAGAGGGAAGAAGAGGAAGACTATTCCGAATCCCAATAAACGTTTCATGACTCTGAGCGAGGCTCTAGCCTCTGGAGAAGCCAATCCAGAAAAAGGAAGCGAAAAGAAGCATGTTGTGGTGAACCATAGCTCTTCGGGGGAGTCAGGGCCAGAATCGGAGGCTGCTTCGGTTATTGAAGTCAGAGAAGAAACCATACTACCTCAGCGCACCACACGATCGGGGAGACTGGTCAAAAGGCCTAAAAATCAATAGATACATCAATTGTAAATTTACACAAGGCAACCATTTGCAAATAACTTTTATTTTGGTCAAGTTGTGCGTAAGTGAAATAGTTGAGTTTTGGTGGTGGCTTTTTTTTTTTGCCT